TGCTTTCAGCATTGATTTTTTTATAAATGGACTGAATTGTGTCACTTCTATTTTCAACCGCTTTGTACATAACGAGGAAATGTATGCTGTGACGTCACTAAGACAGACATGTATCCATCCAGAAAAATTATCATTTTTTTAATATAATGGCAGCATTTATAGAATTGCATTGTTTGCTACAAGACAATCAAACAAAGAATTAAAACGGTTGGCTTACCCACTCGGACGTCAAGTGAAGCAAAACTGGCAATAAACTTTGAAAAAAGTAAAAAAATAAAAAAGGCGTTTAACATCCTGCTCATCGCACCAGAGTTCCAGGAACCGCGAGGAAGAAGATTACAGGGAAGTACAGAGTCAGAGTCGATCTTGATAACTTCAGGAGGAAGATATACAGGGAAGTACAGTCAGAGTCGATCTTGATAACTTCAGGAGGCAGATGCACAGGGAAATACAGTCAGAGTGGATCTTGATAACTTCAGGAGGAAGATGTACAGGGAAGTACAGTCAGAGTCGATCTTGATAACTTCAGGAGGAAGATGTACACGGAAGTACAGTTACAGTCGATCTAAGCAACTTCAGAAAAGATGCAACCTGTTATTGGCCCCATGAAGTTGGACATTCCAAAACCCATCACTGTTTTTCGTTTAGCACTGCATCTGCAAATCACGCCATTAGCTTGAACTGGTCGTGTCTATGAAGACAGGCGAGCTCGGGAAAGCGTCTGCGCACAACATGATTGCTAATAGTTGTACTGTTCAAACAGTACGCCCCATCTACAAACGCCTGTCCATCTGATGTGACCAATCAGAGGTACATCAATGCAGACGTCTTGAAAGGCTGTCATGCTGTTCTATGTAAGTTTGTGTTATTGACAGTGGCAAAATGACGCATCCATTCACTCTGGCACTGATGGAAATGCAATACTTTCATCGATTCATATGCATATGTTTCTTTGTAAATATTAATGGCTGATAAAAATGATTTTCTTTGAAATTCGAAAACTAGTACATGGAAATAGTATGTTTGTGACGTCTTCTGCATGCCCTCGAATATCCAGCAAATTATATCCCCATTCAGTGGTATATAGACACATAATACACTAGAGAAGGATTTGTATGTCTCGTTTCACAATATCTTCAGTGTCATTAAGATCATATCTTCTACTCCGTTACGATACTTCTGGAGGTGGGGTAACCTAGCAGCTGAAGAGTTCCCTCGGTACGCCGAGGTGGGGTCGATTCCTACTTGGGTGCAAAGCTGTTATATTGCTCAATGGAATACTGGAATATTACACGGAACATAATACTCACTACAGCACTTCAATGCGTGTAGATCTGAGGATGCTTCATCTGTGGGGCACCCGTGAAGATCCGGGTTAGAATTGATCTTCAATAACCCATGCGTGTCGTAAGAGGTGACCAACGGGATCGGGTGGTCAGGTTTGCTGACTTGGTTGACACTTCGTATTACAATTGTGTTGATCGATGTTCATGCTGTTGATCACTGGATTGTCTGGTCCAGACTCGATTATTTACAGACCCCCGCCATATAGCTCGAATATTGCTTGAGTGCGGCATAAATCTAAACTCACTCACTCATCTGTGGGGGTCGCTTTAGGTGAACGTCCCTCTAGGCCAATCAGCCTCATGCAGGGCTTCTAAATTCTCGGTACGAGTCAGCGGAGCATTCAGACAAGATCTGATTTCTGTATCTCGAAAACGAATATAACTGGCAACTTCCGAATGCCAAAGAATAGAGCTACGTTATCATATCGCCGTGGATATCGTATACAGACTGTCGTTTCTAAGCGGAATGGGTCCAGACTTGATTATTTACAGACCGCCGCCACATAGCTGGAATATTGCTGTGTGCGGCGTAAAACTAAACTCACTCACTCACTCTAAGCGGAATGTCATCAACACACGGCGTTCTGTTCATGTTTTCATTTGCTCAAATTATCATCAAGTGAAATCGCAACGAAGCTGAAACGGGTTCTAACGACCAAGGACCCTTCCTTCCTTTTGACTCGACGGTCAAGTTTTGCTATGGGTTCATCATGACGTGACCTACAGAGGTGTCCTCGGATCTTTGCGCTTAAAGGCCTCACACCTGAGTGAGTGAGTGAGTTTGGGTTTACGCCGCTTTTAGCAATATTCCAGCAATATCACGGCGGGGGGCATAAGAAATGGGCTTCACATATTGTACCCATGTCGGGAATGGAACCCGGGTCTTCAGCGTGACGAGCAAACGCTTAAGCCACTAGGCTACCTCACTGCGCCTCACACTTGAGTTAATACTGATTTTAGTGACCTTAAAGTTATCTCCAATTTTGTTCTTTCATAGCTCCGGTGTTCGGTTCTGTCAGTCCGCCTGCATGTTAATTAATTGCACTATACCGTGTCAGTATATTTATCTCAGCACTGAATTTCACTCGTTCATGAGGATAATTTTATTTAGTTTTGTTATAACGTCGAGTCTTACACATCGGATTCAAAGCTACTGGGGAATGATCCCATGGCATTTATCATAATATAATAGAAGCGTGATATGCTATATGCGTAGATTAATTATGGTGATCACAGGATTGTCTGGTCCAGACGTGTATTTTTACAGACTGAAACCCTTTAGCTGGAATATTGCTGAGTGCAGCGTTAAAGAACAAATAAACTTTGCAGGTCATGCAACTGACCGATATTTGCGGGGCAATTTACGAACAGGATGTCGATTTCCTAATGCAAACCATTGGTCCAGCCAAAACATAACTCCGAAGTTCCAGCCCACTTCGATAATAATGGAAACTGGACTTTTAAAGTCGGTAGACCTACTCGCCTCTTGAAGACGAAACATGCTGGAACGCAAACATTGAACATTGCTACCAATGTCATTCTGTACTTACGCAACCTCAGCACCAAAGTCCTCGAACAGCCTAATGGTTCATTTGGCTGCATCGATTGTCCAACAAGAGCACACGTCCCTTGTTCTCTTCAGGAGGTTTAAGGGTCCCGTGCCACTCACGTGTGTTGACAAAACATACAGACAAAACAATGTCTATTGACACAGCTTTTCAGATGATCTTATCTACCAGCAGATGCCTTTATGTAAATAACACTTATGCTACAATAGCATGGTATGTCATGGTTAAAGATGGTAGGTTGTCAACGGTATATTATTGGAACTAATAGGTGAGTATTATGTTAAACGTAAGTGCACTCGTTATTCATAAAATGTGTTTATAAGGTCGATCGTAACTGTGATGTCTCGGGCAAATCAACCATTGTTAACACCCTTGAAGCAGCTGATTGACGAGCAGAAAACTGCAATTTGATACACGGAAATTAAATATTGTCCAACTTTCAAGAAACACCTGCTCCACACCCAGCAGAGATGAATACCAAGGCTTTACGTGGACATTGAAATATAGCATGGACCTTGGAACCTTATGGGTTCATCTAAAATTCGAATAAAACCGGAAAAGAAAGTGAAGAATCTATACATTAATGAGATGTTGGCTTGAACCGTTGTCTTCATGTTTAAATAGTCACATCAGTTGAATGAAACTGATATTCTGAGTTAAACAATCTAATCTTAAGTTTGTGTGACTGATCTGGATCAAACTTTAAATTTGTTCAGGCATCACTGACGTTAAAGACGTTTCAGATGCACCTAATGTTTTAAATATGAAATCCGGAAACTACAGGGGGGGATGCTGAAAGTCCTGATCCTTGCTATAATGGACTGCAGTGATGGAATTTGCTGCTAAATACTTTTCAACATAATCCCAACTAGAATTTGATCCTGTAATCGCAAATAGAACACCTGTTACCAGCCTATGAAATAAGACAAAAACCCAGCCAGACATCAGGGCTGGTAACTTCAAAATGTTACCAGCCCAAAATGGATTTAACCAGACCAGACTCCAAGATATGGTAAATTTACTCAGATTTTACCAAACGGGCTGGCCAGCTGTAAATTTTGGCCGTCTGTCAGAAATCTAACCCGGGTGGTCGGACCGGCCTTATTTCATATACTGCTGTTACATTTGACAGGGGCGTAGCTACTGTTAAAGAAAAAAGCCCGGGCTTACACATGTTTGTTGCTAAAAGGTTGGGCAAGCCCTCAATACTATCTACATTTAAAGCTTTGCAACTTATCGGGCTTACACGAAAAAATTGGCTTGCTACGCGTTTGTTTGACCACTTTCATAGCTATGGGTCATAGGAGCCGTGCCCACTTACTTTTACCTGAGGGATAATAAAGACTACCAGTTGTCAGACTTTTGTGGAAGTCTTGGTTATTGAGTGGATTAGATCGCTGACTGCTGGTGAACTGGTGCCTGGATCAGATGGGACTATGAGATGCAATGCAGCAGTTGAATATCCAACAGACTCAGCGTACTGAATCTGAGCTTACCACTCCTTGTCTTATTCCCTTAATGCCGAGCACCAGGCAGAGCAACAAGAAGTACCATTTTGTAATGTTTGAAGTGATGCGACTGCAAGTGAACCCCCAAGCATCTGGGCAGGTGCTATATCCACTTTAAGTTAAAGTAGATCATAGCTAGAAGTATAACAGCTGAACTGAAGTTTCAAAAAACAGTTTTATTACAAAAGGTGTCGTATATTAAACACTGGATGTGTATTTTCTTTTATAACATGAAACCCTGAATGCAAACCAATCTTTTGATCAGGAGGAAGAGAAATCCCATGACAACATAGAAGTGTCATCTAAATCATTCATCAAAACGATACACAGCACACCACAATAAACTAGGAAGCACTGCCTCACCCTCACAATACAGGTAACCATGGTAACATACACAAAGTTAAAACACTTTATTAGTCTCCCTCTCACTCACACACTCTCTCTCTCACACACACACACACACATACAAAAGAGAGAAGATGTGTTCAGGCATGAGATAAACAACAATGTCATTTAGTCACACAGCCAACTCTCACAGATATCTGAGCAAACATCTATTGCTAAACTTGTTATCTCACCTTCCATTTCCATTGTTTATGTTTTCAATGTAAGCCAGTATATTTACATGATTTTATCAGAAGCCAATCTCAGGTGGAAGTAATCAGCAATCCATATGTATGATAGATATATTCATCAATGTACTCTCATCAACACAGTTCACAAATCATGGACACAATGAATGCTGGGCTGTATACTCCCCAGGGAGCTGATCATACAGGTGGAATGTAGACTGAACAGATGGAAGGGGAAATTATTACAATGAAACCAAGTTGTTTCTAACTTTTGGAGGAAAGATCCTAGTTTTACTTATCAAGCGTTTGACATCTCTAACTTACATCATCAGAAACAGAAACAGATTCATTTCTAATATCTACATTTATGTATCAGTAACCCATCATTAGATGAAATAAATATAAATTTACTTAAGTAATCATCAAGTGACTTAATTGTTGCATAGTTCAGTCAGGCTAGTCAACTTTTGATGGTTCAGGCTATGCCATGTTTAGGCCATTTAACCATATACAAATTCTAACTTATAAGTTGGCCATAGCAATATTTTTAACTACCCAGGCTATAAATTGAGTTTGAGACAACTAGGAAATCAACAAATCCTGATTAAATAGTTATAAACATTGGAGCAGTTTGCTAGAAACAGATTGTTTGTTCAAGAAATCCCCATGTATTGTCTGCTCCAACTATATGATAAGCACAGGTTTATAAATAACTATCACATTGTCCTGGCTGCAAGTGTTTGCAAAAAGGTGAGCATATGTTTCCCTACCACCTGCACCCATCACACACACATGCAAAGGCATGTCAACCATTAACCTGAACAAGTCATGATGTGAATACACAATGCCATTTAGAAAGTGGTCAAATGTAACATATGTTATATCTAGGATTACACTTTCTTAGTAAAGTACAGACTCGAGTACTTTTGATGGGTTGCGTGCCATGCAGGATTCGAACCCACACCCTCTGAGTCAGGCACCTAATTGCCAGCACACAAAGTCAGCCACCTAACCAGCTCAGCCACCATGACTTCCACAAGACTTCTGCGGTGGCTGAGCGGAAAAGTACTTTACTAAGAAAGTGTAATCCCAAATATAACATATGTTTCAAGTCATGATGTGGTACATGGGAAGACAGCAAAATGCATTGGACATCATTTCAGTAACTGATTCATCAAATTTGGAAACTTGATGAAAGCTTAACAATCACTGAGAGTTGGTGATAGTGCATGCTAATGACAACACTTAGAAGAGCTGCTTAGTTGGCAACAGTACCGTTTTGTCCACTATATCCTGAGATACAATTCAAAACCTGGCACACTGTTTAACACTGTAATACATCTCGCAAAGTTGGGTTAATTCAAGGTGAGGTGAGGTGAAATTGGGTTTTACGTCGTGCTTGAGAATATTTCGTCATATGACGACGTGCATGCGTGTGAATGTGTATGCGCGGCTGCTTGTACTAGCCCAGACTTAAGCTGGTTTAATAGTGCTAGTCGACTGACATACCATGCCGCAGTGAAGCATGAATACCCCACTCAGACACGTTATACTGACTCCGAGCCGACCTATCCTTGTTGTACCCATTAATGCCGAGGGCCAAGCAGGGACAAACAAGTACCATATTTTAACGTCTTTTGGTATGACGGGGTCGGGGGATTGAACCCGCGACCTTCCGCTGCGGGCGGACGCTCTAACCACTACACCACGGAGGCGGTCCATTAATTCAAGGACTACTGGACTGCTGGAAGAGTCTTCACTGACATGATGGACTGTCTATTTCTCACAGGACTCAAGTAATCTGAATGTATTCATCACAATACTACTGATGTTACATGTTTAAAAGTCTGCAGTTTGACTACCAGGATTATGTTCAGATACATTATGACAGACACAGGAAATAGCAAAGACAAACAGATGGACACATGGCACAGTAACAATATGACAGGAACTCCTTGAGCACAACGGTAACAATCTCCTCCACAGAGATCTTGTTCAGTCTGTTCATCAAACATTCAGGCAATGTACAAGAAACCAGAGAAAGTGGGAGATCTTGAAGGTAAAAAGACTCCAAATGTTTCCTAAATCCATTCTCCCAAAGATTGGAGACATGTTGATGTGGTTGCCAGATACCCAGAATCTAGGTACATACTTGGCATGTGTTGTTTTGACTGTCATGGTTAAAACTAGTGTGTGTGAGATGAAACATTACTATTGCACTTACATACGATGGACACTAGCAACTTTGTTCGTTTAACACTGCACTGAGCAATATTCCGCTGTATTCCAGCTTGTAAATAATCAAGTCTGGACAAGACAAGCCAGGTATTGATTTAATGAACTCCATTCCTTATAACAATCATCCACTTTGCGAGCAAGGCCACCTGATCCATTCAGTTGCAACATTTGAGACAGGGTGCTGGGGACCTGGAATCTCCACCTGTACAGCAGCTTCTATATTTTTCCATTGTCTTATTCCAGACACACAGACAAAGATACTTCCTCCTGAAAATGACAGGATTTCACGTATTCATCAGATCCAGAAGTATATGAACTTGCAGCAGCACTCACACATATATACAGGTATGTTTATCAGTGCCATCTGTACAGTCTCACTCATAGCTCCAGGAGGTCTCTCACCATCATAGACTATTTACACAACAAAAGGAGATCGGAAGACTCAATCACCATGTGACACACTGTTGACATCCTGTACAGTTCGGCATTCACACACGTTTGTCGGACATCTTGTCAACATCCTGCAAGTTCTGGATGTTTCCTCTGGACAGACGTACAGTTCAACATTCACACACATCTGTCAGACGTCCTCACTTTGCTTTTGCTGGGAATGTCATTGGTAATAAATCTTTGGCAGGAAATCCATGATTCACTAATAATATTGTTGCCATGGCAACAAAAGGAGCCAAAACCAACCACTGTAGATCTTGGAGAATCAGTTGATTAAATCTGGAATGTGACGCAATTAGAGTATTTTAGTAGATGGTTAAAACAATGTATTACATTACATGTACTCTGACTGAGTAAACATGTAGCACATACAGTTAGGAATAGTGCACATATTGAAGCTTGAAGCACTGATATATTATGAAGAAATAGCCTTCTTCAAACTGATCTGTTAGTCCTGTGCATGTTTTTTGTATTTTGCGTTAATGTATGTCACAGGCAATATTCAAACTACATCATGGTTGTAGGGTTACATTTTTGTGAGATTGCAACACATGGAAAGGTCATATTGCACACACTGAATCACATTCTGTAACACATGGAAATGACATATTGTAACACTTTTGAAGTTGCAACACTGGGCAATCAAATAGCGCTACACATGGCAATCACATATTGCAACCCTGGGCAATCAAATATTGCTACACATAGCAATCACATATTGCAACCCTGGGCAATCAAATATTGCTACACATGGCAATCACATATTGCAACCCTGGGCAATCAAATATTGCTACACATGGCAATCACATATTGCAACACTGGGCAATCAAATATTGCTACACATGGCAATCACATATTGCAATCCTGGGCAATCAGATATTGCTACACATGGCAATCATAACACTTGATCAATACCATCACCACTGTCAGGTTGAATCTATCAATTACTTACTTGAGCGGAAACGTGTCCTTAAATATCTGGCCATGCTGATTAGTCAGCACAACTGTCACATGACCTCGACCTGGAACTGGCCATACAGGAACTTTGAGAGTATATATCCCCGGCTCGGACTGCTGTTCCTCTGCTAGTAGATGCTTGCCGTAATACACCTGCAAACAGGTAAAACACTATCGGTATGATTGGGGATGCAACGATTCACTGACACCTACAATGTAATAGATACATAGGTACAAATGATACATGAATCATCAGTTTGTGAGATGGTGATGTGCTATAAATAGAACAGGAACTGATGGAGCTTATACCATAATGGTGGAGGAGTGAGTGAGTGAGTGAGTTCATTTATTCATTTCAGCCAGATAGCGACGAGACCAAGTTCACACATGTGCCTTACAAACTCAAAGTAATACGCGTAAGCAGTTTATACATACGTGTACACATTTTTGCATTCCACATAATGGTGGAAGTAGCACAATACAGGAAACAGGGCAGAAGATGACGATGTGATTGAAACAAAGGACATGTCTACTGCACATACGCCATCAGTTTGAGCAAATTTTGTGGTGGTTCATCATGATGCCAGCGGTATTGTCAGCTTACATCGAACCCGTGAAGGTCCTGGTTAGAATGAACCTTCAGTAACCCATGCTTGTCGTAAGAGGCGACTAACAGGATCGGGTGGTCAGGCTCGCTGACTTGGTTGACACGTCATTGGTTCCAAATTGCGCAGATCGATGTTCATGCTGTTGGTCACTGGATTGTCTGGTCCAGACTCAATTATTTACAGACTGCCCGCCATATAGCTGGAAAATTACTGAGTGTGGCATAAAACTAAACTCACTCAGTTTATATCGCGACATGTATTTTATCTCGAGATGTCCCATCATACTCAGCTCTAAACATCATACCATCGTGAGTCTATATTTTATAAAAGATTCATACTGCACATAAACAGACTGACCAAATTAAAGATAGTTGGAGACAGACAGTTTTCTCCATTACCTCTTCATGTGCAAGTCATACATTTCAAAAAACATATTCTGAAAGCAGAGGCAATAACAATCAGTTGGAACGAGACACACAATATTTCTTTACATGACCAGTCTGATTATCAATTAGCAGCAATGTTTTAAATTCTCAGAACTGGCAAGAGCTGCATTAAGAAAGAATATCTGACTTCTGTCTCTAAAACCAAATTTTCTTTGATTTTAAGGAGACTTAGTCATTCCATCCACGGAGAGAATACAAGATGATAATGTTGTTTCTTGTTTCAAAAATATACTCATATTGGTAGTTCAATAAAACACTCTGCAGACCATTAAACATCAAAGTATCCTCATTACCCATATCCTGGTATAGATATCTCCATGCATGCGTGCGTGCGTGCGTGCGTGTATCATATGGTACACCAACCTGCAGATCAAAATGCCACCTACTTGAATTGTGTAAGGCGTCTGCTTCGAGAAGGGTGATGTGGGTCCAGCTGACTCCATCACTTGGTACTGCAGCCAGAAGGACCCGCCTGTCACCTCCACCAGATGCCTGGTACTGCTGGCAACGTACATGCCAGTCTACAACAGACATGTTTACATCATACACCACATCACTGGTAATAGGTATCAGGCTAACAACATGAATGAATGTTCTTGAATAAGGTTCAGGATTCATTGCTACAAAAGTCTCTCGTGGAAAGAACCTCTGAATGAATTCTGAGATCACTTGGTGTATTGAAGGTCAGAACTGGAAACATGATAAAGCTATGAGATATATATTGCATCTTTGGCTTGTCTTACAGATGCCAGAGCAATCTGAACAATGGCCACATGTCTTATAACTACTTAATTTAAACTGAAAAGTGAAGGTCATTTGTGGCTGTTCAGTGCAACATTTCAACAAATGCTCAAAGACATCTAACAGTTTCTGGTAAATCTCATCATGATCATTCACTCTACAAGGGTTGAGTCTCAAAGGAAATATCGCCTAATCTCAACCCAGCAATATTTCCTTTCAGGCAAGGACTATACTTCTTGTACCTTCTGGTCATGGACAGTGAAGTCATTGGCTGTTTTTGTGACAGCAGGCCAGGCCAGCAGCTGAATCCCTTGATACCACGTCTCCTCTATCCATTCCCTAGGAAGTGGGTCTACCCCTGTCCCAAGGCAGAACAGAGTGCCGTCATTGGTGGACACCAGGAGCTCCAAGCCCCGGGACATCTGGATCAGCTCATGGCTAACGATCTCCACCAATGAATTCTCCCCCAGAGGCAGGTGGGCCTGACACGTCTGATCCCCGGACACAAAGTACAGGTTGCTGTCATCTGCCACAAACACCTGGAGTCATACCATACACATGATTAAATTTTGATTTATGTTGCATCAGTACTACTACATCAATATGCTGGCTGCCTCTAAACAACTGAGCCTTGACCTGGCAGATCTGCAGCTGACATTATAAGCCATAAAATCAAACCAAAAACATACGACATTAAACAGCATTTTGTCTTGATTTGTCTATGTCAGCTCTGGTGACAGTCATAGGACTGACTGACTGACTGAGTATGGTTTTACGCTACTTTTAGCAATATTCCAGCAACATCACGGCGGGGGACACCAGAAATGGGCTTCACACATTGTACCCATGTGGGGATTCGAACCCGGGTCTTCGGCGTGACGAGCGAACGCTTTAACCACTAGGCTACCCCACCGCCCCGACAGTCATAGGATGCATACATACTTGTGATACAATAATATGTATAATACCGTTAATGCTTCACTATTTTAGTGATTCGGTGGTGAGTAGACAGGGTTGCCTATATTATCTGTATTCTTGTAATGTTACAACAGGGGAATCTTAACTGGGTTCTCAAACTCAGCCCATAACTAAAACATAACTTCCTGTACAAGCATTAAGGAAAGATTCCCATACATTAGATTACATACCAGGTCTATGTCGTGGTCGGTGGAACCAATCTTTGTCAGAAGAATGTTTCCTGCTATCCTTGTGCCAAACTTCATAGGCCATTTCGGGAGAGGTTTTCCATTGGTACCATTCAGAGCATATACATTACTGGAAACAGAGATCATGGTGGTTAACTGTAAAATAGGTACAAGTTACCAACAATAAAGGATATTTCGTTTTCCTCTCAGTTCTATATGATCAAATTCATTTTCATCTACAGGTGAAACATGATACACATCAAAGGTGAAAATTTCAGGATGTCAGTTTCTGTAATACGAGAAGCGCAATGTCTGGAGTATATTCCCACTGCTTCATCAAGTCATTAAGTGATGAAGGAGTAAGAATGTACTCCGAAACGTCATCAGGTGATGAACGAGTGAGAATGTACTCCGAAACGTCATCAGGTGATGAGTGAGTGAGTGAGTGAGTTTGGTTTTACGCTGCTTTTAGCAATATTCCAGCAATATCACGGCTGGAGACACCAGAAATGAGCTTCACACAATGTACCCATGTGGGGATTCGAACCCGGGTCTTCCGCGTAACGAGCGAACGCTTTAACCACTAGGCTACCCCACCGGCCCGTCAGGTGATGAAGGAGTAAGAATGTACTCGGAAACGTCATCAAGTGATGAAGGAGTAAGAATGTACCCCGAAACGTCATCAGGTGATGAAGGAGTAAGAATGTACCCCGAAACGTCATCAGGTGATGAACGAGTGAGAATGTACTCCAAAATGTCATCAAGTGATGAAGGAGTAAGAATGTACCCCGAAACGTCATCAGGTGATGAAGGAGTAAGAATGTACTCGGAAACGTCATCAAGTGATGAAGGAGTAAGAATGTACCCCGAAACGTCATCAGGTGATGAAGGAGTAAGAATGTACCCCGAAACGTCATCAGGTGATGAACGAGTGAGAATGTACTCGGAAACGTCATCAGGTGATGAAGGAGTAAGAATGTACCCCGAAACGTCATCAGGTGATGAAGGAGTAAGAATGTACCCCGAAACGTCATCAGGTGATGAAAGAGTGAGAATGTACCCCGAAACTTCATCAGGTGATGAAGGAGTAAGAATGTACCCTGAAATGTCATCAGGTGATGAAGGAGTGAGAATGTACTCGGAAACGTCATCAGGTGATGAAGGAGTAAGAATGTACTCCAAAATGTCATCAGGTGATGAAGGACTGAGAATGTACTCGAAAACGTCATCAGGTGATGAAGGAGTGAGAATGTACCCTGAAATGTCATCAGGTGATGAAGGAGTGAGAATGTACTCCCGAAATGTCATCAGGTGATGAAGGAGTGAGAATGTACTTGGAAACGTCATCAGGTGATGAAGGAGTGAGAATGTACTCGGAAACGTTATCAGGTGATGAAGGGGTAAGAATGTAACCCGAAATGTCATCAGGTGATGAAGGAGTAAGAATGTAACCCGAAATGTCATCAGGTGATGAAGGAGTGAGAATGTACTCGGAAACGTCATCAGGTGATGAAGGAGTGAGAATGTACTCCAAAATGTCATCAGGTGATGAAGGAGTGAGAATGTACCCCTAAACGTCATCAGGTGATGAAGGAGTGAGAATGTACTCCAAAACGTCATCAGGTGATGAAGGAGTAAGAATGTACCCTTAAACGTTATCAGGTGATGAAGGAGTAAGAATGTACCCCTAAATGTCATCAGGTGATGAAGGAGTGAGAATGTACTCTGAAACGTTATCAGGTGATGAAGGAGTAAGAATGTACCCCGAAACGTCATCGGGTGATGAAGGAGTAAAAATATACACCCAAACATCATGTTCCTCATATTACGGAAGTTGACATCTATAAACTTTCACCTTTAATAACAACAGCTACCTCACCATGTTTACATGGTTCACTGAAAAAACATATTATAGATGTATGTTCATTTCATCATTTGATATTTTTGCATTATTTGACCAGTGTGATTACAGAGTGTTAATAACTCTTAAAAACAAAAAACATACTGAAGTCAGTTCTTCTTAATAAACATGTCAGCAATAAATAGTTGATTTAATTTAATGCAGTATAGTGCAGGATTCCTGTACAAAGCATTTGTAAACATCTATCCATCAAACAATGAGTTTAAATCTCTTATCTAACAATGAAAACTTATCTTTTGCACCCACACCTTATTTTCAAAAATATTTTCAGGCAAGCTTCCAAGAAATAATATCATAACAATTTAGTCTGAGAGCTAAAAACATGAAAAATGAAAAAAAACCTCTGTTTATTTATTATGTTTAAAATTACCCACACCATGTATGACAATGAGAAACACTTACAATCAAAACGAAAATTATATAAATGAGGTTAATTTCCATTAAACACATACCCATTACTCGTTGCTATAATAACATCGAGTATTCCATCCTGATTAACATCCGTGATCCGACTTCCAGGCGATGATGAGCCAGTTACCTCCCCTTCCCACAAGGTGGCACCATCTCTGTCTATACATGCAACATTACCACTTGTGTCTATTCCAATAATCTCAAGCTTTCCATCTCTGTTAATGTCTTCTACTGTCACCTGAAGGAGATAGCGGGATTGAACAGGTAAGCCATTGTCAAGCTGACGAGGAAGATTCAAATGATTATGTGTTATATCACTGGATTATCTGGTCCAGACTCAAGTATTTACAACATGCTGCCATGCAGTTAAACAATAAACAAACAAACGAATATTGTTACAATCTATTAGCTCTTGTTTGTTCTGGATTTCTAAAGTGTAGTCTTTTGAAGCCTGAATGGTATTTAGACCAGTCATAAGTTTGAGTGAGTGAGTGAGTCTGGTTTAACTCTGAACAGTATTCCATCACAGAGTCAGTTTAACAAGGTAGGAAAGTCTGGATTGATGCAGGTGTCGGACATCTACCACTTTGTCGGATGACACGAGCATGGGTATGGTGCTGATCAACCCAAAACAGAATCGCAGCAAGTCAGGATTCGAACCCACAATCACAGGTTTCTGGCATTACCAAGGGGCGCAACTCTGTACAGCAAGGTGCAGCTACTTAGATTACACCCCCACCCATGGTAGGATAAGTAACTGATGACAAGATATTAAGGATTATAAATACTTCATAATAACTGTAGTGATGTTTCAGTGAAGAATCTAACACATAGGTGATGGCTTGATTGCTATCACCAAAATATAATAATGAATAAAACATATTTTTAAAAACCTGATCATCTTTATTATCTTGTCATCATTGTACTTACCTGATATTCTATTTATTTATATATATACCCATACCTTCTATTGTAGAATGGTGAAACTGAAGTAAACCATAAAGACAGTTTTGGTAAAAGAGATGTGGACATTCTGTGATGCATTCTTTCCTCAGTATCTAAACCCACCAGTACCAGTGCTTGGTTCATCTCACCTGACCATGCAAACTGTTCATATTTTTGGGGAAGCCTTTTCGCTGATGACCAAACTTGTCCAGGACATGTAGATTGCCTGCCGACGTAGCAAGCAGAACCTCCAGATCGCTGCCGTTGCTGTCAAGATCAATCACGGTTGGAGTGAACAGAGCGAAGGCAGGAAACTGGGCATGTACCTGCAAAATCAAAATGATTGTTGACTATTTCAGTCTCTCCATACTATAAATACAATTCCAATATAGACTAGGTCTCAAGTACCTGGCCATGAATGCATTAAATCATGGAATAAATATTTAAGTGAGTGAGTATGGTTTTACGCAGCCAATATTCCAGTAATATCACGGTTGGGGACACCAGAAATGGGCTTCCTACATTGACCAATGTGCATCGAACCCCAGGTATAATCTGGGCCAGCCTAGTTTATACCCCGGGGTATATTCTGAACTAGGCCATAGTATACCCCCCTAGCCCAGATTATACCCCTACAGAAAACAAGTGATTAAGGATACTACTATAATTTTATTGTACTTCTCACACAATTAAACACTGGTTACAACATTGAAATGGTCCGATACATTTTCCAGATACAAAGCATAATCAGTGTGAGTTTTTCAAGCTGAAGCTGGCAGGGTACATCAGCCATTGCATTGACTGACCAACTGCACTGTAAATATAAATGTCACATTTTAACAGAATGGCTGTTGACATAACTGCTGCATCTGTTGCCCACATTCCATCTCGTGAAATTCCTGAATTAGTGATGTACTCATTGACATTTTGGTTCAGGAAATGTTTTAGTTCATCATTAATGTCATTGTTCATATGCTGAACCACTCGATCTCGGATAGTGCTGTGACTGTCTTCGGATCCTGTCAGGCTGTAAATGATGCAGCGGAAGTAGCAGTTGCCGTCGCCTTTGGTTCTGTATGTCCGTCAGGGTGCTGTCAAGTCTGTTGATCTTCCGTAATAAATGTCCTTTGAAGAGTTCAGGCCTAATGCAGCAGCCAAACTTTTCAAATCAGTTTTCTCTCAAATTTTCTATTTTTTTGTTCCACCTCAAGCAGGTAACTAACTACTAACCTTGATGATATATCAGCATGGCTGGGTTACGCAAAGTCGAAAATATCACATCGCAGAGAGGCACTAAACAAATGCTTCATAAATTTTGTATTATGCAGTAATGTAAATGAAATGCACCTACAAATTCCTTTAAATGACACCAAGACCATTGCCCTGAGTCACACACTCATATTGAGTGAATTGTCAACATAATTTTTTAGGGGTATAGTCTGGGCTGGAGGGGTATACTTTGGCCTGGTCCAGAATATACCCCCGGGGTATAAACTGGGCTAGCCTATAGTTTACCCCGGGGTATACTCTGGTGGGGGGTTATTCTGGGCTGCTACACCGGGTCTTAGGTGTGACGAGCAAATGCTTTAACCACGAGGCTACCCCATCGCCCCAAATTTTTTAAGAAACATGCATACCCATGGTAGGTCAATGACCCACATTAAGAAATCTGTGCACCCATTTCAAGCTGAGGATTTATTAACAAACCAACACTACAATATAAGATCAAAGATTGATCAAGAAACTGGCGTACCTGTGTTAGATCCAGGTAGACATGCCTTAGAGGTTCCAGGCTGGTCAGATTGAGAACTGTCACACCATCCACCAAATACTGACTGAAGAGTGGACTCTTCAGGTCCTTCAGATGTTGCTGCTTTTCAGGAGTTCTGAAATATGATGTTCGGACCTCCTTGCTTACTAACATCCAAACACAGCCACACAGCATATGATGACCAATTTGTGTCTAAAGAGTAGATAATTGATACTGTCATATAAAATATGATAAAATCACTTTCAGCTGCATAGAAAAAAAGTTTCTAAGGAATAGTGTGGTGAAATGTGTGTGTGTGTGTGTGTGTGTGTGTGTGTGTGTCTGTCTGTCTGTGTGTCTGCGTGTGTGTTCAGTTATTAGAGAAACAAAAGTGAAGAGAGAGTAAGCATACTGACAAAAACCAACTTGGCATGGATCGCACTAAGATCTATAAGGAATGTCAGTTGTCAAGCACAGACTGCACAGCCTGATACATGGGGCACAGGGAATTTGAAAAACAGTTTTTATTCACAATAAGAATGACTGGTGGTGCAAAGTTACATGCTGATGCCTGTGAAACATGCTCTTTTTCCAGCAAGTGTTTCGACCAGCTGATGACCTAAGTCAGTGCTTTTGTATCTCATGGTTTTTTTCTATTTTCTCCTGACAAACTTCACACCTGTAATCCTCTTCATCAAAGAAGTAGGTGACAGGTAGAACCAGTTCCTCAAGCCTTCCGTCACGGTTGAGGTCCGCCAGAGCAGGTGTGGCATATACATGGGGATCCACCGGCAGGTAGGCCTATATACACAGCGGAATACTCAACTGAATTCACAGTATGTAAATATCATCAGTTAAATCTCTCATGAAGTTCTCAAACCCCATACCATCCAACACCCTCCCAAAGCAAGTCCAGTCTCATTGCAATAACATCAGGTCTCTTGCTTGTCTTTGTGGCTATCGGCTCCACAGTACATTCTATAGTCTCCACCAAGTACAACCACTACCCTTTACAGCTCCACAGTACATTCTATAGTCTCCACAAAGTACAACCACTACCCTTTTACAGCTCCACAGTATATTCCATAGTCTCCACAAAGTACAACCACTACCCTTTACAGCTCCACAGTACATTCTATAGTCTCCACCAAGTACAACCACTACCCTTTACAGCTCCACAGTACTTTCTATAGTCTCCACCAAGTACAACCACTACCCTTTACAGCTCCACAGTATATTCCATAGTCTCCACCAAGTACAACCACTACCCTTTACAGCTCCACAGTATATTCCATAGTCTCCACCAAGTACAACCACTACCCTTTACAGCTCCACAGTATATTCCATAGTCTCCACCAAGTACAACCACTCCCCTTTACAGCTTGTGCAACAGACAATACATAGCATCACCATCAACACCCAGAAATACCCCTATCAACAATCTCACCCCTTTGTGATCAGACCCTCCATCATGGAACTGTCAGCTACAAACTTCAGAGACTCTTAAAGTGAGTGACTGAGCTTTTAGCAACATTCCAGCAATATCGCTACAGAGGACACCTGGGTCTTTGGAGTGACAAGCGAACGCTTTAACTACTGGGCTACCCCAACGCCCCGAGACTATTAAAGAAACAGGCCAATATAGATGTAGTTTTCAAGAAGAATAACAGCAATCAAAACACCATTAAAAATGCAGGGAAACATGCTTGTGGACATGCTTATGTTGTTGAAACATCCAGACCTTGTACACTGTTACAGAAACCAAAACCTTGGACTGGGTGGTTAATAACATATACATATACATGTAAAGTTATGCATCACCGTTCACCAAAAATTCAGTTGTTGATTTTTTCATGCTACCAATTGCTGGTCCGTCGACTTTCAGATTTGACAACAAGAATGTTACCGGGTCCAGATTTCAGTGATGTAACACAATACTCTCAATCTGACCTCACATGTCACCATGTACACTGAAGCCTTACATACTGAGCTCTATCAACACGGTCAGTGAAGTAGCTCTATTCTGTAACAACTCAACTGCATGAAACTTACACTTGTCTTTGTGACATGGTCAGCAATATACTGATAGATTTCATCATACCCAGCATACAGAACTTTCTCGTGCCAGTCCTTCAGGACATATACAGGAGGTAGCTGAAACACAGGCAATAGACACATCTGTCATATGGACCAAATATTGAAAATTCAAGGAATTCATAACAATAGGAATATATTATGAGTTTTACCACAATGACTATATCATTGCAGCTACAACACTGGAGTGAGTGAGTGAGTTCAGTTTTATGCCTCACTCAGCGATATTCCACATATATGGCGGTGGTCTGTAAATAACAATCCAGTGATCAACAGCATGAACATCAAACTACACAACTGGGATATGATGACAATTGTCAACCAAGTCAGCAAGCCTGACTACCCAATCCTATTGGTCACCTCTTACAAGCAAGGGTTTACATATCAATTCTAACTCGGACTACAACACTGGAAGCGTACATTAACTTTAAATGGAGTAGATACAATTTAACCCCAAAAATAGTGAAGCCAAATAATCTTTGTGAACACTGATGAGAATCATGACAAAGAACACAGTTGTTACCTGATATGTGTACTGGGGCATGTGTGTTCCATCATACTTGAAAAACTTCAGTTCCCCAGATGACATGACGAAGAGAATGTCCAGCATCCCATCTCCATCAATGTCATACTGAAACAAACACAGACAGATAGATCATTGACTGCTGTAGTTGTGGCTGTAAAATCAACTTAGTGACACTAAATCTACAGGCACTCAAGCTCTACTCTGAAAACACAGTATGTTTATCTCCTAAACATCACTTGAACACATCTTTCCACATTGCATTAAAGATTTGATCAGAAACTTTGAGTTTGACAGTACCTGCAGTGGACTTGAATGTATAGAATTCTCCAAGTTTTGAGAAGGCCAACGTGAGTCCTCCAGTGTTTTGCCATTCTCCCCATTCAACACTGTCAGTGCCTCACTGAACGGAGCAGCAATGACATCCGTCACTCCATCCCCATCCACATCAGCAAGTAGCGGAGATGCAGCAAATGGTGAATATCCCACCTCGGCCTGCCACAGGATCTTCAGGTTATAGCCACATCTGGCAACACAACAAAAACATATGATTAATTATTCTAGTTGCTAAAAGATAACCCATTGGTGACAAAAAGGTGATGTAATAATTAAAAAGGGGGTCTACTTCAAGGGGGCCCTGTGGGCTGTGGCTTTAATCAATGATACATTGGGAGTTTACAGAAGAATAGAAGGCATTGCTGGCACCTGATATAAGCATACTAGCACATGAAACACATTGACAAATACAGATGCTTTAATATAATCATCATAATGCAGCTCAAAACCCAAGGTAATACAGGTGTCAGATGTTTACCTGTTTGCTGACAAACCTAGACACATCACTGAAGCCAAGCAGGATTCGAACCCACAATCATGGCTTTTCGGAAGGATGCATCTCTGCACAGCAAGTTACACAGCAAGTGCCTCCTTTCATGTAGGGAAACATGTTAGTGTAATAGCCGTGGTTTTCACTAAACTATCATTGCCCAGTGACAGCTGAGTTTAGCTAATAAGTATGTAGGAACATAATGTTGAATCAACCTTTCTTGGACTTTGCGTTGTGTACATTTTATTTTAAAGGTGTGCGTTCGGGTTGACTTCTTCTCTACTCAAAACTCAGTGACCAGTTCGTGAATCAGGCATAAAGCCTATTGGGAAATAACAGAGACAAAATGAACAAAGATAATAGTTTATTACAAAAAAAATAGGTAGAAAAATACAAACAAAAACTTATAAATGACAGAATTCTCTCATTCACGTAGCTTACTAACAACTCAGCTACATGAAACCTTGGCCTACCTTGAGAATACAGCACCACAAACTTTAAAAATACGTCATAATACCCTTTTACGTAATGTAATGTGATTTTGTTTGAAAGCACGTTCTCGTCCTTCTCCATTTCCTACTGCTACTCTTCCCCAACCCGGCCTAACACTAATATAAGGAACCTTGCATTCCCTTACATAAGACCTAACATTCCACTCATTAACGGGGAGGGAATGGTCCTGAAACAGGACCTTGGGAAGGAGACATTACCACAAAACAATATGGGAGAACGGCAGGAACTCTTTCCATATTCTCCCCCTTCAAAACAGGGGATGATCAATCCTGAGGATGGAAGATGCACACGAGATCAAGAGACGAGAGCCACAGACGGTTCCTATATTCGCAAAGAGCTGGTTAACAGTAGCTGACATCCTCGTCTGTAGCTGGGAGTGTAGGTAGCATGTCATCGTTGGTCATGTTGACAAGCCGTCCGTGGTTCGCCTCACGGAACTTTGACTTTTATATAGCCGCTTCATCTACATGGTCACACCATGTCGATTGTTGTAAGACTAACACAAGTTGAACAACATTGACAGTAGCATATATTTGCACACCACTTTCACTATTGTTTTCAGTACTAACAGGTTTTTCAAAAGAGTTTGTGTTTACCTTTTTATTTCCTTATGTTCAGATTTCACCTTCGATGCGATATGATGTTCATCTCCACTACAGGACTGAAATGACGTTAACAAAACAACAGATAACCAAATAACACACTCTGAGCCCATGGGCGCAGACATCTTGAAATACAACGCCATCTAAAAAAGGGAGCTAACTCTAGCTGACTGAAGTATTCACTCAATTTCTGCTTGTCTCGGAATGACACGAATTGGTCATGAGTGACAATCAGAATGTTCATTGCACATCACGTACCTGGGCGCAATATATCCTATCAACTTGTGGAACTTGTCCCTGCTCAAACAAAATGTTATTGAAAAAGGAAAGGTAAATCTCAAAATGCATGTTCAAGCTTTTTTTGCAGACCAATCATGTTAATAATACAAATCATCAAATGTAACAGTCAATTGCGCAGATCGATGTGCATGGTGTTGATCACTGGGATGTCTGGTAAAAACTCGATTACTTACAGACCGCCGCCTTATAGCTGGATACCCGTGAAGATCCGGGTTAGAATATTAATCTTCAGTAACCCATGCTTGTCGTAAGACTCGACTAACGTGGTCGAGTGGTCGGGCTCGCTGACTTGGTTGACACGTGTTTTTTTGCGCGGATCGATGCTCATGTTGTTGATCACTGGATTGTCTGGTCCAGACTCGATTATTTACAGACCGCCGCCATATAGCTGGAATATTGCTCAGTGCAGCGTTAGGCAACAAACAACGTTAAGTAGGCCTATTTTGTTTGTCTCAGCATTCCAGTATAATCAAAATGTCCCAAGAAAGGACCGTAAGTCTATCCCTTAGAAAATGTTCGCAACTCACAAACTATTACCATTCATCGCATGATCATCAATCGATAGCCAAAGCTTCGACAGCAACATTAGCACGTGACCTTATAACGTCATTGGTGAAAGCATTCCGTTTTGGAGCACGTTTGTACCTTTAGCATGATTGGACTGTTCCAAGTGTTTCTCCTTGAAACTACTGAGTCCAGGGAGTCCTCACGCATGGGCATTCGTGGCGCAGTTGCCCTGGCGCGACACGAACATTATGGCCCTTGCTAATTCATGTATGTTGTGGTTGTGGAGATAGAGTCCAAGGCACTGTTTTTCCGGGGACAATAATGCTGTCACGACGGCCCTACACAGGATAGTGGTTTAACATTACTCGGTTAACGATAAGGTCGACGTTTGAATCTCAGAAGCTGATGAGGCTGATGAGGGCCACTGGTCTAAGGACAACACCCAGACTGATCGCGTGTCTCACGTAACTGGCAAACGTGTTTAACAGGGTTTGCCTACCTTTCAGTTGACGAAAACGTAATACTGTCTAAAATTGCCTTATCTTCACTCATCCAAATCCAATTTGCTGAAGGTATGATAGCTTGCAAACAGGAATTCAACAATGGGTGCTACGACATAGACGAACGGAAGTAGTTCGAGGAACCTGCATGTTATTTAAAGTGTTGTATCTTACGTTTGCGCTTAGTCTACCATATGTATTACTGTTGGTGGCTCGCATGGCAAGTTACTTCCTGGTGCGGATCCAGGATTTGGGAGACGTGGGGTCCACATTATCGTCATAAATCATGAAGTCTAAAGGTTAGAAGTTTTTTGTTGTTTATTTTTTCTGGTTTGTTTATTTGTTTTTTTTGGTGTGTTTTTTGTTTTGTTTTGTTTCTTTGTTTGTTTGTTCTTGGGTTTTTTTTGTTTTGGGTGGGGTGGGGTGGATTGAAATATGCAACTGTTCACCCAGCAGTGAATGGACACCCGGAAGGAGATAGTATTGTGGGTAAAATGCTTGCATGTCTTTGAGACAGGCTCCCTTTGAGGTTTGTCCCATCTATCTACAATCAGTAGGTTGGTATGGCGACACCAACAAACAGCTGATGTAATGGACAGAAAGCCGTCAGGTTGACCCCGCTGCACAAGAGAACACGCAGCTCTTGACTTACATTTAGTCTCATATTTTACAGAAAAATGTATTTTAAATTTATATTAATAAAGTATATTAAATAGGTGTATTTTAGTAGACACAGTTCGTTTAAATAATAAGCAGAGAAATATCATTGCCGATGTGAAAACAAAGTGTTTCGATGCGATGTGTAAACATGTGATATGAACATGAACGAACACACTGATTGAATAGTTTATTGTCTTTCAAATTCTTCTTTCGTTCAGAGTCATTCAGAAACATTTTTCATGTGGGTATTTGGATAGTAGAGCTACTACGTTGGATGACATTTACACAAAGCACAGCCAGCTTTGCAAAACTGCCAATTGCAATTCTTCATCATGGTACGATAATCAACAATATTCACATAGTCTCGGAATTGCCAAAGTCCTTTTAATCCTTCCAGATACTTAAAATTATGCTAAACTGGGAGGTAACTTAATCGATGTCGACAGAATTATCTGATCACTATTACAGTCCGAAAAGTCCTTAATTAAAAACACCCATCTCTTCCTTAAGGTCTATCTGTACAATGTGACACAGCAGTAAAACATACCTTGAGAAGATGGATTATGTAGAGAGTGTAACTGAATGAATATAAGGCTCCGCGGCTTCATCAATATTCCATCAATATCACTGCGGAATGGGGTGTACACATGTCTGGAATTGAAGCCGGATGAACGAGGGCTTTAACCACTAAGCTACCGCCCCATTTCAGTTGAAGAGGCATTTCACTAAGTTTTCAGACTTCATGTAGGTATTGGACAGATACTGGATTCTGATTCTAATGTATCCATTTTACCATTCTGTTCTTAACGAAGCTGGATATTTTACGCTTCTGTGGGTTGACATTGCCTCTTTGTTTACTTCAACTGGAGTTTGTTGTAAATATTCGAATCTGGACCAGACAATCCTGTGATCGATATTGTGGTGAACGATTAACGCTGTTGGGGAATGTGGAAACACTATCACTTGAAAAAGCAGACGTGACAACCCGATCCATAGGGTCGTCATGCGATCAACATATACACGTACTCCTTTCCGTCCCCATGTCAAGAATCACCAGGCATACCATTAGTTACATTTGTCAGCCAAATGATTATAATTTATGTGTATTATTTCGCTTGGAATCACAGTTACATCAGTACAATCTGAATTAATTTTGATGTAATGAAAGTAATTAGAGGAAATATTTAGATTATATGTTGCTGTCAGAACCATGCTCTTCTTTGCTCTGTTTTCCTGACGATTTGTTTCCCTTTCCGACGAATGTTCCATCCTGAAAACGAATTTAGAAAATGTTAAAAGTCGTCAATATAAACCAGATTTGAAGGAGATAAACAGAAAAGGAACAGTATAATTCATTTACAGCAAAAGAATGTCTACAGCTAAACCGCTTTAGTCCGTACGCTTTCCGACGCTTGTACTTCATTCGGCTCACCACATTGACAGATGCCACATTGGACTGACTGAGTTTGGTTTTACGCCGCTTTTAGCAATATTCCAGCAACATCACGGCGGGGGACACCAGAAATGGGCTTCACACATTGTACCCATGTGGGGATTCGAACCCGGGTCTTCGGCGTGACGAGCCAACGCTTTAACCACTAGGCTACCCCATCGCCCCGCCACATTGGAACTCATTCACCAGTTTCAACAGTTTACGTCACTGTCACATTAGACAATCAAGCCTGGGGGTAGTAATGAAACTAACATTTGACATATTCGAATGTGTACGTGCGGTCGGGTATACAAAATGTAGCCTACTACTTTATATGGCTAAAATCAACATATTTTGTACATGTTCTCACCAAAATTAGAGCGACTGTCAAACGGAGCGGCGTCAAGAATTATATGCATACCTGCGTGACGGAAGCGTAAAGGGGGTTGTTGAAGCCATCATCAGTTGTGTCGAAGGTTGGTTGGATCTCCGCCGGCATCATCTCCATGGGCCGAACGTCACCGACCACCTGGAACAACGACCGTTAGCGGTTAGGGTTTCGTCAATGCTGGGAGGCGCAGACTAAGGTACACGTATCAACGGTCGCGATTTAGAAACAATTGGAATCACCTATGTCGACCACAGCCCAGGGTAACAACACTAAGAATTATCTCTGTAACTTGTCTCCCTTTGAATAACACAAGAACCAACAGTTTCACAAGCACATGGACATCCACTTATCTCACCGCTCATGTGAAACCATAAGACCCGCCTATCTCACAGATCATGTAAAACCCTGAGATCAACTGGTTATCTCACCGCACTTGTGAAACCCCGAGACCCACCTATCTCACTGATCATGATAAACCCCGAGACCCACTATCTCACTGATCATGTAAACCCCGAGACCCACTATTTCACTGATCATGTAAACCCCGAGACTCACTATCTCACTGATCATGTAAACCCCGAGACCCACTATCTCACTGATCATGTATACCCCGAGACCCACCTATCTCACTGATCATATAAACCCCGAGACCCACTATCTCACTGATCATGTATACCCCGAGACCCACTATCTCACTGATCATGTAAACCCCGAGACCCACTATCTCACTGATCATGTAAACCCCGAGACCCACTATCTCACTGATCATGTAAACCCCGAGACCCACTATCTCACTGATCATGTAAACCCCGAGACCTACTATCTCACTGGTCATGTAAACCCCGAGACCCCACACTATCATGTATCACTGATCTCACTGATCATGTAAACCCCGAGACCCACTATCTCACTGATCATGTAAACCCCGAGACCCACTATCTCACTGATCATGTAAACCCTGAGACCCACTATCTCACTGATCATGTAAACCCCAAGACCCACTATCTCACTGATCATGTAAACCCCGAGACCCACTATCTCACTGATCATGTAAACCCCGAGACCCACTATCTCACTGATCATGTAAACCCCGAGACCCACTATCTCACTGATCATGTAAAACCCCCGAGACCCACCCTATCTCACTGATCATGTAAACCCCGAGACCCACTATCTCACTGATCATGTAAACCCGAGACCCACTATCTCACTGATCATGTAAACCCTAAACCCTGAGACCCACTATCTCACCGATCATGTAAACCCCGAGACCCACTATCTCACTGATCATGTAAACCCCGAGACCCACTATCTCACTGATCATGTAAACCCCGAGACCCACTATCTCACTGATCACGTAAACCCCGAGACCAACTATCTCACTGATCATGTAAACCCCGAGACCCACTATATATCTCACCGATCATGTAAACCCCGAGACCCACTATATATCTCACCGATCATGTAAACCCCGAGACCCACTATCTCACTGGTCATGTAAACCGCGAGACCCACAACAACTGAGAAACAAGAACCACTCATCCCAACCGCCGCAAAAGATAAAAAAACGAGACCCACCTCTCTCACCGCACTTGTGAAAGCCCAAGACCCACCTATCACACCTTCCACACTTGAGAAACCACGAAATCCAGCTACCTCGCCCATCGCACGTGATAAAAACAGCCCATCACCAAACTGAAACGGAATTTGCACCATAGAGATAATCTCTGTCTACTATCAGGTACCTACCACGCCCCCAATATCTCCATAAAGCGGGTTCCCAAAGCCAGGGTCGGTCATTTCGATCTCGTAGCGGGGTCTGCTGACGTCACCCGGCACGCGCCGGCCACGTGGCAAGGAGCGTCTCACTCTGCTAGGGATGTCCATCACATCGTCCAGCATGTTGCTGGACTTCCTGAAAGCAATATTAGGTCAAGCATCAGTGTATGAATATTGTTTTACGCAACAGACAGCAATAATTTGTCCAGTCACACCAGAGCAGTTCGTATACAATCGAGATCAAGCTGGAACCCAGTGAGTGAGTGAGTTGGGCTTTACCCCACTTTTAGCAAGATTCCAGCAATTTCATGGCGGGGGCCACCAGAAATGGGTTTCACACATTCTCCCCATGTGGGGAGTCGAACCCAGGCCTTCGGTGTGACGAGCAAACGCTTTAACCACTAGGCTACCCCACGGCCAAAGACTCGTGAAGAACAGGGTTAAAACTGGTCTTCAGCAACTAATGCTGCTTGTCGTAAGAGACGACTAAAGACATCGGATGATCAGGCTCGCTGACTTGGTTGACACATGTTGTAGTATCGCAATTGCGTAGATAGATGCTCATGCTGTTGATCAGTGGATTGTCTGGTCCAGACTCGATTATTTACAGACCGCCGCCATAAAGCTGGAATATTACTGAGTTAAACACCAAATCATACACAGCAATTACTATCACCACCGGATGCTCGTTTAGTGGGCCTTTGTGTTTGTTTCCGCATCCCAATGAAATCAAAATGTCCGAAAGGACCGGAAAGTTATCCCTTTGAAAATGTTCTCAAATGAGAAACTAATACCATCATCGATCGATACCCAAAGCTTCGAAAAGCAATATCAATACGTGACCTATTGACGTCATTGGTGAATTCCCTTTTTGCGCACGACACCAGTGTCAAAGTTACTTAACACGCCGTTAAATAGGCCTAGGTCGATAATGTCATCCTCTTTGGGGGTTTAGGCAGCACTTGGGATAAGCTCTCGATGACTGGCAGAATTCCTCTTTAACTAAACAACACTGAGATAACAAGAAGCATTCATCTTACCCGGTCCTCTTCCTGATGAACAGCAGCCCAAACAACGCGAGCACTAACACCACAATGAGCGCTATGATTATTCCTGCTATCGAACCTCCTCCAAGTTGTCCACCTGGCAACACAATACAAGCCCATAATGAGTCTCGTACCAACCTCCAAGCACGACCAATACGTGGAATCTAGACGTGGAATCTAGACCCTAATTTATCATGGAACTACAACCATCAATTTCACAAATGTACAACATATATGCTGGAATTTTGGCTATCAATATTTTAAATTGTCTTGACAATTATTTTTTTTAAATACATCGTCTTTCTCATCTGTATGGTCAGTTTCAGAAGGAACTGCGGGAAGACGTGTAGAATTACAATGTACTTTGGTTGAGAATATAACTGATTAATTGTCACCTGTTTATGTGGCACAAAATGGTTTACAGTGGTTATGCCTATTTCGAGTGCGAAGGTTGCTTCATCGATGTAAGTTTTGGGGGAAAAACAAGAGACAAAAATATACTATAAAATAGTTATACAGAGTTACTTCCTGAATATATTTTAAGACAAAATACAGAACTACAAAACGCAAACTGCGTTATGATATTCTTCAATGAGGTGATTTATGATCAAGCAGGCGAATTGGCTAACATGAGAAGTTTCTTTTTCATATTTATATGGGAAAATGGGTAAAGATACATATTTGGGAGCATTGTCTGTATCCGTCGAGCTAACTACGTTCTCGTGATCATTACCTGTATGAGCATTCGGCCCGGAAGTGGGTTGAATCGCCCCCGAGGATTCCATCAGTTGGATGCCATCCAGGCGGTACTTGTGGCCCCCTGTCCGGGCATCTGGGGATAGTGAGTTTACCTTATGTTCTACCGTATTCTAAGACATTTAACACTTTGGTGATACCCACGAGCACCCGTAATGATGCTGTCAAACACAATCAGTGGTAATCTAGGGTAAATGTGAGTAAGAGGGATTATTCGTTTCTTGTGAAAACAATATTATACGTGGGGACACTCTTTTACCGGTTACGGTAATCCATTAATTAATTAATCTATTGGAAATGTGGCTTTACCGGCTACAGCCATGTAACTGAAATGTGGCCTTCCCGGCAATAGTCATGTTTTGAAATGTGGCTTTCCCGGCCTGTCACCGTTCAAACCCCGACCTTGTCGCAAGACTTCCGGTGGCACATGTGCAGGTCAAGGTCGTACCCCAAGGGCGTAAACGCTATAAACTTCATGTACACCTGAGAAAGGCAACTGTCCAACGCGAATCACAGTGCCTTCATTGACTTAGACACCCGTGTATCCTACAGGCAGTAGATATATAGTCTATACGGGAAGTGAGATATATGCTGGTTCAGAAATTTATATTTTATTCCGCTCTGTGATCTACTTTCTCCTTCTCATAGGGGTGATTTTGATACTGTGGGGCTTAGAATTGTTATGATAACGTACTAATAATGTAAGCCTGATACTCTAGCCGACATAAGAGGTCATGATCTGGCTGGCGACATCAATTTATAGTAGCCCAGTTATATATATATTAATTCCATGAAAAAAGGGAGCTGCAGTTACAAGGAGCGACAAACTTATATCTCTCAAAGTACACGAGAGACGTTACAAGACTTCCGGTGGCACAAGGTCAAGGACATGCACTAAAGGGGTAAATACTATAGCCTTCCATCACAGTTCCCTGGCAGAGACCATGTTCCACAAAACGATCGTTGTACAACAAGTATAAGTCCAATACTTTAACATATGCTAACCACGGTCGTTGTGCTACGATCGATTTAAGAAATGGTCCCGTTGGCAGACCTACCTGCATCCATGTCCGACTTAACGGCGTCTGCAACTGGGATGCTTATGTCTCCATTATCACCAGTGAGAACTGCCTGGATGAAGCCCATCCCCGTCTTCGACACGATCAGCTTCACCGTGGCGTTATCATTCTGTAATATACAATTACTGGATTATGTCCCAAATCATCACAGAGTCAAAGCAAAGCTAAAAGATTCCTTTTCTTGTGAAACAACAACTTGGAAAGGGTTATTGAAAAAAATATATATAACATCGTATATTGATTATAAACACTAACGATACGAGGAAAATGTTCCATACAATTTACATAACTGTGCCAACCTCAAAAGCAGTTATAACATTTCATTGTTTTATCTTGGGAAAATCATAGTGCCTAATGACAAAAACCCTGTATATCTATCGTCCGGCCCTTATCTGAAGCTCTCGATCCTAGTCCTTTTTTCGTTTCAAGTCACACAATAGCTTTTAGGTATGTATTCCTCTAGACTAAATATATTTTTTTAACTAAAGTCTGATTGCAGTGAAAACGTACCGATGAATTTCACTTTCAAATAAAGGGAAATTAGAAGTGCGAATTATTTTTTTTTCATGATTTTACTTTGCCAATTAAACATTAACAATCTCAGAATTTTATTCAACTTAGGATAAAAGTTGTTTAACAAACGATCATAGTTTCAATAGCACATTTAATGAAACACCGAGAACAAGTAGGGTTGGTCTAAGTTAACGCTCATCACGTACTGCACGTGCATTTGTATCACTGTTCCAATATCTGCGGTTACTCCCTTGTAATACAAACCATTAATAGCGATTTGAATCTATGATCGTCTGTAAAACAACTTTTATCCTAAGTTGAATAAAATTCTGAAATTTAAATGTTTAATTAGCAAGGTAAAATTATGAGGATTCGCAATCATAATTTCACTTTATTTGATTTACTTTTTTGTTTAAAGTGAAATTCATCGGTACGTTTTCACTGCAAACAGACTATATAACTTATATAGATGCAACATGCTGTTTTAGAAAAAAAGCAAACCATAAAATCAATCCGGCCAACCCTACCCTTTCTCGAGAGGGGCTAAAATAGGAAACCCACCTATATCTTTATCGCCTAGTAAATGTCCTAATGATCGACTACATGTGAAGTGGCTGGTCTCGATCAATGCCGAGTATATATGAACCCTGGCGTATTACAGAGACAACTCCAGTCTCATTTAGTGTAGATTATCCCTGAAGATCCGGGTTAAAGTTGGTCGTCAGCAACCCATGCTTATCGTAAGAGGCGACTAACGGGATGGGGTGGTCAAGCTTGCTGACTTCGTTTACACATGTCATCATATCCCAGTTGCGTAGATCGATGCTCGTGATGTTGATCACTGGATTGTCTGTTCCAGACTCGAATACTGACAGACCGCCGCCATATAGCTGGAATGTTGCTGAGTGCGGCGTTAAACAACAAGCTAACAAATGCCATGAGTTGATACTGACGCTCTCCGTACCAGCCTGGTTGGACTCAGGCCTGAACAGAAACACGAGAACCTGATCCATGTGTTAATCTTCATTAGCATACGAGTACCTGCTCCATTAGAAACCTACCCGTGCAGATATGAACTGTTGTAAGATGGTCTTGAAATTCGAAATACTGAATCCAGTTCCTGCCGTCCCATTGAACAAGGCGCCTTCAAATAAAATGATGTTATCAGATTTTTAACGGTGAATGATATCAAAATAATATACAAGCAGCGTATTTACAATGAAAATGATTGAAACAGCATTACAGATCTTGAGGCTACTCCTAACATGATATGTGCAATACCATGTGTTTTCTAATATTGACAGGTTGTACTGAACGGAGCTTTGCCAGAACTAACTCACCACAAACATCGCAACAGGAGCCCATAGGTCGGAATGGGATCTGACACTGAGCTCGCGGGCATTTCGGTGTAAACACGGAGCATATCTTCTTGAAAATCTGAAAAGTAACAAGAAATCATTTGTGAAACGAAAAGAGGCACCTGTTGGCATTGTCTTCGTACGGCTAGATACACCTATAGGCATTGTCTCCCTAAGCCTCACACACATTGTCGCCTCATGGGAAGACACATCTGGTGCCTAATGACAAGACATGCCAACCTGCATGTCCATTATTCACATGACAATAAGCACTTACTGCTGTACCACCCACACGACAGGGCAGACTAACTGCATTTGTCTACGTATGACAAGACACGCCCATTATCATGTGACAATAAGCACTTACTGCTGTGACAAGATACCCCTATGGCCATTCACCTGTACGTCTCAAACAGACTTTACGTATTTCTTTCCCTGTGGATTTCAATCAGCCTGAAAATCAAAGGTTAACGCCCCTTCCCCGAGAGGGGATAACTCTCTCAACTCCCTTTCCCCGAGAGGTTCACCACTAGGTATCTTATCTCACCTCTCCTTGGTCGTTGCCGCACGTGCATCCTGTGGGGTCGTTACATTTCTGCCTGGAGACGGTGACGCTGGATCGCGTGACACCTGTGCCTTTGGGTGGCGGGAAGATTCGCTGTCCGTCGGGAGACTGTATGTAGTTGGTGAACGTCGTGGTGGTATACGACTGCAAGACGATGCAGGAACAAGCAGATAAGACTTGTGTGATTACAGGTATTTTGACACTAAGGTGACACACGTTTTCCTGAGTTTCACATGGGCCGCTAGCCCTGAAGTTTCGGAACGTCATATTAAAAAGTCTTTCCAGAAACAAAACGACTCGATCTAAGTCGTACATTGCGTGCGTGCATGCGTGAGCGCGCAGACCATAGTTCTTTTAAAAGTACTACCCCAAGTTCAACTTTCCTTATGGATATATTACGTATAGCCCATTTAGATTATTCCTCGTCGAGGTATTGCTGCTATACTGCTAAAACGGTGTAAACCTCATTGCACAATGCATTCATGACCTGACAATTTCTGTGGACACCCAAAAGAGTTAAAGAAGATCTATACATTTGAATTTCGCACCGATTCTGACTATTTTACTAAATGTTTCGCCTTGGCTTTCACCAAAACAAACCAAGACCAAACCAAGTTGATATAACCATAATACTGTCAAGGTGTGTTAACCCAAATAAAACAAAGAAAAATGCACACCCTGCCAGACAATTTCAGCGACTTGACGTTGATATCGAGGCCAGTGTCGAGGTCGACGTAGAAAGCCTCGTCCCGAGGGAAGACGGCGTTGTCCGTGGCGCAAGGCACCCTCTCCGAGTCCAGCAGTGGCATTGAGCTGCAGGGTCCATTCTCCGTGTCTGTAGGGCACCAGTTGTCCGGGTTGACCCACTTGTTGGGTGCAGATACTAGGTATTCCACATCTGATAGAAACAACGTGATGATAGTCAGCAATATGTACATGATACATGCAAATATACCAGGGCTGTGTTCCACAAAGAGATATTAATGTTAATATCATGGCAAGTCTATAACAGTGAGTCATGTTTACGCCGCTTTTTGCCATATTCCAGCAATATCACGGCGGGGGACACCAGAAATGGGCTTCACACATTGTACCCGTGTGGGGAATCGAACCCAGGTCTTCAGCGGACGCTTTAACCATTATGCCACCCCACCGCCCCTTTATTACAAGTATGGTAGTTTCGATAGACTAAATGCTAAGTAAGCTTTGAGAAAGAGGACCAAGGGTTCTCTTCCACTAATAAATCCGCACTCCGACTGTATTTAATTTACGTTGTAGTATGAGAGGTTTGGTTGATCTAAGGCTAATGATGCCATGGCTCGGTTCCACAAATCGGCTCAACGACTATGTTACTGTAGTTAGTCTTTCTTAAGGCTTGGGAGTAGCTATGATCGCTTTGTGCAAATGGGTCCTGGGTCAGTTCGGTTGAGCGGTTTCCGAGCTACTGTCGTAAATCTATGGTACGTGTTGTTTAACGCAGTTATTCCATCTATGTGGCGGCGGTGTGTAAATAATCGAGTCTAGACCAGACAATCTAGTGATCAACATAATGATCATCGATCTGCGCTATTGGGATTCGATGACATGTGTCAACCAAGTCAGCGAGCCTGACCACCCGGCCCCGTTAGTCGCCCCCTACGACAAGCATGTGTTACTGAAGATCAATTCTAACCCGGATCCTATGGAACAGTATCGTCGTAGTTTAAATATGGTTTTGTCGAACAGGGTTCAGGTTAGGTTTTAAAAAAAAGTCACCATAAGCATTTTATTAAAATCGGTGACCTGATTCCGTCTTCAGAGGCTTGCATTCCCGTTGTTAGTTTTGATATTTTTCTCGCACACGATATAAGAGATTGACACTCTTACACTGTCACGATCCGAGAAAATCCGGGTTAGAACCGGTCTTCGGCAACCCATGTCTGCTCGTTCCAAGAGACGACAAACGGGATCGGGTGGTCACTGACACGGTAGATGCACGTCATCGTTTCCCAACAGCTTAGTTTGATGCTTATGCCAATCACTGGCCCGACTCGTCCATTTACAGACCGCCGTCATATAGCTGGAAGATTGCTGTGGGCGGCGTTAATCAACACACACTGAAACCGATCCTTTAGGTGTAGATCATATTGTGCTTTATAAACCAGTGCCCGCTTTCGGTCGCGGAAAGACGCCTTCACACAGTGGTAAACAATAGTGTGCACGTTCACTGATCTTAAAGTATGTAAATAACTAATAAAGTTATCGATATACATAACCACGTGTACATGAAAGTCACGCCATATGTGGGCGTTAGTGAGGTAGGATTTAAGCAGATGAAATACCTCGTCATTCAATACATGTGGTGGAAGGTAATGCGTTGTAGGTAGGTATATATTAGCTGACACTGCGTGGCTCCATAGTATACATAAGGAGCACGGGTCAAACTCCATGCAACTCTAGCCTGTTTGTCTGTACAGCGAGGCCCTTATCCATTATATTATTGGCAGTCTCTCTGGCACGAGAACACCCAAAATACACCCTGAGTCATGTTTGCTCTAAATGAAATATATTACAAAAGCAGTCTCTCTGGCATGAGAATCCACTCAGCCACAGCTCCCACACACATTGTCTCTGACATGAGAATCCACTCAGCCACAGCTCCACACACATTGTCTCTGACATGAGAATCCACTCAGCCACAGCTCCACACACATTGTCTCTGACATGAGAATCCACTCAGCCACAGCTCCACACACATTGTCTCACATTGTCTCACTCAGCCACAGCTCCACACACTGTCTCTGACATGAGAATCCACTCAGCCACAGCTCCACACACTGTCTCTGACATGAGAATCCACTCAGCCACAGCTCCACACACACTGTCTCTCATGAGAATCCACTCAGCCACAGCTCCACACACATTGTCTCTGACATGAGAATCCACTCAGGCACAGCTCCACACACACTGTCTCTGACATGAGAATCCACTCAGCCACAGCTCACACACACTGTCTCTGACATGAGAATCCACTCAGGCACAGCTCCACACACACTGTCTCTGACATGAGAATCCACTCAGGCACAGAATCCACTCCACACACATTGTCTCTGACATGAGAATCCACTCAGCCACAGCTCCACACACACATTGTCTCACAGAATTCACTCAGCCACAGCTCACACACATTGTCTCTGACATGAGAATCCACTCAGGCACAGCTCCACACACATTGTCTCTGACATGAGAATCCACTCACTCAGCCACAGCTCCACACACACATGGTCTCTGACATGAGAATTCACTCAGCCACAGCTCCACACACACATATGTCACTCAGCCACAGCTCCACACACATGAGAATCTCACTCAGCCACAGCTCCACACATTGTCTCTGACATGAGGAATTCACTCAGCCACAGCTCCACACACATGGTCTCTGACATGAGAATTCACTCAGCCACAGCTCCACACACATTGTCTCTGACATGAGAATTCACTCAGCCACAGCTCCACACACATTGTCTCTGACATGAGAATTCACTCAGCCACAGCTCCACACACATGGTCTCTGACATGAGAATTCACTCAGCCACAGCTCCACACACATTGTCTCTGAGAATTCACTCAGCCACAGCTCCACACACTGTCTCTGACATGAGGGAATTCACTGAGAAGCTCACACTCAGCCACAGCCACACACACACTGTCTCTGATATGAGAATTCACTCAGCCACAGCTCCACACACACTGTCTCTGATATGAGAATTCACTCAGCCACAGCTCCACACACAGAGAATTCACTCAGCCACAGCTCCACACACATTGTCTCTGATAGGAGAATTCACTCAGCCACAGCTCCACACACATTGTCTCTGATATGAGAATCCACTCAGGCACAGCTCCACACACACTGTCTCAAGATTCCCACATATTCTATCTGGCATGAGAATCCACTCCGTCTCACACATTACTTGCACCCACCTCCGTCAAATGGTGGACAATTCGGGTCTGCAGCGTTCGTAAAGGCAAGGATGGAATTTTTCCCGAAAATGATCTCACCATTATCTGGAAGAGTCTGAAAATACGATATTACATGCACATATATTTGGCATACAAGATATTTTGCTTAAAGCAATCATGCAGATCTAACCTATCTGTGAAACATTGATCTTAAAAATGATGGCTTCATGTGCCAAATTCACAGACAGATGGCGAGTCTCTACTCCACGGCAGATCGTCATATTCTTGTCAGACATGTACAATCTCATGGTTTGTATGACGTCATGCCAAAATATCGTCATAAAGTGAGTGAGTGAGTTTAGTTTTACGCTGCACCCAGCAATAGTCCAGCTATATGGCGGCGGTCTGTAAATAATCGAGTCTAGACCAGACAATCCAGTAATCTTTCGTTATAAAGGGGTGCCGACAGTTATATTTCGGTTCAAACGATTTACTCTCCCGTATACATACTTGACTATCCAGGTATTCCATTTGCAGGGTTGGGACAGGCTCCAGGCGCGTAGCTAGCCAATTTTTTCGTGTAAGTCCGATAGGTTGCAAAGCTTTACATACAGATAGTATTGAGGGCTTGCACAACCTTTTTAGCAACAATGTGTAAGCCCGCTCTTTTTTTATGTTAGCTACGCCCCTGACAGCAGTATCAATTGCTGTAATTATTTCGTTACTTCAGTCATGCTATAGTACGATTAAAAGGCTTCAAATATGCAGTTGGCATAAATATTATTTTATGTTTTTTTAGTTAAATGTTCTTCATACTCACCAGTTCTTTCAGCGTTGTATTTGTCTGTACATACACCACAGGACTACCATCGGGGATCAGCACCACGTCATTTCCGCACGGTGCGCGCCCAGCGTTCCAGTTGTTTGGGCTATTGAAGTTGGTGCTTCGTAGCCATCTTTTATACACACCCAAGGCTGGCACTGGGTGAAAGAAAAAGAAACCAAGCTGATCTCCCTTATCACGCATATAAAGGGACTGACAGTAAAAATATTAATATTAGAGGATTGTGCAGGGGACGGTACGAATAACGCCATCGTTCGACAACAAAAGGGGGGCGGTGGTTAAAGCGTTCGCTCGTCACGCCGAACACCCGGGTTCGATTCCCCACATTCTGGTGTCCCCTGCCGTGATATTGCTGAAATATTGCTAGAAGCGGCTTAAAACTAAACTCACTCACTCGATATCTAAATAAAGATAACAGTATAAAGCTTTGCCGTTCAGTTTGGACTAGGAATGTCCCTGAGGTTCTCAATACAGATATACGTATAAAACTGCATTGCCCAGTTTGGGCGATATGTGAAATTCAATATATTCCGTGTTTATTACTATATAGATAAATCGTTCAGTTTGTACCACAAGTGGAAATATATAGCCGGGGCTTATTAATAAAGATATCAATATAGAGGCACATTCTTCAGTTTGGTACGATATGTGAAATTCAGTATATCCTGCATTTAAATATATCAATATGCAGATTTAATGAAATTCAATATGAATTTATTGGTTATTGGTAATTTTTCATCATGTGTGAATATGTGCAGATAGATAGATAGATAGATAGATAGATAGATAGATAAATACATACATACATACATACATACATACATACATACATACACACACACACACACACATACACACACACACACACACACACACACACACACACACACACACATACATACATACATACATACTATAGATAGATTTCACCACGCATGTTCATCGTTCAGTTAGGATCGTTCAGAGAAGTTCAGTTTATCAGGATTTCTCTTTTAATCTACTACTTTCAAGTTTACATGGTACTGTTAGAGGACGATCGATGATGGTCGAGATTTCGAGAATATTTATCAACATGAACACGTAGGTAGTAATTAAGACCATTGAAAATGCCGATTAAATTGAAGGATTAAATTTAAAGGAGTTAATGAGAACATTTACGATGTATTTTAGACCATTAACTCTAGATGAGCGGTACGATGTATTTTAGACCATTAACTCTAGATGAGCGGTACGATGTATTTTAGACCATTAACTCTAGATGAGCGGTACGATGTATTTTAGACCATTAACTCTGGATGAGCGGTACGATGTATTTTAGACCATTAACTCTAGATGAGCGGTACGATGTATTTTAGACCATTAACTCTAGATGAGCGGTACGATGTATTTTAGACCATTAACTCTAGATGAGCGGTACGATGTATTTTAGACCATTAACTCTAGATGAGCGGTACGATGTATTTTAGACCATTAACTCTAGATGAGCGGTACGATGTATTTTAGACCATTAACTCTAGATGAGCGGTACGATGTATTTTAGACCATTAACTCTAGATGAGCGGTACGATGTATTTTAGACCATTAACTCTAGATGAGCGGTACGATGTATTTTAGACCATTAACTCTAGATGAGCGGTACTTCTGAATCAAAAGGTTCCACGAGCTGCATCAGCTTTATTTCTGGGTAGTGTAAGCTGAGCGTTCGGCCAGTTGGCTTAAGCAATACATGGCTATAACACACCACGTACAGCAAGAATAACAAATATACCAATATAGCAATCGAGAGATGATAGGATGTGATTGTATAATAGAAAAGAATATCTTTAAAAATTGATTTGGATTGACAACTACACAAATATTTCCCAATAAAATGTAAGAATCTACGTATTGGTCATTTCTAGTTTTTGACTTTTGTAAAATTAATGTCGCACTTAACGATATTCCAGGGGTTTGACGACAGCCTCTTAATATTCGTATCTGGACCACACAATCCTGTGATTCATTCTGTTAAAAATCTATCAGCATCGTCGGGCGACACAGGTTAGCGAGCTTGACCACCGTCCATTTTGTCCAGCAGGGCCTCTATGAGACATACAATTTTGTACACTTATATAGCGTTTGGTCCTGTTGCCAAAGATTTCTAGTGACTGTTTTTAAGAAAAACATAAAACAATAATCGTAAAATACCTGTCAATTGTAGAAGCAGAAAAGCCACCAACACAGTCTCCATCTTGACCTGCTGATCTCTGTGACTGACAGATGTCTATTGCACTCTTAGAGGGGGGCGTATACTGGAGCTGATAAGGCTCATCCTGGTGACGGCATCTCTGGGTGAAATGCGATACATGTCTATATCACTTGTATATATACACGCGAGTTAGGGACGCATGCCGACACATGATCTGAGCTTAAGCGATACTTGGCTATAACACACCACACACACGCGAGAGTCGGGGATATATTCTGCCATATGATCCGAGATCATGTGATAGGGAGACAATCACAACAGTGTAGTTAAACATAGCAGTATTGCACGGGGTGAAATTGCTTCTACAGTGATATGGTTTGGTTTAGTTGTTTAACGCCGCATGCAGCAATATTCCAGCTATATGGCGACGATCTGTAAATGATCGAGTCTAGGCCAGACAATCCAGTGATCAACAGCACCCGTTAGACGCCTCTTACGACAAGCATGTATGGAATCCGAGAAGGGACATTGTCGCTATGTCGCATTGTCGCCCTCTCAAAAACAAATAAAATGAGGCAAAATAAACCAAAACGCGACACGCGACAACGCGACATTTCGGTCATTTGTCGCATTGTCGCGATGTTGCGTGTCGCGTTTTGAATAATATTTTTCTATTCCTCCAAAGGGCGACACGCGACATAGCGACAATTTTCAAGGTCAAACTTTGTCGCGTTGTCGCGTGTCGCCCTATCTAAGATATGTAAAAAGAAGCCTAAAAATTGACTAAAACGCGGCAATGCGACAAATGGGCGAAATGTCGCGTTGTCGCGTTTTGGTTAATTTTGCCTCATTCTGCTTGTATTTGATAGGGCGACAACGCGACAATGTCCCTTCCAGGATTCCATAAGCATGGGTTGCTGAAGACCAATTCTTACCCGGATCTCCACGGGTCTCCACAGTGAAGCAAGACAGTGACATTTTATTGATGAACAAAATGAATCCCATTGTTGCTAGTTCACGTGGAGCAATCTCTATTTGATTGATATAATCGAAGTAAAATGGAAATCATACAACTTCGTGGACAACAACTTCTGATTGTAGTATTTAGGGAGATTTTGATGTAGACTCCTGTATCGCTATCAAGCTGGTATTGCCATTTGTATGTACGGTGTTTGTTATCTACACCATTCAAAATGAAACCCATTTGTTTATTTTGAAATGTTCTAATTTGAACATTTATCTGTGTATACCTCAATTAATTTGACTGATACGATGATGAAATTTGGCATGGTGATAGTCGCTGGAAGAGAAGACATAATGGCAATACTGACTGTCGTGAGTGTCCCTGCCATACTTGGTGTGACCATCGTGAGTTGTTATAACTGCCCTACACTTCTTTGGCAAAGTCTGAATAAGTCTACGAATTCTGTCTTGTGGAAATCGAGTCCATAATTCCTGCACCGCGATGGCTATCTGTACAAATGTATGTGGCGTAGGATGACGTTGATGTCTGTCGAGTCCATCCCACAGAAGCGCTAGCTGGCCATTGGTCAATGTGTCTTTTGCAGGAAACATGGCCAAGCAGAATCTTTCCTTCATTGAACAAATGTACACGCTGTTCTGATCACAGCTTGTGACCTTCTAATTTCTGTTGGAACAAAGAATTTGACGACGTCTAGAATGAGACGTATATAGCGGTAGTGTTTATCTGGACGAGGTCTGTCAATATGTTAAACGAATACACGATTCTATAAGCCTATTTCTAAAGCATCTATTACGCCTGCCAATGTCTACACCAACATCTATTTGTCTGCCGTACTCAGCAATATTCAAGCTATATGGCGGACCAGCTTCTGTGCGTTTATTGAATAGCTTGTAGTGATTATACGTGACTTGACAATTCCTTTTGTTTAGTACGACTTACGCACAGACCAGTTGATATTGGCGACATACATTGTGTTGTCTATAGTAGCGTTGCGAATTACTGACAGTCCATATCATGAGACTTACTCCAGGGTCAGGCAGACAGACTAAGAGCGCAACATATTCAAATGATGATAACACAATTTAGAAAGTGGTCAAATGTAGCATATGTTATATTTGGGATTACACTTTCTCAGTACAGATTCTAGTACTATTTTGGGTCTGAGTCCTATCCGGGATTCGAACCCACACCGTCAGAGTCAGACACCTAATCGCCAGTCGGGGTGCACCGGACCATACGCCACCACAAATAGGCATCAAGCTGTATGGAGACAGAACGTAGCTGGAGCTCAATGTTTGATGCATGGATACCGACATTTCATACCGTAATGATCAGACTCTGAAGACATAATGTTAAAATGTGCACTGGGTAAATTCTACGGAAGTAAAATTGTCATGGTGATTGCACGTAGTGTTTGTTCACATCTCAAATCTATCAGGGCCCCCTTGCACAAAGCAATGATAGTACTGCCATAATCGTAACTCCCAAACCTTAACATGGAGTTAGGGCAGTAGAAGCGTTGAGATCGCTTTGTGCAAGTGGACCGAGTTATATTCAGTCCCCACCCGACACTCTCAACTCCCATGTTAATTGTTGAGTAGTTAGGCTAACCGTTAGTCTCTAAAAAATATACATAACTCTGAGGGAAGAAATAACTCTGTTATGTTGAAAAGGAGTCCCAGTGGGTGGTGAGATTCAATACCTGAGCAAAACATAGACTTGCTTCATTTGGGGCATTTGCCTTAGCGGAAGTGCTGGGCCAAAATGACATGACACACCACTGAGTGGTGTACCTCAGCCCTGGGTTGAAGCTAGTCTGTCTCACAGTCCCTGAACCACATCATTTTCCCTACTGCCCTCCGTGCAATGCAAAAGCCTTAAATGAACACTTGAACGGCTACGTACAACAGGATCACCTGCTGCGACCCCTCTATCAAGGTACCTTTGCCCGAGATCACTTTGCAACCATCGTGCTGTGTGAACAGCAGGGACATTATCCTAAAGCCTATATTGTCAACACGGACCCGAGCCATCTTCCAGGACAACACTGGGTGTGCGTGTATCGTACAGCACCGGGTGTCTTTGACTACTTTGACAGTTATGGAGTGAATCTCAATCAACTGCATCCAGACTTTCGGAATGCCATGACCTTCGCCGGATGGCTCCAACAACAGTGGAATCATCAACCCTGGTTCAGTGCCTCTTGTGGGATGACTGCTTGTATGTACTGGCTCGTCGTGCCCGTGGATGGTCTTTTGACGAAGTGATGGAACAGTTTGATCCCTACGATACCCTCGTCAATGAAGAACGTGTAAGACGTTGGTTTCAACCGACACGCCTGACAGACAACAACATCCATGATCCACAACCCTGCCAAAGGACACAACCTTATCATTCTGATGTTCTGATGTTACAGTTATGATGTTCTGATGTTACAGTTCATACCGTTTGTAAACAAAAGATCAGGGACGCCCTTAATCCTGCCTCTTTTGTCAAAGTGTTCTTGTTAGCGGGGGAAAATAAACGTTTGAATAAAATGTCAGTCCATGGTTGTTATTGGTATTGGCATTGGATGGAGCATTCTTTTGACTGACCCTACTTAGTCACATGTCAGCTTTGACGCTAAGTGATGTGAACCTCGACACGTCGCAAGAGGTTGATAGAACAATCCTAGAACCTCTCGTGACTAAAAATAGATTTGGGATATTCCAGCTGGAACTCCACACTGTGTGCGTCACGCTAGATAAGGAAGCAATAGGTATCGCTCCGTCCCTTTGACTGCGTCAGTTTAGAGTTACGTCCCATCTGTATCAAAATGGCAGACGACGTGGCACCACGAACATTCATGACTGTGTCAGAAGAACAGGTATTCAGTACTTCTGTTATATAACAATTGTTGCTGGCATTGAATTTAGCATTCTTTTGAGAGAGATGGGTGGCCCTGAAAAGGGCCGTTTTGTAGAGTGTACCTCACTCACAGTGTCCACTGAATGTCAAGCTTTCGTTTGTCAAGCTTGCGTCAAACGTCGCATGTAGGTGTCAGTCAATACGGTAGCACAATAGATACAGCAAAAAGTGCCTTGTATTCTAAAGTCCCGTTGGCGTAGACAGGAAGACACCGCCGACATTGATGACATTGCCACGCCGGCAAGGGCGGCGATGGTGGTGGTGGTGGTGTCTCCAAGGACATCAGCTCTAACTTCCAGTTTTCTGCCATGATTTGTTTGTCTTCTTCTTCTTCTTCTGTGATGATGATGATGATGAAGTCATAGCATCCCCCTGTCTCTCCCTCATGATATAGGAGAGCTTAGCCAATGAGAAGTGAGGCTTTTTGACCAATGAGACGGGTAGATTGACACCGATTTGACCAATGAGACGTGAGGTTTTTTGACCAATGAGACGCACGGGAATTGGACCAATCAGACGAGTAGATTGACACCGTCACAGCCATCACCAGCGATGATAGACCAATGTGCATTAAAATGGCGTTACATAATATGTCATACCTGTTTGAAAGCTCATCGTTCCAATAGGTTTGATGTGGTACCAGGAGCTGCCTTTTAATTTTCCGAGGGCACAATCTACAATGCCAGTGTTAACATGCTTTGCTAACATGCAATACCAACGGCCCTTTTCAGGGCCACCCATCCCGCTCGAAAGAATGCTACATCCAATGCTTTAACCACACACTTATCTAGGCCTACATCGTCCACGCCACTCTCCCTCCCTCCCTCCCTCTTGAAAAAGGGCCAAGGGAGACGTTGTTCACTACTGACAAAAGTTGTATTTCATGAAGCTTGTATCAATTCTGTTAATATCACATAGATTTCTGAGACATATTGATATTGACCCTTAACGTATGATGTTTCGATCTCTTAAAAAAACTGCAACATATCATTTACCTCAATTTTGTACTCGCTCCTCAAAGTATGGTAACGAAGATTGCAATAAATCAAGTAATACCTTCATAACAATCACATGTTCCGGTAACTGTTGGGAATATTTTATTTATTGCTCATCAAGTAGCATTAATGACTTTCATATATGGTAAGTTGTTGTAAAATCAGTCTATATGAGGACAATTATTACGTCCAATGAATTAGTTTGTAAGGTAACTTAGATTACAGTTTGGTAACGTAGATTACAAAAATATCATTGTTGAATTCTGACAGAATGGGCAAGACTCCTGTCGAGATCCAGCGGGATTACGGACAAGGGAATAGGGAGAAAGAAGAAACAAATCTGTAATCTACGTTACAAAAGCATTCATTGACAACCTGATCAATAATATTACCTTTTATAAATGCTATTGAATTGTCAGTATAGTTCATGATATTACCTCTCAGGTGTCGATTCTTTTTGTCGACTTCAATGTGTAAAGAACTGAATTTAACAGTATATCATACAGTTATATTTTCAAGAGCTTTGACTTGATCAACTTTTATTGCTATAATGCTAACAATCTCAACTGAGTGGAAAGGATGTTACATGTAATGTTGTTTCCTTAACGAAACACAACTTTTGGATTAACGACTGAACTTTGTGAATGATATCTCCCTTCAATGTGTTATGCAGCCATCATAAAGAACAGTCACATAGATTACAACGATCGTGTAGGGTGGTATTTTATGAGATGTGATGGAATTTTTCCAAGGTCCCCTTGAGTGCTACAATTTCTGATTTTTGTTCGTGACACTTTCTTCAATAAAACAGCAACAACAAGTGACAGAAATATTGTCTTTAGTTTTTTTACGATTTGTGTCTTTCAGATTGGGCATTCTCTGTGAGAATTGGTGACCTAATCGCCAGTCTGGGTGCACAGGACCACACGCCACCACAAAAAATGCATCAAGCTGTATGGAGACAGAACGTAGCTCGAGCTCAATGCTTGATGCATGGATACCGACATTTCATACCGTAATGATCAGACTCTGACGACAATAATGTTAAAATGTGCCAGGGGTGGAAATAACCCATTGCCCGACGTCCGAGTCCAGTGTTTTTTTCTGTCGGGCAAGCAAATTTGTATATCACGCTGTACCAGTGTCCAGTTGACTTTCCAATGTTAATAATGTTGTTTATTTAAAAATCAACAAGAAAACGGCCGGTATAGTGGAAAAATGATCAGGGCAAGTACGCTAGCAATCTTAAAGTTATTTCCACCCCTGTGTGCACTGGGTAAATTCTGAGGAAGTAAAATTTGGCATGGTGATTGCACGTAGTGTTTGTTCACATCTCAAATCTATCAGGGCCCCCTTGCACAAAGCAATGATAGTACTGCCATAATCGTAACTCCCTAACCTTAACATGGAGTTAGGGCAGTAGAAGCGTTGAGATCGCTTTGTGCAAGTGGGCCGAGTTATATTCAGTCCCGACACTCTCAACTCCCATGTTAATTGTTGAGTAGTTAGACTAACCGTTAGTCTCTAAAACATATACATAACTCTGAGGGAAGAAATAACTCTGTTATGTTGAAAAGGAGTCCTAGTGGGTTGTGAGATTCAGTACCTGGGCAAAACAGACTTGCTTCATTTGGGGCATTTGCATTAGCGGAAGTGCTGGGCCAAAATGACAACGACACACCACTGAGTGGTGTACCTCAGCCCTGGGTTGAAGCTAGTCTGTCTCACAGTCCCTGAACCACATCATTTTCCCTACTGCCCTCCGTGCAATGCAAAAGCCCTAAATGAAGTAAGACTAGATTTCCTCTCACTGGGTCTCCTTTCCAAGTGTGAAGCCCATTTCTGGTGTCCCCCGCCGTGATGTTGCTGGAATATTGCTAAAAGCGGCGTAAAACCAAACTCAGTCAGTCAGTCAGTCTCCTTTCCAATTTAACTGGGCTTATTTCTTACTCTCAAAATTATATATATATTCAGAGGCTGGGCGTTTGTCAAGGTTGAAGCGTGTTTGGTTGAATACCGCTGTTAACAAGATTCCAGTTACACCAAGGATTCCTCTACTTCTCCTTGGATACCTGGCTGGAAGCAATGTAGACGGGACCAGACGTTCCCAGAGCCGTAGACTTCAATGACAACATAGTTTCTACCTGGGTTGATGACGGTGCTCTCTTCACCCTTGGACTGTGGAATCACTTCGAGAATACCGGCTCTAGGACAAACAACAGTCTCGAAGGATTTCACTTCCGGATCAACCGTTCTCAGTCAGAACTGACATCCCAACATTTTCAAGTTTCTTGAACTGATCTGCGGTGTGGAAAATGTAGAACGGACGAAGATTGCCCAGCTCGACTTTGGTGCTGCCCCTCCCAGAAGGAAACGAGTGTACAAAGAAATTGACAACAGATTAGATCGATTGAAAATGCAGCTTCGTCGAGCAGAGAAGACAGACTCCATTTCAGTGAAACAATCCAGTGAAATATGTGAAACCCAGTATAACAATCAATGGGAAAACAATGTGAAATACTGTCCAGTGATGACATATATTATTATTATAAGAATACATATGAATATAACATACAAAATACAAAGGTTAAGAACACAAGCTTGTTTTATATTCACCTATAGTTCACCCTGTAGTTTATATTACCCTGTAGTTCTTATGGGAGTTTACCGAGTTTTCCGACTTATTGGATCAGTCCCCCTATCCCGACATAGGTATCAGCCTATAAAATAGTGCAACCGGCCCTGACCAGGGTTGTACAAGACTGTAGTTCTTTGGGGATGTAGTGCTTATGGGAGGACACCCACCAAGGCGTGTCAGTGGTTCCAAGCGAATCTCGAAGTGATGCTGATCTGGGACATTTGCAGCTTTGATGCAACCCAGATCCCGGCCTGAGATGAAGGCATTCACCTTTCATCGCCCAGGTGTATGTCTCTGTACGTCGCTAAACAAGGATAATGTTTTCTTTATAAATGCCTGGAATATGAAACGAAAACAAATCAAAAGCCGGCTAGTGATTAGTATATACCTGGACCGTTGCTTTTCATATGTAGTTTTGACAGCTGTTTTTACGCATCTTTCAGCATCAGTCCAACACTATCGGGTAGGGAACGGTGGAGTAGCCTAGTGGTTAAAGCGTTCGCTCGTCACGCCGAAGTCCCGGGTTCGATGCCCCACATCGGTACAATGTGTGAAGCCAGTTTTTTGTGTCCCCAGCCGTGACTGGAACTACTGGCTTCTCAGTCAGTGAAATACGCTGGCGATATTAAACGCAGCAGCAACAGACACTAACCACCCGATCGAATAAAGTCGCAATCGTTGGGCATTCCTCACAATTAACCCGGAACCGGAATATAAACGGAATAACCCTTCAAAGCGGCGTAAATCCAATCGGCTACTTGCTCACAAGAGTGCCATGCATGAATCACAAGTCCTTATCAGCAACTTGACTGATATGTCGGCGTTATTGCTTACATCGGTAATTACATCATGCATGTTCGAAATACGTCCGCCGCTTCCCAGCTCTTTCATTTGAACCCCGGTTTCCAAATTATGTGGATTATCTTCATGAAATTAATTTTGTGTCTTTATATTTCCCAGTTGTAAAAGCTAGTGAAACGCACATAAAATTCACGTTAATGAATTAACGCCGAGTTGAGCAGTTCATTCTTATCTTTCTTTCTTCGTTGCTTAACGCCGCACTCCGCAATATTCCAGCTATATGGCGGCGGTCTGTAAATGGTCGAGTCAGAATTACACAATCCAGTGATCAACAGCATGAGCATCGATCTACGCAATTGGGATACGATTGCATGTGTCAACCAAGTCAGCGAGCGTAACCACCCGATCACGTTAGTCGCCTCTTACGACACGCATGGGTTACTGAAGATCAATTCTAACCCGGATCTTCAGGGGTGCTATTCTTGTCACGGGGTGTCAGTTTGAAGTGTTAGGAAACCCGAAGTTTTCAAAGTCATCGACCCTGAGCACGTTTGTGAGACCCATGAACACGGTAAGGTTATCAATTACCTAGAAACATAATTTAAGTGGATACACCGGGAATCGAACCCCTAGTCCTTTGTTTCTGGACGCCTATGGCTTGTGGAGTGTATAGGATAACTGTTTCATTCATGATTTGGGACGGTGGGGTAGCCTAGTGGTTAAAGCGTTCGCCCGTCACGCCGTAGACTCGGGTTCGATTTCCCACAGGGGCACAGTGTGTGAAGCCAAATTTTGGTGTCCCCAGCCGCGATATTGCTGGAATATTGCTAAAAGCGGCATAAAACCATACTCACTCACTCGCTCAGACATGATTAACACAACACTTGCCAAAGATGTAGGGTCTGACCACCTTGAACTCTCGCTACCAAATCACATGTATGGGCGATGGTCACAAATGGATCAAATGTTTTTATCTCATTAATTCAATATTTATCACTCAATCATTCTATGATCGTCGAAACGTCGGAATATCCTGCCGAATTCAAACATACATGGTATAAAATCGTACATCTCTTCCCACAAATTCTAACGTCATGACCGAGTGAACGTCGGGTACGTTCAACATGTCCATCTGACCAATAGTACACCGTGTCCCAGGTAGAAACTAGCTCCCCGTTTGGTACAGCGCTACTTGGTTTTGATCAATGTCCGGGAGGTTGAGCGTCGTGACATTGACTTCCTTGACGCGCTGGAACCATTAGATTTAGCTTTCGTCTTCCCGTTTTTCAGATCTTCTAAGTTGAAGTCAACGATAGAAGATCTTCGTCTGGTCTTGTTTGGCTGTGTGTTCGAGGAACCGCTTGAAGGCGTCTCCTCCTGGATCGGATTAAGTGCTTCTGAAAATATCAAAATTGTTCGTTCAAAAAGTATCATTAACAAGTATAGACCAGTTCATATTGTTCAAAATGCAATCTTTCTTGTAAAGCCTTACAAAGAAGCTTAGAGGGTCGTTTTATCTGATCCGACACCACGGCCCAAGTTTTGTCATTTCAGCTTCGAGAACAATGGAACTAAAGCGTTCGCTCGTCACGCCAAAAATCCCGTGTTCGGTTCCCCAGAGAGATATTATTCGTGAATCCCCTTTCTGTTATCCCCTGCCGTGATAATTTGGGAATATTGCTTAACCCCACATTCCCTCAGCCGATACTCAATCGCAACACTCAACACCTGCAGTGCCAATGTCCTCCTCCACTACCCATGTGAGTGAGGTTAGTAATACGCCGCTTTCAGCAATTATTCGAGTAGTATCACGGCGGTTGACACCAGCAATTGGTTTCCGCGTCACGAGCAAACGCTCCAACCACTAGGCCGATGAAGATCGGGTGACATAATGTGTGACCCACCGTGTTGTAGAATACTGACGGAATGGATAGAATTGCTTCTAACAAAATGCTTTGCCGCGCTAAGATTATTTTACAGTCGACTGTGAAATAACTGGGATATTGCCTACTGCGGCATAAAACAGCTTTCGCTCATTTACCTATAAACTCTCTGTTCGCCTTGAGACCGGCTAGCAACGGTATAAACTTCAACCTCTCCTGGTTGTCTTCTCCCTTCGAGTCTACAAATAGTTGACAAATCAACATCAGTATTACTGAAGATCAGACCAGATTCGTTTATTTTATACTTGTGGATCAGGGTCCCGATCCATAAAGTGATCGTAGTGCTGCGACAGTCTTAAGCCTATGTTAAAGTATGGGAGTTTCGATCATCTTAGTGCTACGATCGCTCTGTGGAACGGGGCCCAGGGTCCCTATCCAGGAAACGTTCGTTGCACTAGCATCATTCGTAAGCTTATGGTAAAGTATAGAGTTACGACAGGTCGTAAAGTTATGAACGCTTTGTGGATCGGGACTCAGAACCTTAAAAGGTTGGTTTGTTTGTTGTTTAACGCCGTACTAGGCAATATTGCAGGTATATGGCGGCGGTCTGTAAATAATCGAGTCTGGACCAGACAATCCAGTGATCTGGATCTTAAAGGTGTCCTCTCACGATTTAAAATAATCATAGCAACATAAGAAGTAAGTGTAGTGTATGGAAACGTGGAGTAGCAGATTACTGCACTTACGTAGCATGCACGTGTGAATGTGCGTGCGTGCGTGTGAATTAAAATATGTAAACTTCTGTCTTTCCTACCATATTTGGCCGTCATGCCACTGGCATGCAATATAACGGAAATACCGTAAAGTTTTCGGCCCAAAAACAACCCGCCAATCAAACATTCGGACAAACATATTTTGCAAATGTAAAATCAAATAAAGGCCAATACTCACGATCAACCCTGAGTAAAATGAGAGATTCTCTTCTCTTCAGGTAATCCGTTCCATAATCGTTCAGATTATTTCGTAGGTTTTTAACCCGTCCTTTTTCATCAGACAAGTCTATAATATCTGCAAACAAATGTAACGGGACACATGTTCAATGTTTAATACCCCCAATCGAGTACTGCAATGCAACCATCTGTCTAAATCGTTCGAGGAACAAAACATTTCAGTTACTTTGTTTGTTTCTTGTTCTGTTTTGAAACTGTCATTATCATTCATGACACGAATATCTCCTTGGGGGTAACGGAAAGGGGCGAGTGTTGACAAATGGAATGTGTCATTTTGAGAGTTCGTAGGTATTCACTAACAACATCTTCTATGTCATCGTACCTCGTCTACGTATGCTCATAATAGCAATCACAGGTTTGTCCGGTCTAAACTCGGTTATTTACCGAGAGTCAGTATACTGCTGGAATGGTACGTTGTTCAGCAACAAACAAACAAAGTTTCTGAAATAGTTTTTCACGTGAACATTTCGGCTTACCGCTTTCACCGCAGTCGCAGCAAGATTTGATGTGATGAAGTAGGATGTCGTTCCTACAGTTGGCGTTAAATATACGACTTCGGTGATCTGAAACATATTCAATGACAGAACTGGTAAAGTCTAGACTGAGGCGAGACAGAAACATGAAAAAACACCTCTCGTCATCTATTAAAAAAACACAGACATGGATGGAAAATTCTCAGATTTTATGGATGCATCGTTTAATACGTCCACCCGTTAACTCCATGTTTTACATGCTTCGCAGAACTGCATTGTGTTTTTAACCTCGATCCTCACTGAAAATTTAGGATATAGTCGGTTTGATTGTTGTTTAACGCCACACTCAGCAGTATACCAGCTGTATATGGAAGCGCATCGATCTACGCAATCGGGATACGAGGACATGTGTCAACCAAGTCAGCGAGTCTGATCCCGTTAGTCATGTCTTACTACAAGCAGTGACCATATGGGCTGCTGAAGACCATTTATAACCCGGATCTTCAAGGGTGGAGAGTTAAATAATCGAATATTTACTGATATGTATGATGTTTTCCTCCAATTGATATGGGGATCCTGATTTGAAGAATTTCTTTAGACGGTTTCATAAACATAGTTATTCTGGCTTATTCAACAAGAAAATATATAACAGAAATGACTCTCAGTTCTGTTTATGTTGGAAATAAATAATTATAATTGAGCTCCCAAAGAATAAATAGAATAATTTGGCTCAGAACCTTTCAGTCTCCGATATTTTCAAGTTGAATGTAATGATATAGCGGACATGAAGTCCAAACTGGGATTCGAACCACAGATCTACTATGACTGATCCGAAGTCCACATGTCCAAAACGGTTTACCCTGTTAGCAAGCTGACTAGGTAAAGATCTGTGGATGACTCCAAGCCCTGCTACAGAAGGCATGTCCCGGGCCGCATAGTAAGGTACTGAGGCGTATGTTGCTCAAAAGGGCGATTGGGTAGCCTTAGTGGGTAAAGCGTAGCTCGTCACGCCGAAGACGAAGTTCGATTCCCCGTATGGGTACAATCTGTGAGGCCAATGTCTGGTGTCCCCCACAATGGTATTGATGGAAAATTGCTTTTAAACAATACTCACTCACTTATTTTGTAATGTGCTCAGTCATACGTCGGGCGCCAGTGTAGTGGCTATGAAAGTTCCGAGTCCTATACTGGGATTCGAAGCACAGATCGTCTGATCCGAAGTTAATAATAATAATACTAATGGAAATTTATATAGCGCTAAATCCGACCACTAAGTGGGTGCTCAAAGCGCTACAAAATAATAATAATGTTTGAATAGAGTTAATAGTGCAGTGAAAAGAGATGCGTTTTAAGATGTGATTTGAACGCAGCAAAAGATTAGGCAGTTTTAAGGCGAGGGGCAGTTCATTCCACAGCGATGGAGCGCAAACACTGAAAGAACGCTTTCCATAAGAGGCCAGTCTATAAGAAGGAGTTTTCAAAAAGAATCTGCTTTCAGATAGCAGTTGACTGGATGGTTTGTAGGGGGTTAGCAGTTCACTTAGATATTCTGGTGACAAGCCTTTTAGACTCTTGAATGTGATACAGAGTACTTTAAACACTATCCTCGCCTCAACCGGAAGCCAGTGTAATGACTTGAGTATCGGCGTAATGTGAGAGTACTTTGAGGCACGTGTAAATGCCGCTACATTTTGGACTTTTTGATGTCTCCTCAGAGATTCTTTACTGATGCCTAGAAGCAAACTGTTCGCATAGTCCAACCTCGAGAGTACCAAACACTGTAAGAGATGATAAAAACAGGTCTTGCACAAATTGTCAACTTGATAATCCATGGACAACTCGGAGTCAAAATAGACACCAAGGTTTTTCACCCGGGATGAAAAGTCTACAACAGAGTTGCCAATCACAAGTTTTAAGTTCTTGTCAGTTGACATCTGAAGCTGTTGCTTAGAGCCTACCAACATAGCCTCAGTTTTTCCATCATTAAGTTTCAGTTTGCTACATGTCATCCAAGATTTTATCTCTGATGCACATACACTTGTTTTCTGAAGGGATTCAGCAACTTGTGAAACTTCAAAACTATCCAGGACTTGAGTATCATCTGCATATGATTGGTGACCGAGATCATGCCGTTTTATGATCCCACCAAGTTGATTCGTATATATCACAAAGAGTAACGGACCCAGAACCGATCCCTGTGGTACTCCACATGTAAGATTGGCACAGCAAGATTGTTCGTCTCCTTTGATAACATGCTGACTTCCAAGTCTTGAACACCAAGAATGTTCATCTCATCCTTGACCCGTTGGAGAAGCTGTTGATGATCCACTGTGTCAAACGCCGCTGAGAGATCCAATAATGTAAGAGACGCCATATGGCCCTTGTCAACCTTGGTCCTCAGTTCATTCAGTACCCGCAATAATGCTGTCTCGGTACTGTGATTGGTGCGATAAGCAGACTGAAAGTCATCCAGCAGTTAAAAGATAGAAGCCATGTCGGCATATCCAAAGAGGTTAACCATGTGAGCAGGTTGACAAGGAGACAAGGTAAGGATCTCATCTGTGGGATAACTCAACGCCCTGTAGACTAACGCGTAGTCTCTGAATATATATATTTTTGACAGTAACAAATAAGGAGCCCCAGTGAGATGGGAAATTCAGAACCTGAGGAAATCCAGACTTGCTTCATTTAGGGCGTTAGCATTGCATCGAGGGCTAGACAGTAGGGAAAACAACGTGGCTCAGGGACTGTGAGACAGACTAAACACCCTGCAGCAATGCAATAAATTTTTCGGTCCGATCACGTATTCCACCTGTGAAATATCTGTGTAAACAAGCCTACAATGGACATTCAATCATACAGACATCACATGCAATAGAGACGTGTTTGTTACGAAGTAGTTTAAAAGTAGCCCTTGTAATACGCAATACTATTGGCGTTAGGTAATTGCTAAGACCTACTGCCTACTGTCTAATCCAGTCACACAGTTCATGGTTGACACGCCACCGACGTATTCCTGGGGATCAGACAGGTTGATCTGGTTTCATGGATAAGTCATGGATTATATAATGGTCACTTGACCGTACGTCAGTAATCCGCCATGAATGCCTATCAAGTAGCTTACCGTTTAAATCCTCCGAAGGTCGGACAGCATTGAAGCAGTCCAGCGCATCAAAACAACACAAGAGGCAGTCATTACAAAGACGACATGAAGATACATTTTGGTGTTTTAATGAGTGCTAAACTATTTTACTGTGTTTTCAGGTAAAATGACCATGAACGGATCAGTTATAGTGTCCATGCATTGGAAAACATATAGCCATCCTTTTAGGTTGATGAATCCACTTGACACAAACAGGGAGTTTTCCCCTCCTTCAGAATTAATGATTCCGCATCAGTGCTTGCTTGGAGCCGGTCTGTCAGTCTGGACCAGAAAATCCAGTGATCAACAGAATGAGCATCAATCATTGAGATACGATGACTTGTATCAACCAACTCAGTGAGCCTGATCACCCGATCCCGTTAGTCGCCCTCTTACGACTTCATGGGTGCATAATATAAATTAACGAAAGCGATAGGTTTGCTACCCTCGCAAATTAGACAATCCAGTGATTGTCACTCTAAGAACCAAGACAGACTGACCACCCAGTGCATTAAGCTAGATCTTCAGAGCAGAAGTTGCCTGGAACCATTTCAAACCTGGAAAATACATTTGACTAGCAAACTATAAATAATCTGTTTTCCAAAAATGTATTATCAGGACGTATCATTTTGGTTCTGAGAATTCCTATTATACGCATTCGAGAATGTGTTGAGTACGGCAGACACCAAATCCGTAGAAATCTCATTAAAATATGAAAAAGTTCGATTTATCCGAGGTTTGATACAAATTGGGGATTGGGTGGAGTTTATAGGATGATTTAACTCCACAAGAGGGACATCCGCGGAAGTGTATGACATCACATTTTAAGACTTATAACCACTGCTTTAAAGAAACGACACCCCTACAAACAATGTATATATACACTGAGGGAAACAAATAATGGAACGCATGAAAGCACAAATGTTTCTTATTCTTTTCCAAGTTTCTTCACAAGCTTTGTAGTGCACTGTGGGTGCGAATCTGAGAATAGAGAAACACTGCGGAAAAAGGTGTATTCCCTTGTTTGTTTCCCTCAGTATATGTTGAGATAAACTACAAAACATGTTCCTCTATATACTTACCTCCATATCTGACGGTCACAAACATGGTTTCACAGAAGCGTTCCTTTCACTTGCCAAAACGAAACAACACCAAAGTGATAATGTGAGCCAAAACAAGAATTCTAGAAATTATGTTCTCCCAGATTAAGTTAGGTGAATCCTTCTTCAACAAAGCGTTTCTTCTTCTCTTCCTTGTCCAAGACCTCAAAAGCCTTGCGACCATAACATCTTTTCTCCAAGCCGTATGTCCATATTTTACCCTAATCCATTCATTTCAGTGAGTAAGGCAGTGCCTGGCGTAAGTGAAAATAGTATTGATTAACATAGTGACAAAGGCATATCGTGTTTGGTACACATTCCGCAAGGTGTTACAGTATCGGATCCCGTGTCGCACACTCGAGAAATAACATGGTATAACACACCACATTGCCTGATCGCACGCTTTGGGGAATGGAATTACTGTGGTGTTTGGGCGAAATGTTTCTATGTGTCAAGAACGCTGTTTCAGTTTTGAACATATTTTCTTTCGTGATGAGGCGTTGAGTTGAATCACAGGCAAATTGTAGCCCACTTAGGGTTGCGCAACAAGAGAAAATGACCAGTCTTTCCATATGCGAGCGAAGCATATGGAAAGACTGGCCATTATCACTTTGTTGCGCAAACCTAAGTGCGCTACAATTTGCCTGTAGTTGAATACACACAAGAGATGGCGGTCCATGGTACCTTCTTCCAGGTTCTTTTCTTCACATGAAGCCTTTGGTTTGTTAATACTAAATTTAATTACCTTTAGAATTGGACTTTGACAAGACAAGTTGGTCGTAAGAAGCGAACGAGATCGGTTGATTATGCTCGCTTACTTGATTGATGTATGTCATCGTGTCCCCTTGTGTAGATTGTTGCTCATGATATCAATCACTGGTTTGCGTGGTCCAGACTCTATTCATTACAGACCGTCGTCATACATGTTTGTTGATGACGAGAGTTCGGGTTAAAAGCTATACGAAATCAAGCCTTCCTTCTTGCTTGCCTAGCTTGCCTCTAGCGACACATTCCGGAAATTCCTCTTGTCATGAATTTCCAAATTTCTGCTTTGTCAACCCAAGGGTCCACACCTTTGTAATCACTCTAATGGAAACATCAGATTTGAGGTCCGTATCATCACGTACATTAAAGAGTGATAGACAATTACTCTTTCTTAATCATTGTCGACAGAAAGTTTTGAAAATATGGTATGCAAAGTTGAAGGCAGCACAATGTAGGGTTGCCGTTTCCACGTTCTCAAAGTGTATAAAGCAATCATTTTGATGATTTTTCCCATCAAAATTCAAGTCATGTATATAACGCTATTAAATATGCGGATAACCTTGCTCTACCTTGAAAATACGGGATGATTATGCTCAATAAATTTCCTCTGAGCTGTTAATTGTTCATATCCACCGAAATATTAAACTATCTAAATAATACCTTCCATGGAAACCTATGCTCAAGATTACAGTGTTGCAGTGGACTGACCACTAAACTAACGCTAAGATAATTCGCCCGAACACACCTTGTAAGAGGCTGCTATCAAAGCCACAACCAGTGGGTTTCACAGGTCATTTTCCCACCTGTATTTTGGTAATAACCGATTAATCGATCCACTTATTGATTACTCGCTATCGCCGACCCTCGACATTAACCCTTACTGGTTTTTATTGCTTGTTCTCAGACCGTAAACATGGCTGATAAATCAGTATTGGACTCGAGGTTGTGTTATTGGGCTATAAATAACACTCTCGTGTATTGCAATAAACAAATAAATAATAATTGTGTCAGTTTATATTCATACAAATTGCTTATCATGTCAAGAAGGCTAAACCCCGTTAACCCTACGTTATCAATGCTTCAACGAGATGTATGAAGTATAGTTTCACTACAGCGGAGAAATGAACAAGAAAACGCGTTGCTATGAGCGGCTAAAATAGGACATAATTAAATACCTGCCACATAAGTAATATAAAATTGGTTATAAATGGCACAATTTCAAGTCATTGTATAAAGACATATTTGAAGGAACATATTTTTTAAGATTTGAAGACGATATGTTTGGAGTGAAGACATGTACCACTGTTGCAAGAATAAGCAACACATAATATAATGTATGTGCAGCAAAACGTATGAAATCACACATACATTTAGACCCATAATTGCACCATGAGTGTCCTAAATGGTTTGAATATGTCCAGAGGTGTTCATTGTTAATATGGTATTTGTTTCAAAATACTTTTTAAAACATGTCAAGCATAAATCTGCAGTAATTAACATATAAACCTACACTGCAGTTGATATGCGTATAACCCATATATATGTTGCAATGATTTACGTTATAAGTGGCTGTAATCTTGAGAATCTAGGCAGCCACAGGATCAGAAGAAAACAGATATGTTTTAGGGGGGTCGGTTAAGTGTTATTTTAACCTTGTTCGGTTGTGTTAACTCCTATCTAAGTAACCAATCTTGACGTTAGGGTCGGTGAAAGCCAGATAAGAACTTGATCCCACCCTCTCTAAATTCTCCCTCCCCAGGGACGAGTTGTCGTAGCACGCTCGCGTATGCCACACAATATCGCCTTGCTTTGAGAAAGTCGACGATAGATTCCAAGATTGTCTGTGACCTATACTAGTAATCAGTATTCTTAAACAGCTCCTCTTTTTAAAGTAGAGAGCAGCATAAACTCTATTTCAGGCTGATAGATATAAAGGCATCGTAGTCGTCAGGAGAGAAATACAAAAACACCTCATTTTGTAGCGACAAATCGTATTGGTAAAGACGTAACATTTATTAAATGTACAGTTGAATACATTCTATAAGTAATAAAACTCTTCCAAAGGCTTAAATTGTAAGAAAGTGGGTCACGTGTTAAGTATGCAATGTTGGACATACGCATGCCTGAATTGTGTTTGTGTCAGTGTCGGTGAATTGCCTTAGAGCTATATTCGCTTTACAGTTTTGCTTTAACCTTCAATCATATGTTGCAGTATCTACCAGTATAGTTGGTGATAATCAACGAAAACCTTCAAAGATTCCATACCGATTTCCAAATATCAAGAGAAAAAGTTTGACAAAAAAAGGATACAAATTGTATACCTGCGTCTCGTGCTCAGCATGTATAAGCTGTGGCCTATTCACTAACATCAAACCTGTACTTCTCTTTACTGTCGTCATCAGTTTTACTGGTCCCCATTTAACCTTTGTTCATGAGAGTGATCTCCCTTGTTTCACGTTCACGTTCGGAAAATCGCTACGCGTACATTCTGTTATTTACACGAACTTTAGGTATACCTATCAGTATGAACTAGTGATAGGCGGTTTATTTAGCAATGGTCTGTGTTCGTAAAGACTCTGAACAGCCCCCATAAATCTTAACGCTATTGTAACGCACTCTTTCTCCGTCGGGGAGGTACATTCTGTTACTAACGATACACAGATAGCGTTGCTATGATGCCATTTTGGATTTCCATATCTGGTTACCCTGAGCCATTGTCGTATTTGATTGCGTTCGGCGATTAGACGAAGTCATCTCCCCTGACAACTGTGTTCAGTCAAGATCGACACAAGGTAGATTTTATGTTGGTTATGCTCCTTGGGGTTTGTTCCTCAATTTACACGTTTGACCAAGGTCAAATATTTCAACTAACACAAGACTATTCGGAGAGTGGGTCTTTCGGACTGTTCCTTTAGCTTCGGCTGAACTCTTAGACAAATAAAGATCTAAGCCTAAGTAAAGTAACACGGTGTTGAATTTGCTGATATTCATATTGTAATAAATAAGTAATTCCTTTACAGTCACTGAACTATATGCCAGAGTTCTGTAGACTTGACTGTTCGACTCGCGGGAGGACAGAAGTGGTCCTTACTACAGGTGAGTTTATGGCGCCCCCACACCTCCTTCAGAATCCCCACTGGGTCCCATGACTACTGCGACTAGCGATTACTCGAAACAACTAAGCTGTAGCCATCGCAGTGCTGCAAGTGACAGCTCTCTTCTGTTACGCCGGATGCTGAGCGCCAATAAGCAGTATCCCGGAAACCGTTGTGCAATTAGCTGGATGCCATGCCATGACATGTTTATCTGTATTCAGTGTTGAAATATCATTTCTATTTATCAGCATGGTCAGAGTTAGTCCCAAATAAGGTGCAAGAAAATATATTGGTCCCAACAATACAATTGTTGAAGATAGTTTTATTTCATACCAATGAAACATCATTTCTAAGGACATGATTTACAGACATGTAATAATCTGTACGAAGCAGTAAAACCTACCCTATATTACAGTAAACAGTTTGTACATTTTGTGATACAGTATATTTACATGTTTCAGATGATGATGTCATCTTCAGAGGGTTTGCAGACCTATCATGATCTTTGCCTGGATCACAGAGTTGAGATGTTTCTGGAGAAGCAGATTGGACAGTCTGTGGAACTGGACTTCTACAATCAATACAAGATGCTCAAACCTTGTTCTGTGAGGCCATCTGTGTCTGACTCTGCTCTCCTCACCAATGGTCTTAGAATTCATGAAAGTGTTGACATGTACATTACTGCTGCAAGAAAACTGGATGAAATAAGGAGAAAGAAGTTTCCCTTTCTCACCACAGGAATTGCGTTCAAATGTTCATATAACCCTGGGAAGTCTTTCTCTGACTCTGATCTATGTCTTGTCATTACATCCGACAGCAGTATCAGCCTCCAGTCCAGCTCAAGTGTGAGTGTGAACCATGGACAGGAACAGGAAGACTTTGAACCACAGCCAGGACCCAGTGGTTATGTGCCTGAGGCAGGAAGATTTAAGAACTTGAAGCCTCAGTCTGGTCCTAACTGTTCTGGATGTTCTAGCACACACTCTCTGTACAGTACAGAAAGTGAAGTGAATGTCTTCTTCGATGAGTACATGGTCAATATGCATGATATGAATGCCCACAACTGGGCTGACTTTGATGATGATCACTCAGTGTCCGCTGTGTCCAGTCAGGAATCTAACCTATCTGCTGTATCAAGTGTTTTGTCATTGCACATGGACTACAACCAGTGGGACTGGAATGAGAAAGATGAACTTGTTGGGCCTCTTGGTGACGATGGATGGGCAATTGGAGCAGCAGAGGTTATCATTGATGTTGATGACACTCTTGAGTTCAACACACAATATCCTTCTCTGCAAACTCAGAGTGAGAGACAATCTTCCGATGTTCCCCACAGGACACCCAGTGAGTCAATGTTGTGTGACAGGAAGAGGAAATACTATGATGAGCTGATGAGTGATGGTGATCATCCCAGGAAGAGGCCACGAGCATCTGTCAGTGACACAGCAGTGCCCAGTCCTCCTCAAGATCCAGAGGCACCACACCTGCCCAGAAGAACTATAAGAGCAGTTCGTCGCAGGTTACCCAGAGAATGAAATGAGTGTTATGTACAATGAACATGAGTGTTTTGTTTGTGACTGTCTTGTGCTATGCTGTAAACGTTGTAAAATGTTATGGTCTTCATCAGTGTTCCTTGTGTTGTCTGCAATTCTTGTAAACCAAGGCAAACCCTTATAGTCATAAACCACTCTGTTTATCAATGGTCAAATTATAACCAGATCTAAAGGGTATTATGTCAGGTTACTCCCAGTGATATATACCCTGGCGATCTTGGGGAGCCATGTAAAGACCACTTAACCTCGAAAATGCCCCAGACGTCCCTATTACCGTTTAGGTAACTCTGAACTGTGACCAGACCACACAGTTCATGGGTCTGCTTTCCCTGTACTGTAGAAGGCTCAGATCTATATAACTTTTCGAGGCCGTTTCGACTCCCCCATAAGTCTAGGTATCCCTGAAGCTGGTCTGCGCCACGACCACTAGCCACTCAAAGGTAGGTCGTGATGGACTTCCTGGTCATTCAAAGTATCCCTTGTTCTGGATCTCCTTCAGCCACCGATCTGTGCCGAAACATGCGCTATAGTGGAGGAGGATGTGGAGGCAGATTAACCATTGGTTTATTTGGACAACGTATATCCACCAACTAAAACAAATATGTATCAGAAAGCGGTACTTTGGCTGATTGTAGTAAAGACAGCTAATTTTTACCCTTCTGGACAGATATGCTGTAAACAAATTTTGACATACTGTAACAGTTTGTTCTCACAGAATTCAACCTCGTTTCCAAAAGAATGTATCCCCACTCTTGCTATGTATTAGTCACTAGGACCACATACTAGCTACGGGAATATTATCATTATCAAATCTTTAATCTCACTTTTATCACGCGGGAAATGCCCATTTGAAAACTTACTAAATTTCCTTGACAAGTAAAATAATACATTTAAGGACTGATCTGGTATGAATTCAAAAGGAAATCAGGGGAGTAAGGCTTTCTATCTCAGGAATAGTTAGGATTTACACCATAGCCCTTTGAATGGAACAAAGCACAATCGGTCATATTCTTGAGATACAAAATAAATTAATACAACTTGAGACATAATAAAAACTTGCTTTGTTCTATATATTCTTACTGATATCTAGAGTCAAACGTTTGCATAATACATAGTACTTTGTGTAAAACAACTAAGTACAATATATCTCATCTTCAGATACCTTTTTTTCAAAGGTGATCAATACCAGTTGTCTTTGTTAACTGTATAATAAACTGTTTTGTACTTAATCCCTTATTGCTTATTTGTTGATAATCAATTCCACGAACCTATAAAAATACCCAGTCTATGTGTATTTCTTCAGTCATAATTGAGTGATGGACGTTGTTCCCATTATGTGCCAATCACAACGTTTCCTGTAACATCTAATGCCCATACACGTCTCATGTTTCCATAGCAGGCCTATATTGGTTTTCCATCACATTTGCATTAGAGGGTCGTTAAATGAAATAAATCACTGTCGTAAAAAGCCTGGCTACCTCAGAGTTGTTCCTCGGCATCAATCCAGAGTCAATCAGACTTCGGGAAGAATTATGTGATTCATCTTTCACTGCACTCTTGATTGGATGTATTTGTGCGATCTGTTCTCGTACGGAAGACAAAAATATACAACTGGATCAACACTGTTGAAATGTGTTTAATGAACTTTTGAAGAATTTTTTTTTTTAAATATGAAACATCTCACAAATTGTACACCGGGAAATATTCTTTTAGAAATAGGTTGACAACAAGACGTCAATCAGGTATATAATGTAACACAGGCTAGAACTGTTTGTTTGTTCATTATTGCCACTCTTAGCAATAACCAGGCTATATCTAGCTATCAAAACAGCTAAGGTTAGTAAAACTCGAGTACATGTTAGTAGTGACCCCAGACATGGTTATTATTAACCAAGTAAGAAAGTCTAACATTCTCATCCAAGTCTGCTCGTACAAGTACATGTATATGTATCTGAGGACCTATTCTAACACTGAGGGGGCGGTGGGGTAGCCTAGTGGTTAAAGCGTTGGCTCGTCACGCCGAAGACCCGGGTTCGAATCCCCACATGGGTACAATGTGTGAAGCCCATTTCTGGTGTCCCCCGCCGTGATGTTGCTGGAATATTGCTAAAAGCGGCGTAAAACCAAACTCAGTCAGTCAGTCTAACACTGAGCTTCAGTCATTTGCTGCTACTGGTAATGATAACAACAATCTCTACTGTCATAAAACAATGTAAGTTCAAACAAATAACATACAGAAACATTCACTTCTCTGTGACAGATTTGGTTAGGTCGATTCACACTGATCTGGTTTCACATGTTTCTGCCGTCGTGAAACAAAGCTAAAGGTTGATGACAAACCATGGTTAAACAAGTCTGTTTTTTCTGCTTCCTGTAATAATCTTCAGCATTAACAGCGCTCCCGATTTGCAATCGAACCCGGCCTTTACGCTTGACGAGCGAACAAATTTACCATAAAGTTACCCAGTAATCCTCCTTGTGTTGTAATATACTACTCAAAGGAAGTTAAGGGCCCCTTGATTATTAAATATTACTATAGTTAATTGTCATTGCATGTAAGATAAACTGCAGCAACGTGACGGTCCTTAACCTCTCTCGAGCAGTGGGGCGGTGGGGTAGCCTAGTGGTTAAAGCGTTAGCGCGTCACGCCGAAGACCCGTGTTCGATTCTCCACATAAGTACAATGTGAGAAGCCCATTTCTGGTCTCCCCCGAAAAGGTATTGTTGGTATAACGTAAAAATCGGCGTAAAACTAAACTCACTCACTGTTTTTAGCAGTATATATTTTACTATACTTCACGTTATAAGAATAATCCCCCAAACACAACCAGCACGTTTCCCGCCTGCATTACGCCTCGCCCCTGTCTTCTATGCGTGGGGTAGACTTGCTCCTGATCAGAATCAGAAAGTATGGCTCCTTTGTTTGTAATCCGCTCAATCGATTTCTACTTTAACATGAACAACAACCAGCAATGGTGACATGTCAATACTTAGTAGCAGAGCCTTGATCCCAAGGGGTTTAACACTTGATAAGATTACATGGCAAAGGTGCAAACGCTTGTTCGGCCTAGAGGAAAATCGGCCTTATAGGAGGACCGGAAACGTTGCAGGAACACACGGTAGGGTTTGTGATGGAAAGCAGTTTGCTCAGCGCTGTTTTCGGAAATACACCAATAAGCTGCTCACCTATAAACAGAGACACGAGCGGTTTCAATAACCCATGAATCAATAACTGGATACGCATAGTCCAGTCGGCAATCGCTGTACAGTTTTGTTTCTTAGTTGTCGTGATCCGCTGATGTTGGTTCGAATCCCAGATTAGCTCTGATATTATTACTCTTGGTTTGTCTGTACCATATCCGATTAATCAAGTGGTAAATGTCTAGAAATGGATAAGTCCGGGAGATCCTCCAACATTTAGCCGACACGCCGTGAAGACTACTTTTCTCATACAGTCAAGTCATTTTTAACATGTGAAAACAAATTCCCCGGAACGAATATATTTATAAAAGTGATTTACTTCTATTCAAAAAAATAATAAATAAATAAATTAAAAAATATAAATACAAGCAAATAGCTGGTGTTATAATTTGGAGTGAAGCAATTGGACATATCTTTATCTGGGGTACTTCGACGCACCACCGCAGACCGTGACATTAACCCATGGATTAAGGACGTGAATTGGCCAACTGAACTGAGACAGTTTTAAACGTTACAAGGTACACACTTCAAAGACGTAGTTTGTGTACATACACTTCAATAACTTCGGTAGGTTCACGAACGAGCCAAGGTTAAATTAAATGTATACTGAAGGAAGTAGGTGTAAATGCAACTCATAAACCTGTCACAGCTGACAGACGTAACCGGACGGACAAAAGACAGGTCATATTCACAAAACATTCATTAAATGGTACCGTCAGTCGCTCGACAAGCAGGGTTACAGTGAACTCGGTATTGTGTATGGGTTTTCTTCCGAGAACGAGATGATACGTTCCCGACAAGCAGTGGTTTGTGTCATCGGCTGGGGAGTTGGTGCATTTTTCACGTAGGAAGTTTGTGGCAAATTAACGTATATACCGTATTTCCTCTAATAACCGCCGGAAATAAAGCAGTGCTTTAAGAAATAAGCGCCGGGTCTCTACCAAGCGCCGGGTATAGACCTTTGCATTTTTTTCGCAAATGTATTCTCCCTTTGTCTAAAAATAAATATATTGAGGAATGGTCCGAAGTGAGTGAGTGAGTTTAGTTTTACGCCGCACTCAGCAATATTCCAGCTATATGGCGGCGATCTGTAAATAATCGAGTCTGGACCAGACAATCCAGTGATCAACAGCATGAGCATCGATCTGCGCAATTGGGAACCGATGACATGTGTCAACCAAGTCAGCGAAACTGACCACCCGATCCCGTTAGTCGCCTCTTACGACAAGATAGTCGCCTTTTTATGGCAAGCACATGGGTTGCTGAAGACCTATTCTACCCCGGATCTTCACGGGTCAGGAATGGTCCGAAGGGCAGATGGACAGAATGAAGGCTTTGTACTCATCCCCGCTTTTATAAATACAGGGTATTTTAATAAGCGCCGGGCCTCTAATAAGCGCCGGGTCTGGAGGTCCGTTGAAAAAATAAACGTCGGGGGCTCTTATTAGGGGGAAATACGGTAACCTTCACGTGGCAACGTAATTAAAGGTGAACGTTTATCGTTAACTTCAGACGTGCCAGGAGTTAGCTTTCGATCACTTTACACAAACATTTTCAACAGAAGATCCCCTAATTAGACATTTCTGGGCATGAATTCCCAACACTTTCAATTCCAGTGGGCGCGACACACCAAGTTATGTTACATGTTGCTACCCTGACTGCCGCTTGTCATGAAGGGGTTGACTTTCCAGTTAAACTTGGACATGTTACATAGTGCTTTAAAACGGAGTTGACACTAGCACGCACACATGCACAACACATGCACGCACACATGCACGTCACTAGAAAGTACAGTAACCTGACTGGACCAGTTTCTCAAAGCGAACGTAGTACTAAGGTGATCGTAACTCCCATACAAAGGGACGGTTCATAATGTATGGCTAGGGGGGGGAAGAAGGGTGTGTGTGATGATTTTAAGGGGGGTCACCCATTTTGTTCGGGAGGGGGGAGGGCAGCAATTATGTACATAAAAATATGTTATAATCGTGCTTAGAGAGGGGTGTGTGTGTGTTTCATTTATTTTTGTACATAAATTTTAGGGGGCGGGGCGGGGGGGGGTCATTCACATTTTACATGCTCCTCCATAAAAATCATCACACACACACCATAAATTATGAACGGTCCCTTAAACCAGGGAGAATAGAAACTGTAGAGTATCCCTGCTTTAACATAGACTTACGACAGTCGTAGCGCTACGATCGCTTTGTGAAGCGGGACCTAATTGACAACTGTATAAGAAACCATACAGAATCATTATAGAATAATACTGCCATCTATGAAGTGATCTTGCACTTAAAGTACGACAATCTTGAACAGAGGTGAAGCCTCATTTCTCCTCACATCAATTCAAGTGGACCACAGTCTTCAGCAGTTTAGGGAATAAAGTGTTTTACTTTCAGCAGTGACAACTTATTCTTACGCTTGTGCAATATTGAGATGGTAATCTATACACTATAGACAACACAGGCATGCATGTTCCTTCCGCCAACAGTGGAATGGATAGTGTTGAGGAGGTATTGGGTTATTTAGTGGAGACAGTGTAGGAATGTGGACAGCTGTGTTAGAGAGACAAAACACATGCAAGGACACTTGACATGATCTATATTTACCATCTGCAAACCAGTGTGTGTGAGTGAGTGACCTCTGCAGTATTTCAGCCATATTGTGACTTGATAAATTTATACAGTTACACCATAATTGGTAAACAATACATCTCAAACTAAAATCTGTCACCAAAGGACTATAATATCACTATCACCGGTATATGTCTAAAACTGGCACCCCAGCATCTAAAACTGGGCTATAGATCACCATGAGTCAAAGTTAGGCCACCATACTGGGGACAATGGGAGCATAACGATACCTCTGCTACCTGCATGGTACCACAGCTCGATTTTCACCATTCCTGTGGCTACCAAGAGGGCTTGGCAGTTGGACCACAGACAGCATTAAAGACTTCATCAATTATTCACAAAATAGGAGTTACTGACAGGCAGACAAACTTATGTTGTCCGTTGACAAATATCCAGTATAGTTACAGGGTCTACTTTGAGAACTTATTGAACTAGGCATTGATCATTGGATAATCTGATTGGTTGGTTGGTGTGTTGCTTAATGCTGCACTCCGCAATATTCCAGCTATATGGCGGCAGTCTGTAAATAATCTAGTCTGGACCAGACAATTCAGTGATCAAGAGCATGAGTATCGATTTAAGCAATTGGGATACAATGTTGGATAATCAGAGGGCAAGGGGGAGGGGATTTGATATTCTTGAAGCTGTTCATGCATTTACCTGTGTCTACCTGAGTTCATGCTCTTTGTGTCACTACATATAATCACAAAATATACATACAACACATTTAGTCACACCTATAGCATTTTATTCCTCTAGTTTTTTTTACAAGATGAAAAACAGAAGAAACATCCATTTTAAATTGTGACAGATGACATCACTGCAAGTATTCCGAAGCTTATCCAAACACATTTGCTCCATAATCTAGATGTACAAGGCAAGTCTAAAACATTTAAAATACCATGATGACATAACCTTTCTTTTGTCTTTCTATAAAAGAATAAATAACAGATCCTCTCCCTATCACCCACCCATCTAACTCGTGTCCTATGCATTACACAACTGGCTGAGTCTATAATTCTGATAGTCTTTTTCAAATTTATCTTGAATTAAGGAATGTAGTTGATCACAAAGTGGTTGTAATGGGTCACACTCAGCAAGTTTCCCAGCACATCTCAGCAGTGCAGCTGATCTATACACAGTCTCATACTGGTTTTGATAATCCCCTGTCTCCACAAATAATGTCTTCCTGTCCACTTGCTTCAATGATGAAATCTGTTTGATCTGATTCTGTAAGGCAGCTGAAAGGATCGGCAACAACTCCTGTGTGTAATCACGAGTTGTCTCCCTTGAGAGCAGATGGTGGAGGTGGCTACAACACAGGTCCACCAACAAGATGTCTTCTCTGTATGAATTCATCTCTCCTTTGTCAAACAGACGGACACCCTCATTCTGAACATATTGGAAAAACAAAAATCAGATACCTCACCCACGTTTTAAGAATACATAAAATCAAATGAAATATATAATTTTTAAATGAATTGATCAAAATAATAATTGTCACTGACCTTCAGAGAGAACGGTAACATTCCATGAAGGAAGCATGGAAGTAATCAAATGAAAGAGATTACTTTGAAAAATAGTGACTGAGTGAATATGGTTTTATGCCGCTTTTAGCAATATTCTAGCAACATCACGGCGGGGTACACCAGAAATGGGTTTCACACATTGTAACCATGTGGGGAATTGAAAAATAGATTGTACACTACTCAATGAAACTAAAGAACATGTTAGGACAGATAATCTTGCTCTTTAATTTCTGTTGAGTAGTATGCATGATCATTCTACAAGAGACATTATCAAAGCTGTGAATGTTTAACAGTAACGTGGCTGTGTGTGGTCCTGTGTGTAGAGCTCTGGTCACAATCAGTTGAAGTTAAGCAACGGTGGTCGCGGACAGTCCTCGGATGGGTGACCGTGTTCGGCAGCTTGACTCCTGAGAGTTTCAAGGGCTTCAGTCCTGCCCCACAACGAAGCATATGTGATACATGTGGTCTCACCCCAGGCAAGTGAGTTTGTTCAAACTTGCCTCTGTCCACCCAGCAGTGAGTGGGTACCTGGTATGATAGTATTATGATGGTAGTCTGAATTTGAACCCTGACAGGTGACCGGTTGTATTCTCCACAGGGAGTGTTCTGTACTCATTGACCAGGGGTAATGTCAACCCTCTGAGCATGCAATGTGCATGGATAAATGCGCAATATAAATGGACTATTATTATTATAGTTCCTGACACAAAAATCAGCTTTATATTCCTATGTTTAAGAAGAAGATGAATCCAGTTAATCAATTTTCCACATTAACACATCATATTGTGGCTGTAGTTTATCATTCCGGCAAAAACAAATTGTCTGTTTCATCACCTGTTCTTCCTCCCTGCTTTCTGTGATCCATCTTGTCAATGCCGTTACGCACCCAACAACATCCCGGCACCATGGTGGTCACTCAATAGGGCCATCAGCCTCTCCAATACCAAGGTTGGCTGAAGGTCGTCTGAATATTTAGTAGATATAATGGTACATTGATGCTCTCAAAACGAGGGTCTTATCTGGTCATTAAATCCTACTAAGTTGGCAATTAGTATTCAGGAGTGAAGCCGAGCCAGAATATGAGTTTGCATTTCCAATGGATGTCATGACATGTTATCTCCCTTTAACACCATAAGATTATGAAGGTTTTAATGCTGCTTTGCCGACATTTCAGAAAATCAGGGCTGAACACCAGTAACATGACTCACTCACCTATGTGGAAATTCAAACCAATTCATAATAGTGATGAGCCAAACTGGACAATCTCATCCCCAGGGCCATCTTAACATATGGAGACATTGGACATTTGTCCAGATGCCTTTGAACTCCATGGAGCTCCATGCTAAGTGATATGTTTTTGACTTGCTGTAAATAAGTACTATACAAATTGACTAAAATATTAATATTTATTTCTGGAAAATGAATATTTAGCACATATTGTTCTTGCAAGTGGTTGTGAAGGCAGGGATCCCCAGGGGGCCTCTGATGCTGTTAAGATGGCCTTGTGTAACCCCCTTTGACCATGTTGATTTGAGACGGAGATGAGCCCTACCATAAGCCTGTGTGCTGTCGAGGGCTGGGAGGACCAAGGCTGCTGTTTCCTTTACATCCAGGTCATCCTCTTGTAGAAGGTCAATGGCTACCTCCCACATGTCAAATGTAAGCTGACCTGGGGACAAGAACGACGTACCTACAACTTTACCATTAATCCTATTGAATTAATATGTGAACGTTTGTATATGTTTACACATGTTAATCTGCTGGCTTGAAGGTTGTTGGCGCATCATTCCTTCCATGCCTACACCCTAACTGTAGTAGGGTGTGGAGACATCCTAACATTGTCAGCTTAACCTCTTTGATCATTTGGACAACACATCCAGCCCTGGGACCTGTGAAGGTCCGGGTTAGAATATTGGTCTTCAGTAACCTATGATTGTCATAAGAGGCGACTAACGGGATCGGGTGGTCAGGCTCGCTGGCTTGGTTGACACCTGTCATCGGTTCCCAATAGCGCAGCTCATGCTGTTGATCACTGGATTGTCGGGTCCAGACTCGATTATTTACAGACTGCCGCCATATAGCTGGAATATTGCTGAGTGCGGCGTAAAACTAAACTCACATCCAGCCCTGGATCAGAGGATCAGTGGCTTGAATCCCATCATTGGACATGGAAATTATCTGGTGTCAAACATGGAGCGGAGTCATATCAAGTTTGAGTAACATAAGAAGGAGTACATAGTAACCAACTCTGGACATGCCTTCTGCTGACAGGGGAACATGTAGCAGGATGTTGAGTCATCCAGCAGACGACATCCTTACCTTGTCGGCTTCATGACAGGGTTAACCTCTTTAATCATGTTGACCTTCTCAGATCAGAAGGTTTCTGGTTGGAATCTCATCAACCCCAATTGCATAGATCGATGCTCATGCTGTTGATCACTGGATTGTCTGGTCCAGACTCAGTTATTTACAGACCACCGCCATATAGCTGGAATATTGCGGAGTGCGGCGTAAACAACAAACAAACACACTTCAATCTCATCCCAGGACATGTTACTTACACAGGAGATGTTGAGGATCCAGCAGCAGGAGGACAACGTACTGCTGTAGCACAGATGCACAGCAGAGCTGGAGGTCGGCACTCTGTCCTGTCTGACTGCACTCCTGGAACACTCTGCACCAATCTTCCATGACTGCAGCAACATCAGCAGCCTTGGACTGCAATGACACATTCATTGTCAACAAACATTCAGGGAGCTCTCAAGACAGTATTAGGACTTTCTAGGATGGTAATACAGTTGGAATATGCTGTTTTAATTCACAGAGTAATAAAACACAAGAGTAAGTTAGTCAAATTCACATAAAATTCCCCAAAGTCACTGAGCACACCCATCATCAGACCAACAACAGAAGCTGCTGCATGAGAAAGTGTAATCCCAAATATATCATGTGTTACATGTTGTTTTCGTCGTTAGAGCGTCCGCCCGGAGAGCGGAAGGTCGCGGGTTTGATCCCCGACCGCATCATACCAAAAGACGTTAAAATATGGTACTTGTTGCTCCCTGCCTGGCCCTTGGCATTAATGGGTACAACAAGGACTGGTCGGCTCGGAGTCAGTATAATGTGTCTGAGTGGGGTATTCATGCTTCACTGCGGCATGGTATCTCAGTGGGCTAGCACTATAAAACCAGCTTCAGTCTGGGCTAGTACAAGCAGCCGCACATACACATACACACGCATATGCACGTCATCATATGAGCGAAATATTCTTAAGCACGACGTTAAACCCCATTTCACCTCACCTCACCTTACATGTTGTTTTCGATAAGTAAACAGATAGTTCCCACCTGGGCCACAAGGTTGTAAACTGTTGGTACAAAGACACCAGAGAACTCCAACATGGCCGCCTTCACTTCCACTCTAAAAACCGGGAATGAAGTTTAATATGTATTTTGGTGGGGATAAAAATAATGGTGTTATATATAACAAGTCGTAGGCATCACATAAACATTTCCAGACCAGTTGTTAATATTTAGACCCTCTGCATCACATTTATCCAAAGTCATAGTGAACATACATTACACATTACTATTAAAGACTGTGGAGATTACACAGTACAGCAAATATATAATGCCAGCAGGGTATATTTTACCAGTCGTACATAACTGAGTGATAAAAATAGTAAAGTTTACATGTAAGACAAAATAAACATACATATCCATGCCTCATCAATCCATGTCTTAATAATGTCTCCATGGATACAAGACAGTTACATGAATGACTGAAAAGCATATTACCTTGCTTCCAGCTTCATCTTTTCCACTATCAGCTTAAAGGTCTAAAACAGACAAGCAAATTTCTTTAATAGCTTACAAAAACAACAAGTTGTTTTTCTTATGCATGAATGAATTGTATACCAGTTTGAATAACTAAACAAAGAATAATGATCGTGTGTGTGTGCGTGCGCGCGTGCGTGTGTGTGTGTGTGTGTGTGTGTGTGTAATGTTGCCACATGTACCCATAAAATATTCCACATAAAATATAACTAAAAGATATATATGTAACACTATCTATACCTCATAATTTTATGATATGAAGTGATGTCATTTTAATTCACATGATAACCTTTATTTATCCTAAAGTCGAATACTTTACTCTACCAATAATATCTCATGACAGGTCAACATGACAGTTCATGGAATCACCCTACTTTTGACCAATATTCTAGCAAAATCACGTTGGAGGACACCAGAAATGGGCTTCACAAATTGCACCCATGTGGGGCATCGTACCCAGATCTTCGGCATGACGAGTGGACGCTTTAACAATTAGGCTACCCCACCACCCCTAAACTGATATGAAACTCAGCTTATATCCAACTCGCTCATGTGGCAGATCTGACTAAGTTAAGTGTCTGGTGCGATTAAAAACAGTTGTAACGATGGACTCTTTACCTTGACATCAGTTGTCTGGACAGTAGTGTGGATTGATGAAGTGACGTACAAAACTTCGTACACCTGGGCACAAAGAGATAAAATTTCCATATGCAACAGACATGAAGCTGTGTCGGGTATCAATCACTGAAATATTCGTTCATTTAACTGACATATTTCTTACAGTTGTAAAACAGCTGATTTCAAACAGAAATCTTAAATGATAAAGAATCACTATGTTTCATAGTCTCTTATGGTTCAAACTCACTGCATGTTATTTCCACACAACAATAAAATACAAAAGAATGTTGTTTTATGCTAGTGTGAAAATGTATCATGGCTACTAGTTATTAATAAACTAAAAGCCAGAGATTGATATATGATTGGCATGACATGGAATTCTGGGTGTGATGACGACACCTTATCACCAAGGTTACATGTAATCAGTAATATTACCACTAAAGGAAGCATGTCATCACTTTCAAATATTCAAATCTGATTGGTCGGTTGAAGCTGTAATATGTCACAATCCTTCACTATTACCAACAGTAAGACATGACTTCCAACAATTGCTCATGACACAACACACTGATAACTGGCGTCATCCGAACTAGACACTGCTCTGTGAGAAACTTATCTGTAGGGTTGATATTTCATATACAGTGGAAGCTGTCAAAACCGGTAGCTGTCCAATTTCGGCAAGTTGTCAAAACCGGCATAAAATCCAAGTCCCGTCCGTGGCTAGTACATTTATCATCATTTAAAAGCTCTGCAATCCGGTAGCTGTCAATTCTGGATCTCGGCATGAAATAAGCTAACCGAATATGTGTTTATACAGTAATCAGCGCTGTCTAATCCGGCATATGGCAAGGAGTCAACCGGATGTGTATTCTCATCAATTAATCCTGCATTGATTACATGGTTGCCGATAAAGACAATTTAATATTAGTTCAGCATGGGTATAGTTGTACATGTAACTAGTGAGTTGACATGTTTTATTGTGATACAGCATTGTTTATGCGAGTGACAAAACTGGTCCACTTCTAGTCGGAGATAACCGTGTCAGCTCTACAATCCGACCCGCTGTCCAAACCGAATTATTTCTTCAGTCCCGACGAGTGCCGGTTTAGACAGCTTCCACTGTATGTCTATATTTTCTCCCTTAAAGTGTCACTGAGTTATATCAAAAATAATCTACTTGACCCTTAGAATTACAGATTATCTGTGCCTTTTGAATACATTCTGCAAGACCCTCTTGGTCCAACACTTACCATCGCTAGACACTCATGATGCCACTCGGACACCAATGCCATGTCCAGCAACTTCCTGTACACTGGATCTGACCTTCCGAGTCTCTCTACAATGTCTGCTGTCATCCCTACATGTTCTCCTTCCCTCTCCCCATCGCTGAGTATACCCCTCCAGCCGGACAGTTGGCTGAAACTCCTGCACAATGGCCTCAGCACTGATAGTCTAACCTCATACATGTCAGATCCAAGAAGACTGATAATCACATTCTCTTCACAACATAATCCTGCATATGCATCCACTTTGGACTGTCCTTGACCTTTGACATCTTGACATATCTGACCTTCACCTCCCTGGCCTTGACCTTGACTACATGCTATCACATTACACTCCATGTTACTGTTGGTTGTCTGCCATGTCAGACTGTCCATTTCATGGCAATGTTTCAGACACAGGTGAGCAAAAGTTGAGGTGAATTCTGAAAGAGCAGGGGTATGACTAGAATACTGACATTTCTCTAATAGTTCCTGTTTTAATACCAACTGAACTAGGTGCAGGAGTTTATCTGTGTTGTGCTTTACTTCATCCATGTTTTGGCCAGTATCCAGAAGGTGGTCACAAATCTCTAGTGCAACCTTCCTGGTGACGACACAGTTGTTAGACCTGCAACAACATCAGCAACATTTTAAAGCTGCAAGATTCATATTCAGTCAGGTAAGATAAGAATGTTAAGAATTAATTTCATTTTCCCCATGTCTCCATCTTTGATGGATTTTCAGAGTTAGTATTCATTCATTTGAAAAAATTGACTCCACACCTGAGATTAGAGTGGTGTTAGTGAGTTTACCTTTGAGATTAGAGTGGTGCTTACCCTGAAGTTAGTGTGTTACCAACAAAGTTAGTGTGCTGCTTACCTGGTAGTCAGCCATGAAACATCCAACCAGCGGCAGCATGGCTACCATAATCTCCTCCCTGGCTGCGGTGTTCATGTTCGGGACCAGAACCAACAGGTGCTCCATCTGTAGCGGACAGAAAAGTTGTTTAACATGGACATACCACAGACATTAAAGCTGTCAGTGGATCCAATAAGCAGGAGTCAGAAACCTAGCAACATAATCAGGACAAATCTGGGATTCAAACCCAAGTTTCTCAAATACATAAAGGAAGCAAGTCTGCGCAGTGAATTGTCGTGCTTAAGTGTGTGAGTGAGTTTAGCAATATTCCAGCCATATGGCCGCAGTCTGTAAATAATCAAGTCTGGACCAGACAATCCAGTGATCAACAGCACGATCATCAACCTACTTAATTGGGATACGATGATAAACAAGTTAGTAAGCCTGACCACCCGATCCTGTCATTCGCCTCACACGACAAGCATAGGTTACTGAAGATCAATTCTAAGTGCACCGAAAGTGTTCTATGTAACTCAAATGGTATCACATACAATAAACTATGTTTATAACTTAGATGCTTACAATCAACTCATAGATTTACTGAATTGTTTTGGGGGTCGCAACCACTTGGCTCTTTATGTCAGTTGAAATGTGTATTATGAACAACGCCTATAACAAACAAAGTAGTGATCCCTTTGAGTTGGTGATAACCCTAGTTTACTGTAAAGAAACAGAAACTGTTCTCAAAGATAATTATGTGATTTTACTATACCTGAAGGAGAACGCCATGTATGTGGCTTTGCCTCATGTCATTGGCTGTTTCCTGTGGTAACCTAGCAACCAGCTGCAAGAGTAGGGAGGTCATCTGATCCTTTATAGCCAAAGGTTGTAGAGCTCGGGCAGCCATCAATCTTGTCTTGAACACTGGACTTGAGGCACATCTGAAATATTTCACATGATGTACAACCCCTCTACCAGCTTAGTGCCTCACCATATTGATTCAAGTTTTCTTTAATATCTCTAGAAGAACATACATACATCTGTCTAAACATTATAGTCCCTTGTAGCCAACATTCAGCTCAGGACCCAAAATTGGACAACAAAATCTGTAAATATCTGACTTTCTAGCAATAATCATGACACATAATGACTGGTCATATCTTTAATAGAATCTGGACAATCTGAACAAAGTGAAACTACTTAATTAATATTATATCACTTGATATAGTAAAAAAAATATATAAAATAAGTCAACAGTAGTTTCAGGTGTTATGTTGCATGTTTTCATTTGATTATGGTGGAGTGGGGGTTGGGGTTTACAAAGCAGTATCAACTGTTGTTGAATATAGTTACACCTGTTTCATAAAACATGATGAGGAGGAGGTTAAAATCAAGTTAAGGTTGATTTCTGGAAAGGGTCTCTGAGCTTGAGGCACACAACACTTACTTCAACACAAACGGAATGAATGCAGCCAAGTTGAGATGTGTGTCAGCGCCCTCTAGTGAGGACGGGAAGAGTCGTCCCAACACCATGAGCACCGGGTAGAGGCTGGGGTGTAGGTGTAGTCTCTCCCTACAGCTGAGAGAATACAAGAGTCTCAACAGTGATCACATCCAACAGTCTCTCAGAATTTACAATTATCTTAAGTGATAACTATCTCAATTTATTGTGAGATAATTTTAGTTTAAACTAAGTAAACAGTTGTATGTTTTTCTGCTAAACAAATAAAGGAAAGTCCAACTGAGGTCATCACAAATTAATTATATAAACAGGCTGACATTGTCTTATTATTCGAACTCGATGGGTGGTGAAGTTATGCTGTGTATATTGGAGAGACACATACTCTATGTCCTGTGTAGCCTCATCAAGCTCTGACAACAGGAACTGATACAGAGAAGGGTATCGATGGAAGAAAGCACGTCCTGTCTGACTGAAAGAAGAACTCAGCACTTAATGGTCAATAAAACATGTCATACTTTATTGCAATGCAATCAGGATCTCTCTTGCCCCAGTTGCCAAACAGCTACAGAATTATTCCTGTCTGTGTATGATTCACTTATGCAGTTATACCTATATGCCCCAACTACCTGCATGAGATTCTACCATGGCACACCGCTGCAAGATCACAGAGATCCGCCAGTGTTTATCTCCCCATAGGAACTAAACAAGTCCAACAGCTGCTGTTTTTTCAACTACATACCTCTGGCTTGTTACATTTGTCTCTTACCCACTCTGACCTTCTTCAAACCCGAATCAATGACCATCCTGCTAACACACTGTCACTACTGGATGCTCAACTTCACACAATATTGACCAACACCTCTTGGAGTATATTGTAGTGGCTGGAGGTAATGTAACACATTTAATGTAAACACTTTTAATTTAAACAGTTCCCAATAATTTGACCTTCAGTGGCAGTGTGGATTGTATATCAAATGATGTGGCAATGAATTCTACTGATTGTAAATGCCTTCAATTTATGTGAGAGATGCGTTCTTTTCATCAAAGGTAGATTACCTCCCTTTTCACCATCATTTCAGTTATTTATTGAAACAACAACGAGGACTATGGGACCTGTTAACCACTCTCAAACATCAGGCATTTGTTTTCACAAAATTCATATTATCCCTGACATGATGCAACATAAATAATGTCTGGCTACATCCTGCTGTCCATACCAGTTCTTCTTGGAAATGGCATTCTCATCCTTGCTTCTCTTCACACCAAATATCCTCGTCATCAGAGCACTCAGTAGCAGGGTGGATGAGTTACGAACCTACAACAAATATATTGACATCATTTCTAGCTGATCCGTTATACATCAGTGAATACTATCAGCAAGAAGTCAATGTTGAAAAGTACATTATAAACCTGGCATAAACCATGAGCTGGAAACATTCACAATTCACATCCAGCATTTAATCTCTGAAATTAGGAATGCATGTTTCAAATTTTTAGACATAAAGATTTACCGCCCAAACTTGTGACTTGAATCCTAAGATGGCTGCCTTGAGTCCGTCTGCTATGTAGGGAACAACATCCTCCCCGAGCCGTGTGTCCCGAAACAATGCACGCAGGATGTTTAGTGAGTGAACCTGAAACAGACAAACGCATCTATTTCCAGATACAGTAGTTCCTAGAATAATTCTAAACCATAATCACAAAATAAACCGATTATTTTGTAAACATTTGGATAAGAGAAATATCCAGCTAAAGCAAAAACATGAAAGACCTAATTTCAGATAGATATATTTTTTTCATCTTACTTCTTCAGTTTTTACTTACTATTTCGCCCACAACAAAGTCTAAGGTCACATGAATGTCACATAAAGGAGTTCATGTTTATGTAAGTATGGCCAGGGAAATCAGATGTGGTACCTGAGAATTGTTCATCTGTGTCCTATTGCTTTGTGTGAGAGCAAGCATCAGCAGACGTGTCATGGCTGACTTGAAACACGCTCTACCTGTCGACGTTGGCTCAGTCGTCACGAGGGCCTGTAACAAAAGGATGTCACAAATATTTCTGTGGAAATGTGTGTCCTGCAATGGTATAACTCAACAGTATAACAACACTGTGTGTAATTACCCAATCTAGCCATTTTAATTTGCACATGTATGTTACTGAACTAAATGAATGCAGAAATCATATGGAAGCTAATATTGAAGTCCCATACATGAAACCAGTGAATAAAGCGTGAAAGAAGCATGAAAAGTTGCCATGTCACGAATTGCTGTCATGAGTTTATGCAACATGTTACACATTGGCACAGCACACAAACAGTTGATAGCTACAGGAATTTACACAAAGGAATTCGTCGATCTTATGAAGAAAAGTTGAATAGATCAGATAAAATCTCTGAGAAACTTGGCATCATGATCCGATTCAGTATGCAAATGATATGTACATGTATTGCTGACTGACAGAGTAGCTCCCCCTGACCTGTACATAGAACGGCACCCCTGCACTGCGCCGAGTTGCACACAGCCGGGAATTGGGGTCGTCACTGATGATGTCGCACATGACCTCCTCCAACCATCTCTTCGGCAGGCTGTGAAGGTCGACACTTGCATGTCTGGAGTGAACACAAAGACATAAAACATCGAAGAAAGTGTGACAACAAATTAATGTAACTTTTCAGTACAAAGCAATTTTCTATTTGTTCAAGGTGAGGTGAAGTGAAACTGAGATAAAGATTATTGAATTCATACATGCATGCTCATGTGTGGCTGCATGTACTTATATGGCTGTAAACCAAGTTTATAAAACAAAGTTAAATAATGACCGAGTGAGTGAGTTTAGTTTTATGCTGCTTTGAGCAATATTCCAGCAATATCACAGCAGCGAACACCAGAAATGGGCTTCACACATTGTACCCATGTGGGGAATCGAACCCAGGTCTTTGCAACGAGCAAAGGCTTTAACCTGTTAAATAATGAAGTGCTGGATACAATATGCACGCAGAGTTAGTAAGGCTGAATGTTCTGTAGCAATCTCACAGCATGAGAAGCATAGAACACATACAGGGTCATGTCTGCAGGTAATAGCAGTGTTGAAAATATCATGTGTTAATGTTCAGTTTGGGTGTTGTGATACTTTACATGGTGTAACTCAGTTTATCCATGTCCATATCTTCCCATATCTGGATAAACACAGAGTCATTCAGAGTAATGTCATTTACAAAATACACTGCATTCAAGAATCACATCATCCCAATGTGAAGTACTGTTAATTTGTATGATGACTCTGTGGAAGGACCAAAGATGCCATTGTACAAAAGGATCTTAGCACTAAGGTGATCGTAACTCCCACACCTTAATATATTTACGGGGGTGTGTGTTTAGCCTAGTGGTTAAAGCATTGGCTCGTCACGCCGAAGACCCACATGGGTACAATGTGTTAAGCCCATTTCTGGTGTCCCCTGCCGTGATGTCGCTGGAATATTGCTAAAAGCGGCGTAAAACCAAACTCAGTCAGTCAGTAATATATTTACGACTGTCATAGCACTATCGGCACCCAGAACAACATTTATTCTATAATAGATTGGATTAGCGACACTCCAGCTATGTGATGACTTCCCCTAAATAATAGCGTCAGAACTAGACAATCAAGTGATGGATAATGTGAGGCACATGTTTATGGCAATCACAAGCCTGAACACTCCTTCCATTTTTTCAATGCTTACAACCAACATAGGTTTCTAGGAACTTTTTCTGACCCAGTATTCCTGAGGTCATAGCACAATGGCAATGATGTACGAACCTCCACAACATTTCACACATCTTGACAAATCCTGCATAGGCCAACTCGAAAGCTCCCCTGTGTTTCGACTCCAACAGTTGGGTGGTGAAGTAGCTACCCAGATCCAGGACCTGTAACACAGGGCAATCTCATCAACATGACATGTTACTTACATAGGATGGCCTTGACAGGATGACAGTCACGCCATGGCAAAGTCTCGTCCATTCCAGTTTTGCTCCCAATGAAGTAAGAGACAGATGATGACTTTGACTGTATCAGTCTGTAACTGTTCTTCAAAATACCTCATGTTAACCGTTTGAAGGTTGCCTGATAAGAAAACACATTCCAACTGGCACTCTTCTGATCTCATAACTGAGGCCGTGATTGGTCAGATGAAAGGTCAGGCCTTCAGATCATTGTTTAAGGCAGCAAACACAGGTTATACGAGTTGTCACAGTAACATTTGGACAAATTAACTATGTGTGCAACTGGTCATGAATGTTGAAACTGTAGAAAACGATAAATTAATAAACATGACATTTTCAGGCTTGGACCATTGTCTGATGTTTCAGATCTCCAAAAGATAACAATTGTGTATTTGATAGCACTGACAGCAGATGAGGCCAGTGTGTCTAAACATGGCTAGCATTAGATATACTACTAACAACGCTTGTGTTTTGGACAACTGCTAAGAGGTAATGAGACTAGCTTCCTCAACAGTTGTCAAGTGACTGATCTCTCCCAAATATCAATTGTTTATATTTGAAACCTGCTGAGAGTTAAGGAGACAAGTGTCTTCAACAGTTGTCAAGTGACTGATCTCTCCCAAATATCAATTGTTTATATTTAAAACCTGCTGAGAGTTAAGGAGATGACTGATCTCTCCCAAATATCAATTGTTTATATTTGAAACCTGCTGAGAGTTAAGGAGACAAGTGTCTCAACAGTTGTCAAGTGACTGATCTCTCCCAAATATCAATTGTTTATATTTGAAACCTGCTGAGAGTTAAGGAGACAAGTGTCTTCAACAGTTGTCAAGTGACTGATCTCTCCCAAATATCAATTGTTTATATTTGAAACCTGCTGAGAGTTAAGGAGACAAGTGTCTTCTAACAGTTGTCAAGTGACTGATCTCTCCCAAATATCAATTGTTTATATTTGAAACCTGCTGAGAGTTAAGGAGACAAGTGTCTTCAACAGTTGTCAAGTGGACTGATCTCTCCCAAATATCAATTGTTTATATTTGAAACCTGCTGAGAGTTAAAGGAGACAAGTGTCTTCAACAGTTGTCAAGTGACTGATCTCTCCCAAATATCAATTGTTTATATTTGAAACCTGCTGAGAGTTAAGGAGACAAGTGTCTTCAACAGTTGTCAAGTGACTGATCTCTCCCAAATATCAATTGTTTATATTTGAAACCTGCTGAGAGTTAAGGAGACAAGTGTCTTCAACAGTTGTCAAGTGACTGATCTCTCCCAAATATCAATTGTTTATATTTGAAACCTGCTGAGAGTTAAGGAGACAAGTGTCTTCAACAGTTGTCAAGTGACTGATCTCTCCCAAATATCAATTGTTTATATTTGAAACCTGCTGAGAGTTAAGGAGACAAGTGTCTTCAACAGTTGTCAAGTGACTGATCTCTCCCAAATATCAATTGTTTATATTTGAAACCTGCTGAGAGTTAAGGAGACAAGTGTCTTCAACAGTTGTCAAGTGACTGATCTCTCCCAAATATCAATTGTTTATATTTGAAACCTGCTGAGAGTTAAGGAGACAAGTGTCTTCAACAGTTGTCAAGTGACTGATCTCTCCCAAATATCAATTGTTTATATTTGAAACCTGCTGAGAGTTAAGGAGACAAGTGTCTTCAACAGTTGTCAAGTGACTGATCTCTCCCAAATATCAATTGTTTATATTTGAAACCTGCTGAGAGTTAAGGAGACAAGTGTCTTCAACAGTTGTCAAGTGACTGATCTCTCCCAAATATCAATTGTTTATATTTGAAACCTGCTGAGAGTTAAGGAGACAAGTGTCTTCAACAGTTGTCAAGTGACTGATCTCTCCCAAATATCAATTGTTTATATTTGAAACCTGCTGAGAGTTAAGGAGACAAGTGTCTTCAACAGTTGTCAAGTGACTGATCTCAACAACAACTGTGTATATTCTCTACCTGCTGAGGGCTGATGAGACCAGTGTCGCCAACTGTTGTCAAGTGACTAATCTCAACAACAACTGTGTATATTCTCTACCTGCTGAGGGCTGATGAGACCAGTGTTGCCGACTGTTGCCTGGAGACAGATCTGCCCCAGGATGAGAGAGACCTCCTTGATGCTACGCCAGCAACACACCACCAGATACTCTGGCATCAACGTCACCATCTTCTCACTCTCCGCAGTCTCCAGCAGCAGCTTCTTCTCCTCTTCTGACTGCGTAACAGCATCAACATTCAGACCAGGACCTATAAACAAACAGATCTCATCATCAGCATTGACTTGAACACCATGGATATGGCTCAAGACTGATCATTTTGTAAAACACTTTCTTACAACATTATTTTGTGTGGTGAATGTCAGACATTTGTGTCGGTTCTGACCAACTTGTAACAGAACAATATGGCAGACATATCTGACATCGTGTTATTTTGAGAGTCCGCCTTTCAACAGATGCAGATTCTAAACCATATCTGTAAGCTATGTTATCATACATCTTTCAGCATAGATGTACAGCAGCCATGTGACCATGTAAACTGAGATAGTTTATTCCAGTGCAGTCCAACTCACAAAACATAACAAAAAAATCTAAAGGATTAAAGTCATCGGCCATAATCAGAAAAGCCTTGAGTGGGGCAATCAACCCTGTAAACTCAGCTTTAGCTGACTATAGGCCTTTGGTCTGCTGTAATGTCTTAACAATTTCTACAACCTCCCCAAACAAGTCATATGTGCAGGGAGATACAGGAAGCAGCAAGTCCATCTGACAACTGCCTTAAAGAAATGATTGTTGTAAGTTCTGAACTACAATACCATCTATTAAGCAACTTCTTGCCTATACCAGCATGACATGCAACAAGCTTACATGAATACCATGCAACTCTTTATTACATCCCATTATACAAGGGTCCAAGTGATCTGTATCAACGTATAAATAATGTTGAAACTATAGAGGTATACACAGAATCTAGCATGTAATTACAGATGCTTACCCATGATGGCCTCAGTTGGGACATTGCCCTCTGGTGAGGAGTCCTGTACAACAGGGGAGACTACTCCAGCCAACTCGAGACAAGCTTCTATCAGCTCTTCCATGAAATGTCTCCAGTGAGGGAGAATGTTGTCTGGAATATTTCTGTATTAAGGGAGAGAGAATATGAACACAATTAAACTGGATTTAGCAATTTCAAAGGTTATGAATTTTGAATCCAATTTATTTACTATAAAATGGCAGAGTGTGTGTGGACAGTTTTACATGTCTATTTTTTGTCTTGTGAAAGTAATTTGTACTATAAGTACATGAGGAAGTCTGTTTGTGGTTATGGTGGCCACTAATTTTGTTATTCGAACCAGATTAAAGGAAATCTGGAGATTTTACAAGCACTTCAAGGAAGTCTTAATCTCTCAGAACCATAATGTGTTGTCAAAATTACACGATAAAGCTTGCAAAGATTTCATTTCGCCAAAGCAAAAATTACCTTAAATCTACATCAGATAGAATGTGGCGAATACAATGCATCGTGGGATACATCGGTCGATTGGCTGCCGCAACAATCAAATTCGTCCTGGCAACAGCAGTTTGATCCCTGAGCGACAGCAACAACATCTTCAGCAACATCAACTCAGGACAGCAATATGTTGTCTGGTTACTCTCCGGTGCTGACAAAACTTTAAGGTCAAGGACATATGCCTTCATGACCAGTACTACATCTGGTTGTTGTAGCAGGACCTGGAAGATGTGGGACCCAGTCGTACAGTCATGAGGCTTGGTGCTCCATGACAGCTCCATGGCAGCAGAGAACAGGCTCCCCTGAGACTTGGTCTGTACAACACCCATCAGTGAGTCAGTGAGTGAGTGAATGTGAATTCCAGCTGTATGATGGCAGTTTGTAAATAATCAAGTCTGGACCAGACAATCGACATTATGAATCAACATCACAGGGATACGATGACATGTGTCAACCTAGTCAGTGAGCCTGATCATGTGATCCAGTTAGTTGCCTCTTACGACAAGCATGGGTTGCTGAAGATGATTTGGCTGGTTTGTTGTTATATCTTGCCTTCAACAAAAATCCCATGATCCCCCAACTATTTAATGATGTTTTACCGATTACTGTATATGTGTCCTTTGTGACAACATGTGAAGATTTCATAATTACATGTAGTTATAGAAGCGAATGAGAAGCGATTTGAGCGATTGAAGTACAGTTGAGACCAGGGCCCGGTTCCTCAAAGTTATCGTAGCGTTAAGATGATCGTAACTCCCATACTTTAACATAGACTTACGACTGTCGTAGCGCTATGATCGCTTTGAGGAATGGGGCCCAGACCATAAATACAGCAGATATAACCATGCTACTTACCTGCAAACTAAACCCATGGTTGAAGCAAAATGTCAGGACTCTAACTGCAGCAACCTTGTTTTCCTCGAATGTGTCTGTGAGGCATTCCATCAATGTATTGATATGGCTGGCATCAACTTGGGATGTGAACTGGAACAGCTCCTTGTCATCTGGGCACAGGTTCAGAAGAAAAATAATCATGTGATGTTTGCTGATGAGGACTACAAGAAACTGAGATGACTGATTTCCTTATAATTCCTTCCTTCTTCATGCAGAAGCAGCTTCTTGTGTTGGCTCCCTGATGCCAATATGTCAAAACAGAGATTTAATCAGAGATCAAAAACAGCCGTTCACGCTTAACACTTTAGGTATGTTATCATCAAACAGATGGACAGACAGAGACAGATAGACAGACAGACAGACTCACCTTTATGAGGGAAGACCTCTATGAGGAGGACAAGACCAGCCAGACTGGTCAAGCGCCTTGCAAAGGCTGATCCTGGATGGAGGTTCCTGAACAGGTGTGACTGTAGCCAGTGAAGGAAGGACTACAACACAGACGACACAGTGTCAGCTATCTAACAATATCACATATATCAGATCTTTTACTCTGATATGATACTTATCTGTATGGAGATCTGATGGCACCTCCAGATTCGCTTGGCAGATTTGGAGGTCACATCAGGTGAATTTTCAGCCAATCAACAACAAGCCTAAATTCTCTGTATGTGAATCTGACCATCAGTCTAGTTTGTTGTCTCCTATGACCAGGGGCACATTATAGCCAGTAGATCACACAGGGGATCAGAGCTTCAGATACAAATGTTCACACTTCTCTTGTTACAGGGCACAGACAAGTTCCAACCCCTTTACAGCAATAAGGTTGTCTCACCATGTAAGACTCCAGTATCTCAGAGGCCTTCTGAGACTCAGGTGTCTGTTTGTTCCGGCCAGCCAGGCGGGTCAGTGTGGCGCCACTCTCCTTCAGTCTCCCTAACAACTGGAACATATTCCATGGTACACTTTACTTATACATGTACAACCTTCATCTACCAAATGTCAAATACAAACTTCCCCATTATAATGAAACACATAACTCTCTTTCCTCACAGAGTTGGTATGAGAGATCACTGAACAACCTGGAAAAGATTTTCTGACAGTAGGCATGCAGTTTTTCATTTATCCTTATTTTTATTTTTAGATATAATGTTTTTTTATTCTATCACAATCTTACATCCTTGACCTTACTGACCTTGTGCAGATAAGCTAGCAGATACTGCCTAAAGGCTGGTGATTGGTTGTTAAGGTTGAGAGGCAGGAAGTATCGCAGCAAAGACAATTCCAACTCAGTGATTGGCTCTGTAGTCTTCAGGTTTTCACACAACAAGGCAAAGGCATCCAATCGAACCTTCACAAAGGAAACGCAGTAATGTTTTCAATAATAATCATGAATCACATAGAATGCTATCCATATATGTATAGGATTACTAAATACATGCAAGTTCTGTTCTGTCAACACACAGCAGGAAATCATTTATGCATCATTTTTCCACGCTCAGTTATTTATAGAACATTTTCATGCTTTACCTTTTCCCGAATATTTACTGCTTAGACAGAAATAATGTAACAGAAAAGTGTAAACATTATTTACACTTATTCACTTCATATGCTTAAAACATGTTAATAATAGTCAACAGTAAAAACACTCAGCAATATCCCAGCTGTATGATAATTGCCTGTAAATAATATGGTAAGTCAGGACCACACAATCCCGTGAGCAATATTGTGAGCAACAATGCATACAATCAGTGTATATAAGTTACACCATCCAACCCATTTGGTCACCACTGACAGCCAGCATGGGTCACTGGGGAACTATTCTAATCTAGAATTTCCACAGGGTTTAACACAAAAAGATAATTAATATTTTTAACCATTATATCAAAATAAGACGTAAAATTCAAACCTGTTCATCACCACACGTGAGAGCATATTTCAGGACATCAGCACTAACCAGGCCGTACCACATCTCTGGATTATCTCCCCTTCCTGTAGAAGGCGTTCTGGGGGAGTTGAGAAGCCCCAGGGCTCGGGCTCTCCGGATACACATCACCAGGGCACCAATCTGTCCCCTCGACTGCCCATCTAAACATATGTAAAAGTTTAACAATGTGTCAATACATTTGTACAGAGATAATTTGTTTTATAATCGATGCAATGCAACACAGGTAAATTATTGACTACCTAGTGTACAAATGTATATGTCAATTCTATCATGTATATAGACACATGTGATACATTTGTATGGTATGAGACTCACCTGTAGTGGACAGCGTGCTGATCATATAGTTGAGAGACGCCCTACTGAACTTCAACAATCGGGGCAACACATACTGGGAAAAGAAGTGAAAACATCATAATCTGTTCAGAAGGAAACATCAAAACAGGCAAAAGATTGTTTTGGGTTGCTAAAGTTGTTTAGAATAAAATGTTGTTAAAACAAAGAGGTATTTAAATCTACAAAAAGGAATATGGTTCTTGTTTCAGAGTAGGTCCCCTAACGAGTATGAGAACCAGGTGGGTACCGGTACACCACCATGATATCCTGATGATGGCAGATATCATTCAAACCAGGCCAGCTGGGCACTGGTCCTTGGGTCCAATATGAATTTCAAAAATATCTTTACATGTATGAGTTGTATTGTGTTCCTTTTTTAATTGTTTTCCAGTTGAATAAATAAGCTTCTGATATAGTGATAAATTGTAAAAATCTTTTCAATGTTATTTTATAATTTTATACACTTCGTTTGCTTGTTTAAGGTCTGTGTGTCAAATTTCCATGTTGTTATAATAAGGAAGGATGCTCCAGACAAAACAAGCATGATTATACACAGTAAACTGAAGACAGACAAACACTAGCGTCACTCAAGACCTTGATGTGCTCTGCAAAGGGATTTATTATAACCCAAGGGCATGCATCACATTTCACTTATCTCATCAAACAAAGTTCATATCATTTCAAACAAACAAGCAAAATGGCATTTATGACATCACTGCACTACACAATAATGTTACTGTGACATATTCCCGAACCTCGATGACGTGAAGCTTCAGTCGTTTGTTGTCCTGACAGAGAGTGTGGATGACAGGGTCAACCCATGTAGACAGCCAGGTGCTCAGACCTGCACTGTGACTGGTGGATTCCTTCACGACTAGCTCAGCATGACTGGTCTTGAAGAACTTCTCATACAGGTCACTGGCCTGAAACATAGAGTTAGTTGAAGCTTGGTATTCCACAAACAAATATACAAACTTCCATAAGAATCATAAGCTTTTAAAATGTGCTTCCAATATGAAGTGTGATGTCTGTGCAGTAAGTAACATGATATGTTAGAAAAACTTGTTAACCTTTTTCACATATTTGACTATTACTGCACATTTTAACAACCAAAACTGGATTGATGATTGGTTCCAGTGTTCCGAATTTATCAGAAAATACATTATACTGTAAGACAAGCATTTAGAGTGAGTGGACTGACTGAGTTTGGTTTTACGCCGCTTTTAGCAATATTCCAGCAACATCACGGCGGGGGACACCAGAATTGGGATTCACACATTGTACCCATGTGGGGATTCGAACCCGGGTCTTCGGTGTGACGAGCCAGCGCTTTTACCACCAGGCGACCCCACAGCCCCGAAGAGTGAGCGATTATGGTTTACACTACTTTTAGCAATTATCAAGCAGCATCGTAGCAGCAATTACTACATGAGGTTTTCACACATTGTACAAATATGAGGAATCAAAACCATGCCTTCACCATGATCAAACGCTTTAACCACAAAACCAATCCACTGCAACTTTTCCCTAAACCAACAGCGTAAATTTGAGATAAGTTCTCACTATTCATCAACACCAAACAAACAGTATGAATATACACCATGCTTCTCTTACATAACATGCCAAGGACTGTTCATTCAGCTGAGACAGCAACTCTGCTGCTATCCCAGGGTTCATCTCCAATAGGGCAGAAGATCCAATATGGCGACAACAGCTCCAAGACAGCCATACTTGCCCTTGTTGTTCCATGTGACGTCCAGCAGCTTCAGGGTAGACTTGCAGAGAAACTCATCCTGTTTCGGGTCTGTTAGGTCAAACGTATGGATATCATGTTTGATATTTCTGGAGCAACAAGTTTTTAGCCAGAGAACAATTACTGAACTAAACTGAAGAAAACAGAAGTTGAAATCTACATGTCTTGTTTTGTAGTAACCATCAAACAGGGATTTACAGGACGCAAATTCCTGCGTCCTGTACGCATGAAAATTGACAATAGCTGCAACCATATTTATTAGCATGTCCACAGGGACTCAGAAAAAGTCCAAATACTTTTTGTAAAATTCCAATCAAGTGACAATAAGTTATCACTGAGTTTGTTACCAGCTAGGCTATGGTATTATATGAAATTTAATTACTGTAACGTGATAATCATGATACACAATATAATAACAGTATTTATAATAATATTGAAGTGTCTGGACCCCCATTTTGTTGTCCAGGACCCCCTGAAAATAAGAGTATGAGTCACAGGGACCCTCGAATATAGGACTCCATGTAAATCCCTACATCAAACCACAAACGTACAGATGAGATATCTATTTTGGTCAACATGTGGTAACTTCTATATATAGTTCATGCATGTACACAAACACTGAATATATGTGGTGTTATAGGTATCTTCACTTTACTATGACGACATCAGAATGAACCCCCATGCATTGGGTTTCATTCTGTGAGATGTATCAGAAGAACAACATGCTGCCGTTTTGACTGTTTGATAACTGAGCATCAATCTGACACTCCAGTCTCAATAAATTACCAACTTTAAAATGACCATCAAATACTTGAAATTTCCATTAACAATTTACCTAAAAGTTCACACAAAATGTAACTGTCAATGTTACTCCCTACAGACCATGTATACTCAACATGCAGTGGACTTTACCTGAGTTTGCTGCCAGCAGGTGAATCTTCAGGCAGTTTTCAAATGTAATCCTGGCATTCTGCCTCAAAGCCTTTTAAAAAAGGTAGAAAAGTGGCTTGGATTATTACTCATGCTATGAACCAAAGGTAAAAGTTGCCCAAACATGCAGATATGTAACGGTTTCATCATAAACAAGATATAAGGGATAAAACAACTCACTAACTCACCCACTGACTCAGCTGCTCGCTCACTCACATTCACTAACTCACTCACTCATTTTCCAACCTGCCCACTCACTAAATAACTCTCACTCATAATGTTGCAAAAAGATTCTTAACTGATATCATGATATCCTAACACATGACATCTTAACCATGATAACAGGCAAAACAATAAATATCTTAAAACTACTGATACTTGAGTGGAGTCATGTTCATATTTATCGCGAGTAATCATTCAAGTCGTGTTTAAAGGTCACATGCAACCAAAAAATCAAACATATTTAAACCACAATTATCACATACTCATGACATATAATATACATTGCTGATTATGAAAAAATAAATAAATAAAAAAATTATAAGCATACAATCGCAAATCAAAAGTGCAATATTTTGTACTTGAGCTTGAGTTTTGTCTGTGACAACGACATATCTATATCACAGTTAGAAATTCTGTCAACGCTAAATAATGACATTGCTTTTAAGTATCGAACTGAGAAAGTGACTCGGTAAGAAGAATGTCTAGTGAAATAGACAAATGAAATTATATAAATAGTTAAATCGGTAATCTACTGTCATAACAAATAAAAAGTTCGAGCCTGTGAAATATCAACAAAACATTAGAAAAATAGCTCACACCAAAGCCTTCACCGAGTATTCACCGGACAACCCGCTTCCAAGCTGTGTGAACCTATTTCACTGCGCATGTGCTATGAGCGCAGCCCAGCCCAGCTGTTGACACCACTTTTCCCCTAAGCGCTTGGGGAAAATTAGTGAATCGTTTGAACTCCGATTTCGCGCGGTTTTTTTCATCGCGTTATTTTTCAATTTGCATTTTTGATGATTTGTTTCAGTAAGTCCATACCGAAAGGTATCAGAATCTGCAAAGTTGTGTTTTACGTTGCATGTGACCTTTAACTATTTCCCTGTGATCAAGCTTGACTGTTACTTACATCTAACTGATCATCCCATGTTGTCCACACGTATCCAAGAACACTGCTGATCACGTGACCATCTCCTCTCAGACAAGCTGTGAGATCTCTTGGACACACGCCACTCTCTAATATGGTGCTGTCACAATAAATTCAAATCATCAAATCCATATTCTACCATTCATAAATGACCACTTCAATCTTCAAAGACATTTTCTGAATGCTATGACAATTTGGCACATGTAGCAGGATCTAATCCAACAGGTGCCCCCTGATGAACCATTAACCCAATCTGTAAGTTATCTTTATAAGTATTCTTACAAAAACTGACAATCAACATGACAGTCTGTACTTTTACAAACTGTAATACTGGGAAAAGCAGCACAGACTGCAGCAATGAACGCCCTTAAACTCACTCTTCACACACATGTGCATTCTGACTCCCTTCAATAGCATCTCATGAATTCTTGTTTTATCATCTCCAGGAATAAAGTTGACACAGTTAATATACTTGGATTTCTACAGATCTGTCTTACGTTGTCCTTGTACCTTTACTGAGGAGTAGTCTTTACATTGCAATTTGTCTTACTTTATTTTAGATCGGACATGCCCATGTATTTGTGAATCATAATAACTGACACCATGGAACACTTGACTGCCCACCTACCAGGTTCTGGTGGTCCATAGTGTGACAGCTTTAGCCAGAAGCACCTTGCTGCCAGTCTCCTCACACCTGAAAATAACACCTTGATACAGGTAACAGTCACAGACAGATCCAGGTGCCCTCCCATTCCCCCTCTGCTCCCCCACCCCAACTGTGGGATTTGATATCATCCTTTATGCTAAATTGGTAATAATTAAAACTTTGAAAGTATTATCTGTCATGTTAGATAGTTTTAGATTTTCTACCCACTAATACAATGATGGTATCCATAATGTGTCATACCTGTGTTATTGATATACAAGGTGAGGGAGTGTGTTTTGCTTTTTATCTTCATTTAGTTAACAATGTGTCATCCTAATGTTAGGGACAATCCCCAAGTGATGCAGCCGTGAAGATTCGGGTTAGAATTGGTCTTCAGCAACCCATCCTTGTAAGAGGCAACTAACGGGATTGGGTGGTCAGGCTCGCTGACTTGGTTGACACATTAGATTACTTCACATCCCAATTGTAAAAATCGATGCTCATGCTGTTGATCACTGGATTGTCTGGTCCATACTTGATTATTTACAGATCGACGCCATATAGCTGGAATATTGCTGTGTGCGGTGTTAAACCAGAAACAAACCAAACCAGACCATAACATAAAGGGCAGTCCCAATGTCATGCAGGTTTATCCACAAAATGGTCTCATGCTGACACTCATACTGCATGTCTAGTGGGAAATCAGTCTTGGATTACAACCAATATTCAGTGGATCTGGTACGGCTAAGTGACATGACTACGACACATTAGACTACTGTCCCATCCATATCAGAATGGCATCATGCAAGTGAAACCATCCATATCAGAATGGCATCATGCAAGTGAAACCATCCATATCAGAATGGCATCATGCAAGTGAAACCATCCATATCAGAATGGCATCATGCAAGTGAAACCATCCATATCAGAATGGCATCATGCAAGTGAAAGCAGTAAATCATCGATATCCCGACATGAGGACGATTTCATGAAAGTGAAAGTACTGTGTCATCAATACCCAGTGTTCACAATAAGCACATGCCCGCAGGATCCTGAGGGAGCATGGCATATTTCAAACACTGTCCATATCCCAATATAACAATGGCATCATGAAGCTGTACAGAGCCTTAGTGGTGCCAACACTGTCCATATCCCAATATTACAATGGCATCATGAAGCTGTACAGAGCCTTCATGGTGCCAACACTGTCCATATCCCAATATTACAATGGCATCATGAAGCTGTACAGAGCCTTCATGGTGCCAACACTGTCCATATCCCAATATTACAATGGCATCATGAAGCTGTACAGAGCCTTCATGGTGCCAACTATCCATATCCCAATATTACAATGGCATCATGAAGCTGTACAGAGCCTTCATGGTGCCAACACTGTCCATATACCAATATTACAATGGCATCATGAAGCTGTACAGAGCCTTCATGGTGCCAACACTGTCCATATCCCAATATTACAATGGCATCATGAAGCTGTACAGAGCCTTCATGGTGCCAACACTATCCATATCCCAATATTACAATGGCATCATGAAGCTGTACAGAGCCAGTGGTGCCAGTCCATATCCCAATATTACAATGGCATCATGAAGCTGTACAGAGCCTTCATGGTGCCCATATCCCAATATTACAATGGCATCATGAAGCTGTACAGAGCCTTCATGGTGCCAACACTGTCCATATCCCAATATTACAATGGCATCATGAAGCTGTACAGAGCCTTCATGGTGCCAACACTGTCCATATCCCAATATTACAATGGCATCATGAAGCTGTACAGAGCCTTAGTGGTGCCAACTTCCATATCCCAATATTACAATGGCATCATGAAGCTGTACAGAGCCTTCATGGTGCCAACACTGTCCATATCCCAATATTACAATGGCATCATGAAGCTGTACAGAGCCTTGCCAACATGGTGCCAAACATCCCAATATTACAATGGCATCATGAAGCTGTACAGAGCCTTCATGGTGCCAACACTATCCATATCCCAATATTACAATGGCATCATGAAGCTGTACAGAGCCTTCATGGTGCCAAACACTATCCATATCCCAATATTACAATGGCATCATGAAGTTGTACAGAGCCTTCATGGTGCCAACACTATCCATATCCCAATATTACAATGGCATCATGAAGCTGTACAGAGCCTTAGTGGTGCCAACTGTACACTGTCCATATCCCAATATTACAATGGCATCATGAAGCTGTACAGAGCCTTAGTGGTGCCAACACTGTCCATATCCCAATATTACAATGGCATCATGAAGCTGTACAGAGCCTTCAGTGGTGCCAACACTGTCCATATCGCAATATTACAATGGCATCATGAAGCTGAACAGAGCCTTAGTGGTGCCAACACTGTCCACATCCCAATATTACAATGGCATCATGAAGTTGTACAGAGCCTTAGTGGTGCCAACACTGTCCACATCCCAATATTACAATGGCATCATGAAGCTGTACAGAGCCTTAGTGGTGCCAACACTGTCCATATCGCAATATTACAATGGCATCATGAAGCTGAACAGAGCCTTAGTGGTGCCAACACTGTCCACATCCCAATATTACAATGGCATCATGAAGTTGTACAGAGCCTTAGTGGTGCCAACACTGTCCACATCCCAATATTACAATGGCATCATGAAGCTGTACAGAGCCTTCGTGGTGCCAACACTGTCCACATCCCAATATTACAATGGCATCATGAAGCTGTACAGAGCCTTAGTGGTGCCAACACTGTCCACATCCCAATATTACAATGGCATCATGAAGCTGTACAGAGCCTTAGTGGTGCCAACACTGTCCACCCATGCAACCACCCCACTGCTGTCCCCTGGCCTAACCCCTGCCGTGATATTGCTGGAATATTGCTAAAAGCAGCGTAAAACTAAACTCACTCACTCTCTCACCCTTGGCCTACAGGTTCAGACCCTACCTTGGAGCCAGAGCCATGAACTGATCCAGGAACACACTAGTCAGTATCCATCCTTCGGTTACAAGTGGAAGGACTGCATCAGCAGCATCCACCATGGCGAGGAGACCAAAATACAGGCAGAGAGTGGATGTCAGGGACAGGTTATGGATTACTCCAAAATCAACTGATATCTGGGGTGGTGGAGTTGGAGTTATCTCCTCCTGGCTTGAGACATCTGTCTTGAATATTGATTGCAGGAGCTGCAACAGAGGAATATTAGAAATTTCATACATTACAAGACGACTTTGATATCTGTGATTCATACGCTAGAGAATAAAGAGGTGCTAGCTAAGTCAGCATTCAAAGATCACTATATCATTATCAGTTGTGAGCTAAAAATGAAAACTTTTGATGATCAAAATCACAGTTGAAAAACTAGGAAATCAATTTCCGGCATTCACAGACAAACTTTCATTCTAAAAGTTATAAATCTTAAAATTGAATGGCTAAAATCCCAATCCCTGAGACCAGATTTACATTATAGGAACTTACAATATGAATGTACCGTTTCCCCAGAGACAACTTCAACACCAGAACCATGACCATTCCAACACCACAACGGCAGTCCGTCAAAAAGTCATCTGAAATCAAAGAATCTGCATAAGAACTGAATGCTTCCATACATTACTTTTTTAACAACAGGTCATATAACTGCCATCACTGTCATCTTCCATGGAGAGTTCTAGCCTCAAGGGCTGTGTGGTTTCAGTGAACATGTCATGCAGTTCAGTACAACAAGGAAGTGTGATGCAGCAACTTCACTGCAGGTCAAATAATCAACACGAACCTTAAAAGCTTACCACATGCTTACTACATATTACATTTCACAGTGATACGTACAGAAATGTCTGAACAGCAGACCCTGATTCCAGGGATTGTGTTACCTATGGAACTTTCAATCATACTCCAAGGAACTCTGAAAGATGTTCCAAGGAACTCTATATGATGTTCAAAAGAACCTCAAACAATACTCCAAGGAAACTTAAACTATGCTGTAAGGAACTCTTAACAATATTGTAAGGAATACTACACAGCATATTACGGTGCCAGGACGAGTGGGCCATGTGTATTCTACAAACATCACTGACCCTGCTGGAGAATCTGGAGGCCTCCCTGCAGAAACCTGGCAGCCATGACCTGCACTGAGTCAGGACAGGGGTCCACAGACGCCTCCACAAAACACTTCTGAATCAGGCGATTGGCAGTTTTGATTGTGGCCAGACAGTGATGCATTGTTTTGTTCCTTTCCACTGGGGAGGAATTTCGGCTGCAAAAGAGTTCAGTTTCTGGTTTATCTGAACAGTGACCTGATACATAAAATATTATACGAACTGTGCCATAGAAATGTTACCTGACATAAGTAAAAGTGTCTCTTTATCGTAGACACTCGTTCACTAATGAAAACCAAATATATTTCAATAAATATTTTTAAGTCTATCTCCGACTCATATCAGAAAATAACAACAAGATCTACATGTCTGTCTTCACGGTAGTGAGTGAGTGAGTGAGTTTAGTTTTACGCCCCACTCAGCAATATCCCAGCTATATGGCAGCGGTCTGTAAATAATCGAGTCTGGACCAGACAATCCAGTGATCAACAGCATGAACATTGATCTGCGCAATTGGGAACCAATGACATGTGTCAACCAAGTCAGCGAGCCTGACCACACGATCCCGTTAGTCGCCTCTTACAACAAGCATAGTCGCCTTTTATGGCAAGCCCATGGGTTGCTGAAGACCTATTCTACCCCGGATCTTCACGGGTCTCATGGTAGTGAGTTGGGTGTTACTCTGCTGAAGAAGCAATATCCAGCAATATAACCACAAGGGAAACTATAATAGGAATATATTGCACACTTGTAGGGATTCGAACAATGGCACTTGGCGTGACAAGCAAACACTTTCACCATAAAGCCGTTCCCCTCATTTATCTTCAGAGGACACTGACAAATCCATGGTAAAGAGATCAACCTGTAATCGGCTTTATTCAGGGAGAAGTGAGAGTGAATGTTGTTTTAAAGCTGCAGTTACTACAGTCGTACAAAGTCTATCATGGCACCAGGACATACTATTGTCCAGCTCACACATCTGTCCCCAACAGTTACTTACTAATGGCACGTGAGTCGGGAACCAATCCTGTCTTGAAATCTTATATGGCTTTCTGGGTTTGCTTGTTTGTTTGTTTAACCAACACACGACAAAATATTCCAGTCACATGATAGCAGCCTGAAATGATCAAGATTGGACAAGACAATCCAGTGAAGGATATAATGAACATCAATCCACACTGTCTGGGTTATGATGACACAACCAAAGTAGTCACTGGGCCTGAGGACCTGAAACACAATGATGCCTGTTACGACCGGCTAGGGTTGTTGGCATCCCCACAGTGTCCCCATAATGGCTGTGTATAATGATCCACTCGCCATCAGGATTAGTTGATCACTGAATTGTCTGGTTCAGATTTGATTATTTACAGATTGCCACCATACAGCTGGATTATTGTTGTATGCTACATCAGACAACAAACAAACCAACCAACTGTCAGGATTATTTGAAAAAGGATTCATATAAGTGAGACACTGCTGGTGCACCACTTGACTTCAAATTCCTCACATCTTGAACAAGAACCTGTACTTACTGAGAGGCATCAACAAAACTTTGCAAAGCATGAGACAAGAAGTTGAGGGCTGAAAAACAATTTAAGTGTCACTGTTAAAATTGAAGAATCAATAAATTTAAAAACCAAAGATTATTATCAGTTCAATTAAATTTATCAGTCTGGTATTGAGATGTGGTAAAAGATTATATCCCTTTGAAAAGTTCCTGCGATCTTTACAAGATTATACATTAATAATAATAATCATAATCATGGTCTATGGGTTATCTCCCTTACCTGGCATCCTGGTTTCTTTCAAACATGCTTCTCCTGAAAAAAGGATTCATAATTTAGTTAATGGATATGTGGGTCTGTAGTTGACAGAATTATCCATAAGAGAAAAATATAGCTAACAATATATGTGCAAGCATACTTTTAAACAAAGTTTGCACAGCAATGTTTTGATGTGGTTCCTGATAGGGTATACATACTGTTCAGTGTAAAACAACTAAAATGGCATGAACACAACATGAGTCTACTTTTTATCTACTAGAAAAACATAAAAGTTTCATAAAACATGAACATAAATTAAAACTTTATTATTGATGGTATTCAAGCCAAAAATTTACAAGAGTTGCATATACCTGAATCTAATAACACAACAAACCGGTCAGCGATCGGTATTTGCAAAACACAACTTGAAATATAAGCGAAATACCTGTCACCATGTTTTCCTTAAGACATTCAAGATCAGTATTTGCAAAATGATTTTGCATTTAACCTGATGGCTTGTCCACTATTCACATATTTTTTTCACTGACCAACACAAATATCATTGATTTCAGACTAAAGGCCAAACATTGCACTGACCACATGTTTGTGGCAGCCTAAATTCATGTTTTGTTACAATTAACCCTCACTTACATTGACCTTCTGAACAACATGTGACTCTTGATTGATCCCAAATAAAACTACTGGTACACCTCCTCTTTCAAACAGTTTCAATTACATCTCAAGTTACAATAAAAGTTGCTCACCCAGTCGGAAGTTCTCCATCAGAGAGTTTATCCCTTCCACTAAGCTCCTAACAATATCAGAATCTGTGAGGAGTTTTAGGGAGGCATCAATTCGGGCCTGAAGTTGCATCTGCAGCTCAGTCTGATACCGGTCTCCCACCTCGGGAGCCAGGCCCTGCAGGAAGCTGTTAAACAAAAGTAAAAATATTCATATTGTGCTAAAATAAATAGGACAAGATCAATTGTTATTATTTAACCAAAAAAGAACCCAAGCATACTTCCTTGTTTTCTAGAATATTATCAATGATATGCACAGAAATTTATACAAACCTGTAGAGGTTATGAATTCTTTGAAGAAAGTCCTCCTTGGGGTACTTATAAGCATTAAAATGTCCATTTTGAAACCTACGACAGTTGTAACTATATTTCAATAAAAATATTTACAAAACGAAAAAACACGTTCTGCGTTATGAGACCACCCCTACAGGGCCCCAGCTGGCCCCCTACCGCAAGAGCAGGTAACTCTAGCCGACAACCTCGCACCTCACTTTTCATGCTGAGCGGATCAGACAGAATGAGGGGAATGGTGGCCGTACCCCAAGGAGGACTTTCTTCAAAGAATTCATAACCTCTACAGGTTTGTATAATTCTTTTCAGAAGAAGTCCTCCTTGGGGTACTTATAAGCATAAAGCAGACTCCCAAAGATCAGAAAAACCGGGAGTGGCATTCTGTCTGACACACTGGTCGAGCGCAGTAGCGTAGTACAGCCATATGCAAATAGAAATCACACTTACCCAGTCACGTGTCCGCCAATGTCAATCAAGGCGGGGGGCGTGACTAAGGCGAGGACCCTGGGAGGTCAAAGCTTAGTGCCCATTGGTCAATCGGTACACACCCCCAAGATAAAAACTACACCTCCCATCCTGATTGGTGGAAGTGAGTAAAAACTAGGGACTCGCCAAAACAAACTACTGTCCATAGCACACCGCTAGCCAAGCGGGGAAAAATGGAAAATAGAAGCCAAAGGCACCGATACCAAAAGAACGGAAATAAAAACCGCCACCACATACCTTCACCAGTGCAAAATAGGGAGAATATACCCGACACCAGTATAAAACAATGAGTAAATCAGCCACAAGGCTTACTCGGCCTGAGGCGTGCTACTCTGTCCACTGTGGAGAATCGTCTGGCCAAACCGAGCACGCTCACGCGAATGTTTGTCCAGCTGATAATGGCGAATGAACGTACTCGGTCGGCTCCAAATAGCCGCAGAGCATATCTCCTCAATGGGCAGAGCAGCCGCGCATACGCTTTGGGCGTGGCAACTGCTCGAACCGAATGAGCCTTTAAACCCTCTGGGGAGTCATACCCTTGTGTATGTAACCCATACATATTGCCGACCACGATCCACCTCGATATGGTCTGTGTGGTAACTGGGTGACCTACTTTACGCCCCGTAACAGCAGAATAACTGCTTATCTTTCTGGATTGACTGTGTTCTCTTGACATACGTCTTAAGTGTCTTACGTACATCCAACACATGTACTCTGCGCTTTGCGCTACCAGATGAAGCAGGAAGCGTAAAGGCAGGTAAATCAATAGGGCGGTGACATGAAGCGCTTTATCGATTTTTTGGCGGTAGGAATCAGGTAGCGAATACTTACCCTATCCTTATGAAAAGCGGTAAGCTCGGGTCTGAAGACATAGCATGAATGTCTCCCACCCGTCTACCTGAAGTAATGGCCACCAAAATGCGGCTTTCCAACTTAACAGTTGAAGCGACAATCCCGACCTATCGTAGAAGAAAGGACTAGATAGCCAATCTAAAGCGATGGACAGCTCCCATGGTGGACTGGTCCGGACGGACGACGGACGACTCTCTGTCCACACCTGCTAAGCGCTGAACCAGAGGGTGTTGTCCTAAAGGGCACCCTCGGTAGGAATGTGGAAAGCTGAAATAGCTGTGGAGTAGCCTCGGATAGTAGGCGGCTAGGCGGCTTCTAACGAGACTGTAAAACTCCAAAGCCGACTACAGTCGAAGAAAGGGATCAAGTATCCCTCTGTTTCCACACCAGCCAGCGCATAACAGGCCCATCTATCCTCATACTGTAAGTTAGTCGAATCCCTCAGCGAAGCCAGAATTGTGTCTGCAACTGGTGCAGGAATTCGCTTCATCGAGGCTGACTCCTGACAGTGGCCAAGCCACCCACTGGATCCATGGATCGGGTGTGGCTGGCCTTCCTGGATAGGAGGTCGGTCGCATCGGTAACAGCACCGGAGGCTGTACTAGCGATCTGAGTATTACAGGGAACCAGCGTTGAGGCGACCACAGAGGTGCAAGAAGCACAAGTAGTCGCTGGTTGGGTGGCTAGCCGCGATAGGACTCTGGGAATCAGAGGTATCGGTGGAAGAGCATACAGGACCCTGTCCGTCCAATCTAGCTGGAAGGCATCGGGCGATCGCTCCCGGATCCGGGATCGGGGAGCAAAACACCGAGTCTGGTTCGTCACCCCAGAGGCAAACAGATCCACCTGGAGCGACCGAACAACTGGGAGATAGCCCGAATATCTCCCGGTTGAGTAACCACTTCGTGAGGGGCCAGGATCTGACGTGAGAGTGCATCTGCGTACGTTGTCCTCCCCCGGGAGATACACAGGTAATACCCGTGTGTTGAACCGGTCGCACCACAGCAGAAACTGCCACGCCTCCTGGAGGAGTGACGGAGACACCGTACCGCCCTGCTTCAGGATATAGGACATCGCCGTTTGATTGTCCATTTCTAGACGAACCACACGGTTCCGAACCTGTTCCATGAAGCGTTCGAATACCCGTCGGACCGCTCTCAATTCTAACACGTTGATGTGTAAGGTCGCCTCGTTCACGGACCAAAGTCCGGAAGCTGTGAGGTCCCCTAGGACCCCCCCCCACCCTGTGAGGGAGGCGTCCGTCTGAATCGTGAGCGTAGGCACCGGGGTCTCCAGAGGGATACCCCTGACTAGATTCCCGGTGTCGGTCCACCACCTGAGGTGAGGATGAAGCCACTCTGGAGTTAGGAGGATAGTCTCGTAACTCCCCGAGTGTGACCACAGCTGTGCTAACGCTTGCTGAATTGGCCGCATCCTCAGACGCGCACGCCAAACTACATCCACCGTCGCCGCCATGTTGCCTAGCAACTGAAGCCATGCGCGTGCTGAGGCCCTGGGGGACTGAAGGAATTGTACAACAACCCGTTGTACTTTGGAAATGCGGTCCTGAGACAGAGAGACTAAGCCCTGCTGTGTCTCGAATCTCGCCCCCAAGAAAACCAGATCCTGGGATGGAACCAGCTCGGATTTCTTGAGGTTGATGACCCAACCCAACCTGGTGAGAATATCCATCACTGTCTGTGTGGATTCCCGACTCAAGTGAGTGGAAAGCGCCCTGAGCAGCCAGTCGTCCAGGTACGGGTAACAAAAGTTGCCCTGTGCCCTGGCGACTTGAGCTGGCACTAGCATGAGTTTTGTGAACACCCTTGGCGCCGTGGAGATGCCGAAGGGGAGCACACGAAACTGATAGCACCTCCCGTCGAAGGAAAACCGGAGGTATTTCCTGAACTCAGGGTGCATGGGTACATGAAGGTACGCGTCCTTGAGGTCGATTGACGTAAGCCAATCCCCTGCCTCCACAGATGAGATCACCGACCGCAGTGTCTCCATCTTCCGCCGTCTTGGCCCGCTTACCCCCACCCCCACTAGAAGAAGAAGAACTCTTCTTACTTTTAGCCACTTTAGATGGTGGGTCCTGTGCCCATAAGTCCCCCCCCGCCTGCAGCAGATTTGTATAAAACAAAAAGTCTGCGGAACGACGCTTCGTCGTCTTTGGTGAGAAAATCTGGCAGTTCTCACACGATTGATCATCATGATGTTCAACAGCCAAACAACGTAGGCACACATCGTGCGAATCCTGAGGTGGCAACATTGCCGCACATGCCACGCACGGGTGAAACTGTAACAAACAGAACCATTTATCATGGAAACTGATGTACAGTCTAAAAAACACACATATATGCAACACACGTAAAATATAATACGCACGGGCGATAAACCCTATGTGAAAAGCTAAGGCAGGTTTACCCTTTAACATATCATGAACAAGGGTGAAAATGCAAGCTTCCTCGCGTAACATATATAAGCGTAAATGTTATATGAAAAAACTTACCCCAACTCACCTTTTGCTGAAAGTGTAAACGTTAGGCAAGCCTACCATAGTAATAATAAGAAATTACCCTCCCCCCTAGCGATGTAACTTAAAAAAAAAGTTACAACCGTAGGACAGAAGGAAGCCAAACCGACCGCCATCTTGCCTGCCACGCATGGCTGGAAAATGGAGCCTGTCCGACTAAGTTACAACAATCATGAATGAAAAAATCAACCTACAATTCCACTAAAGCCCGTGCGAGAGAAAAGAGGAACCATACATACATTAGTTGATTCTGTAACACTCATTTTGATTTCTTTTCACAATGAACTACACGCACGTCTGTCTTCTGAGACGACAGCATGAAAAGTGAGGTGCGAGGTTGTCGGCTAGAGTTACCTGCTCTTGCCGGTAGGGGGCCCCGCTGGGGCCCTGTAGGGGTGGTCTCATAACGCAGAACGTGTTTTTTCGTTTTGTAAATATTTTTATTGAAATATAGTTACAACTGTCGTAGGTTTCAAAATGGACATTTTAATGCTTATAAGTACCCCAAGGAGGACTTCTTCTGAAAAAGAATTAATTCGCTGAGAAAGTTTGGAATTAAGGCATGCATGGGATCCTTGAGGTTTGATGCATAGTACATGTGTGAAATAGCCACCTTCCTAGCAACATTTAGGTCAGGCTAAAGATTCTGTCCCACATAAATAATCCACAACAATCATTTTGGAACTTGTAAACGCATATTGATAAATATGTTACATGTACCACTTGTATGAAAGACATTTTACAAGCTGAAAGTTAATGTACTCCTATCTTGACCTCACAGTGTACACATCCATTAGATAGTTTACCTTGCAAGAATTCTCTTGGCTGAAAACTTTGGTCCACATTCGAAATACACTTCAACCAGTGTCTTCACAATTTGTTCCCTTTCCAGAAGTGCAACATTTTCTTTGAATGTCTTCAAAACCTGAAACATTCATTATAAAACATTCTGACAGATTTCATGATAAATGTGTGGGTGGGTCGGGTTTGATAATGAACAGAACAGAATTTCAGAAACACATCCCTGCTCTGCCAAATACTACAGTGGGTGAGTGAGTGAGTTCAGAATTATACCGCACTCAGCAATATTCCAGCTATATGGGGGCAGTCTGTAAATAATCAAGTCTGGACCAGACAATCCAGTATGGTAACGAGCAACGATTTAAGCATGAGCAACGATCTACACAATTGGGATACGATGACATGTGTGAACCAAATCAATTGAAACTGAGGCGAACAACTTCCAAACAGATAACACTTGCCATATATAGATTGCAAACAATTGCTCCGTACATCAAAAACTGTTGTACGTGGTGTTGTCGATGTTTGCAGATGTGGCCTCAATGACAAGTTGTGTTGTAGGATATTCGTAAAGAGTGTTCCAAGGGACATAACTCTATGGGGTTCGTTTGAAATAATGTTCGGTTGGTAGAGGTCACGAGAGTTGATTTAATGCAACGTTGATTCATTCAAAAAAAATTATTTAATATTGTAATGTAAATATGTAATTTCTTTTTCATAAATCATATGGTAGCTTCCCTGAGGACTGATAGTTAGTATTATTGAGAGGAATGCATTATGTATTTATAGGGAAATGTAGCGTGACAATGTGCCTTTATGTCCAAATGATGCAATGTATAAAATAGCTTAAATAAAGCAGTGAATATGGGGAAAATAAATGTGTACATAGTGAACTCAAAAACAGCTAATCGAACAGTTTTCGAACTCCTTGCACTGCATGCGTCATATTATGACGTCATACGATTGTTAGCAATCCAGCTTCTCGACGGAAAGTTCGGCAGTTACCGTGGCAGCAGGTAATATTTTTGCCAGTTGTCACCCTCCTGGGAGGGGTGACACAGCAACTTGTTAAAGCGTCATTGACCAATGAAATTAAAGTATTTTACATTTCATAGGTAAAGGGTAATTTCGTTCTTTACTTACATCTTTTAAGGAAATCAGATAGTCCTTGGAATTATTCACAGGCAGGAGAGATGCACAGAGGGTATCAGTATCTACTTTGCCAGAATTCTCTCCCTTGGACTGCCGAGTCGCCATGATGACTGCAAGAGAAATAGACTCATATTAGAAAAGTAACAAAAACAATTACAAATGAGACACAGAAAATGCCTTGAACTGACACAAAATGAAATGTTAAATCATCTATTTTAGAGGATGTATAACAAATAGTTGGTTTTGTACAGCAATAGTAAATTTCGTATGTATTTTCTGATCTTTTAACATAAGCTTTCTGCTTTGTTGCTTAGGTGGTCATGGCTAACACAAACCACACTGGAAATAAAACAGCTTTAAACATGAGACACTAACACTGTGTCTTGTAACATGATCTGTGTATTCCAGAAGAAGGCAACAATCCCTTATACAAACATACTGCAGTAAGCTAATGTATGGTATATACTTTCATGATCTACATTTCATTTCTTCAAATAGCACCATAATCACTTTCTATATGTGTTATGATATCTTTAATTGAACTGATGCATTAGTCATTATATGAGTGAGTGAGTGAGTTTAGTTTTATGCCCCACTCAGTAATATTCCAGCTATATGACGACGGTCTATAAATAACTGAGTCTGGACCAGACAATCCAGTGATCAACAGCATGAGCATGGATCTGCGCAATTGGGAACTGATGACATGTGTCAACCAAGTCAGTAAGCCTGACCACTCGATCCCGTTAGTTGCTTCTCACGAAAAGCATGGGTTACTGAAGATCAAATTTCTAACCCGGACCTTCACGGGTGAGTAATTATATGAGTTCATGGGTACTGTATGTAACATGGAACAAACTGCACTGTCAGGTAACCATGAAAGCAAACTGCACTGTTGGCAACAATAGATTGATCAAGCTGTCTATGGATAAACAGTTCTGGTAGTGGACATAAACAAATTAGCATGAGTCAGTAAACAATGAACTTTGTTTAAATTGTGTAATAAACTGAAAGTGGGTATATTCATACAGAGAAATTAATCAACTAATCAATTACTCTAACGGTTCCATATTCTGCAACCCAAAACCAAAACATCCATATGTGGCTGTCCCTGTTCAACTGATTGTGTGTGGTAGTGTGGCAGTGTTGTATGTATATATCTGTGTTTTACATATTTGTATATATTTAATGTTGCAATGAAATAAAGTGTTGACTTTTACTCTGAAGTACAGAATAAAATAAACTTGAATTCAAATTAGCTCCTGGTTGACTTGTCTATATTTCAGCTTTAATATTATTCAACTGTCCTTGGATAGCTCTGGGGTAAGATTACAGAGCTTGGGTCACTCCTTTGTTTAAGCAAGCTTATGCCTAATTGGCCTTGTTTAAAATACTAAAGTTGAGCACTTCACTAGCACAGCTGTAGACTGAGACTGACCAGTCATTACTACAGGTAAGTTATGTATTTTGTATGCATTTCACAATTATATGCTTGTAAATTGTGCTTAATCAGTTATAGTGAAATCATGTTTTAATATTTTCTACATAATCAATACAGGTATAACACATAATGTAATTGAACTAAAACAGTAAGTCTATACACAGTTTAATTCACCTAAACATCAGCTTTTCACTTTCCTGTTTCTGTCCTTGACAATCAGTGAGCAAGCATATACTTTCTATCATTTATGTGTTTGTCTATAATTATGTTTTGAAGTGTTCCTAGGTATGTTGTGGGTCATACATGGTATGTTACCCAGTCTTTCAATAGTACTTATATTTGTATATTTATTTGTTTTTAGATGCATTGATATAATCAACTGGTGCAGTCAGTCCGCGCCCCAGTACAACCAACAGGGTACGCTTGTAACTCTTTTTGTGTACTTATAAATTGCTTGTCTTTATGCATATCATATGTATACATAGTCAATGTCGTTTATCCTTAAATGTATTTAATAAATATTAATTTAACTACATTATACCACATCATCCATTTGATTAAATGTGTGAATATATATATTAATATAAATATGAATCGTAATTGTGATGTACCCTTACATACGCATGTGTGTATACATATGTATTTATTGTTATGTATATGTTTCAGGGCATTTGGTCTGACTTTTGACTCAACAAATAAATCCTCGAACTCAAACCCAACCTGTGTGTAATTATTGAACACAACCCCGGGTACAAATGGAGCCCCCAATGAGGATTTAGCAGTGTGTGAGCACCAATGTTGAACGAAGAATCCACGTACGCATGTACGCATCTCTGAGTTGACACTGAGCACCCGGTCTACAGTGTGCAGTACAGTCAAGACTTCATGAACTGTTGAGTACAATGGCATTGTCTTCAGCTGTGTACATTACGAACATGTAAACATAGTTTTACATAGAGGCCTATCAACAACAGAGTAGACACTTGTATTCATGCATTTGCTAGCTGAAATGTGTATGCCGGCTTAGTTCTCCTCATGTACTACCTTTAGTTTAGTTTAGTTTTAGTTTTAGTTTAGTGTAACCTGTGTACTGTAATTTAGTTTAGTTTACAGTTTAGTTTAATGTAAGCAGTCTACTGTCGTTTAGTGTAACCAGTGTAGTTTAGTTTAGTTTAGTGTAACCTGTGTAGTTTAGTTTAGTTTATAGTTTAGTTTAGTGTAACCAGCGTAGTTTAGTTTATAGTTTAGTTTAGTTCAGTGTAACCAGTGTAGTGTAGTTTAGTGTAACCAGTGTAGTTTAGTTTATAGTTTAGTTTAGTGTAATCAGTGTAGTTTAGTTTAGTTTAGTGTAACCAGTGTAGTTTAGTTTAGTTTATAGTTTCGTTTAGTGTAGCCAGTGGTTTAGTTTAGTTTATAGTTTAGTGTAACCAGTGTAGTTTAGTTTATAGCTTAGTTTAGTGTAACCAGTGTAGTTTAGTTTAGTTTATAGTTTAGTTTAGTGTAACCAGTGTAGTTTAGTGTAGTTTAGTTTATAGTTTAGTGTAACCAGTGTAGTTTAGTTTAGTGTAACCAGTGTAGTTTAGTTTAGATTATAGTTTAGTTTAGTGTAACAGTGTAGTTTAGTTTAGTTTATAGTTTAGTTTAGTGTAACCAGTGTAGTTTAGTTTAGTGTAACCAGTTTAGTTTAGTGTAACCAGTGTAGTTTAGCTTATAGTTTAGTTTAGTTCAGTGTAACCAGTGTAGTTTAGTGTAATCAGTGTAGTTTAGTGTAATCAGTGTAGTTTAGTTTAGTTTACAGTTTAGTGTAACCAGTGTAGTTTAATTGTAGTTTAAATAAAGGCAATTGATGTTGTTATATATATACTCATGCCAATAATGGTTGTCACCCCCCTTCCCACCCCAAACCCACACACACAGACCCACCCCACACCCCCTCTCCAATTAAAAAAATTGAAGGTGGTGACAACCATTATTGGCATGAGTATATATACATGTGTTTGTGTGAATACTTCACTGCCCTAGATATATAAAACATTTAGTTAGTAAAATATACTTGCTGCTTATTTATATGTTTAGTTGAAAAGTTAAGTGTGAATATGTGGTCTGTGTGAATTATTCTCTACTTTGCCTATTGCACACTTCACCTAGAAGTATGTGTAACTGCTTTAAATAATCATTTCAACAAATCAACTTGGTCAACAGTTAAGTTAACTTAGGCACTCAAATAATCTGTTTAAATAGTCAGGCCAGTTGGTTACCAAGTAGTTTCTCACATCTTGGTTAGGTAGGATACATTTTTGTGTGTAGTTTGTTAGGGTTATGACCACTTGACGAGCACTTCACCCTGGCACTCACCATTGTTTAATCCCTCCTGCATATATACTAACCCAATAAGCATGTGACACTGACTTATCGCCTCACTGTAGTGTAGCTTACCAAACGTCATTGTTGGGATATACTACAATCCGGCCGTGCGCGTTTATTATCATTTCTGTCCGCATTTAACGTGTGCATTACACAGCCATGACCGATGGATATCAAACTGGCGTTGATTATTTCATTGCTGTTCATCCAGGGTAACCAGCTCATAGACTTCGTAAGCTATTTTATGATTCTACATTCCTTTGCCTTCGTTTTCATTCGTTCACCTGTCTACTTTAACAATACTGTTACTGGTGGATCCTGTTGTCTGGGATCATGGAGTTTAAGGAAGAGGAATTGGAGTCTGTGGCTTACCTATTCCGGAAGCTTGGTATGGATCCAAAGGATCAATCACTGGAGGACCTCAAGGCATGTCTCAGCAACCTGGTCCCTTATTAAAGCAAATGCCCGGTCTAGACAGCAAGACAGTACCACCTGTGGCAGTGGAAAGCAAAGCCCAGGCTGTGGCTTATCACCAATTCCCCAAACTACCTCTGTTTAGCAGCGATGAAACAGGAAAGGATGCTCCTTTTGACCTCTAGTCCTAAGAAGTTGATTGTCTATTTCAGTCAAAATGTTATACCTTAGACGTTATTAATCACGCTGTCCATAGATCTCTTAAAGGGGAGGCTGCTAGAGTGGCCATGAGACTTAGATCTACAGCTTCTACCACGGATTTACTATCCAAGCTTCAGAGCATCTATGGTACAGCTAGGCGTCGGGAAGCCCTTATAGCACAATTCTATAGTGCAACCCAGAGGGAGGATGAAGATGTTGCTGATTGGGGCTGCCGCCTAGAACATTTACTATCCCAGATCACAGAACATCATACTATACCCATGAAGGAACAGGATGAAATGCTAAGGAACATGTTCTGGAGTGGTCTGAAACCAACAATGAAAGCTGTGTCTGGACATAAGTTAGACTCACGAGCTAGCTTTGATGAGCTATGAATCTCATTGCATGAAATAGAGTATGACATGAACTAACCATGTCTGAGACAAAGAAGTGCCGTGCTTCTGGTAAGATGGCCGTACAGGATGAGTCGGTGTCCAAGAGCAATCATGAGACTTCGACGTCTGCAATAGACCAGCAACGAGTGGAAGTGTCAGACCTCGGGAAACGACAGGACACAGCTCCTGTATATCAACATCAGACATCCCAGTCAAGACGAGACAGGTCTTTTGGAGGCCAACAACGATGGAGGAAGCGGACCCAGTCATCTCATCATTCAGATCTGCCTGCTAA